TGCTCTTCTCCAGGAGAGAGCACGGGCATACTACAAGCAAATGACACCTCAAGACTTTGAGAACATGAAAGTGTTTATCGCCTCAAGGTCGGGGAAGTCAAAGCTATGAGTACAGCTGGAATGCAAGAAGCAGATGGGAGATTAAAACACCTTGTATAGTTTGCCACATATCTTGTTGCCCTCGCATGTTGTGATTGTTACTCGATATGGCGTATGGTCATAGTCTTGCAGTCTTCTAATCAGAAAGCATTTAACAAGCTAAAAGACCTTAATGCCTAGTTCATCCCTGAAACGATTGGGTCACAAGGAAGCTGCAAACGAATTCCAAAGTATGCTAGGCGTGTCTAAAAGAACAGGTTTGATATGGTTGTGATTTGTGGCACTTCTCATACTGGGGATATGCACACACTGTACCGAGATAATTGTGCAAATGTGGCGGAACTGTACACGTCTTGTGAGGTCTGCCCTGCCACGTCATTGCATTCCAAGCCCCTTCTCCTCCCCCATGGTCTTGTCGGTGGTCACCAGAAGTCTCGAGGTTGTTGCATGCCGAATGCAATGCCACAGTGGCTCATCACACGGCACGTCAGCTCGAAAGGTCCTCCACAGTGGAACTTCCACTCCAGTGGGCTTGCGGCAACTGTGAGGGGGTTCCGCCAGGCTGGCCAACCAATTGACCTGCTTGGGAAGCTCTAACAGGTCCATTTTTGGGCATCGGGTCATCCAAAGCACGGATCGCGTCACTAGCATCTTGAAAGCAACCAGTCCCTTTCAGGGCAGCCAAGGGCGGCAGACACCTGACGTCATCGAGTCCTCTGCCTGGGGGTCGTTTCAAATCAAAGTCGCTGATGTTGTGTTTGGTCTGGTTTGGATCCACGAACCTGGCAAGGTGGACGGAGAAAACGAGGTTGCCCATCTCACAAACAATTCTGCTTCCTGCGCGCCAAACTGAACGACATTGTCAAGCTGGCTGTCAGTTTCTCAACCACCGAGGTCCATTCACGGGTCAATTTTGGGGATCGCAGCCGCAGCAGACTGACACTCTAGGCGACGCCTGTTGAGGCGAGTCCCTCGCCACCAGAAACCTCAGTTTCGCCAGCGACGCATGACGGGACTGGTCCTTCGCGAAGGGATAGCTCACGGTCAATTTGTGGCGGAAGTTTCGATTGGTTTCTAGTCGTCTGAATTGAAGTGCCCAATTTCACCACACAGCAACCCAAACCCTCCATGCATTGAATCGCAACCGTCCCCCAGTCGCAATGCGTGAAGTTCAAGGGACAGCGGACGGACGAAATGAAAATTCCACCTAGAACAGAACCCTTCCCTCTTCAGGTCAAAAGATCCCGCGAACTTTTCGAGATCGACCGCTCATACAGAGTTTAAACACTCACTGCTGGTTCCCATCGACGGTTATAATTCATGCACGTGTGGAACCCTTACAACCGCAAGCCATGGTGGGAGCTGCCGACATTTTTCGGGGCACTTTCGTCCCTCGCGTCTCGTCGCATGGCTGGCAAATCATAGCCAACCAGCAACTACAGACGGTGGGCTCCCTCGTCGCCTCCTCCTGTGCAGCATTGCGTGCCTATCCGCCTGGCCTGGACCCTGGACTGGAGGTTTGCTCGCCTCGCCCGCCTTGAGTGTGTGTGTGTGTGCGCTGCTGTGCTCCTCGAGGTTTCATTTTTCATCCTGCCTGCCTCCGCTTCCACTGCTACCACTGCAGCCAATGCAATGAGCCGAGTCAGCCCCGCGCGACCCCATTCGACGGAACGAAAACGGAACGGAATGCAACTGCACGCGCAGCACACCCTCAACCCAGCCCAACCAGCCAAATTGCCCTTACAACCATCGTAACCGCTCTTAATGCTTTGAATTCAACCTCGAGATTACCCGCAGAACTGCTGCACCGCACGAGAAAACTTTAGCGTATTCCCTCCCGCCCCACCCAAACTCGAAAGCTTGGAAACATAATGCAACCTCCAAGCGCCACTTTCCATAACCCACTTGCTTCCAACGGACTCGATTCCATTCCGGACCTTGGAGTTTAGGACATAAAGCAACTGGCTGTCTGCCTCCAGTCCGCACCCCCCACAGCCGTAGTAACTGACTTACCTCCGCCTGTCACATCACATCCACTCGATTGTTCAACCGAGCGACAGTTGCGCCAGTTTTCTGCAGGAGCAACCACCACTTCAGCCGTCCCCATCTCATTTGGAATACCCACCCAAAGCTCCTTGGATTGCCTTGCATCTCCTCCCTTCATAAGCCGCGAGCCCCCTCCCGTTTATCTTCATTCACATATCTGATTAGAAATTGCTAGACAATTGCTAGGGAAGCCATTCAGCCTAATCCCGCTCTACATTAGTCTGCAGTCCGCCTCCAGTCCTGCATTACAAGAGTCTTTTATCGTTGAATTCCCTCTCTCATTCTCTAGCCATGGATTCCCACGAATCGTATGACCCCAGCCATTGCCCCGCATGGCTCCCTCGTTTGCTGCGCGGCCGCTATTTCACGGGCTGCCCGCGCCACGCCGGCGCTAGCAGAGCCGAGCGAAACTATTTCTGCGTCACGTGTAGCGGCGAATCCCTCTGCACCGCCTGCATTGCGGAGCAGCATTCCAACAACTCCGGCCACCACCATCACAACCATTCCGGCGGTTCAATCAATTCTGGAGAATCGAAACCCCACAACATCCTCCAAATTCGCCGCTCGTCGTACCACGAGTGCGTGCGAATTAACGAAGTCGCGAAAATCCTGGATCTGTCGCACATTCAGGTGTACGTAATCAACAGCGCCAAGATCGTGTTTCTCAACGGCCGGCCGCAGGCTCGTCCCGTGAAGGGCGCGCCGTTCTATTGCGAGACGTGCGAGAGAATGCTGCTCGACGCGAGCCGGTTCTGCTCCCTCGGATGTAAACTCGCCGCTGTTCCGAAAGATTTATCTCTTTCTTTCATTCCGCGGGCCGCGTCGGCGTCTGGAGGACATGGCGCCGGTTGTAACGGGGCGAATGCCGCGAAGCGCGCGTCAGCAACTGGCCCTGCCACGTCACACTGGGCGAATGGGTACAATGCAGCGGCTGCAGGCGGGAATGCTGACACGTGGCGGGAGGATAACGGCAATGGTAATGCGTCCGCTGCGTGGGTTCAGAAGGCGAGAACGACCGGAAAGAAGCGCGTTACCCCTGAAGTGAACACGGCGACATCATCCCCGGAAGTTTCTCTGCTAGCTGCTTCTATGGAGTATGACAATGTCGAGGACAGCTTCGGCGGCGCTGACAGCGGCGGGATTCTCGTCGCGGACGATGACGACGACCGACTGCTTGTCGAGCGTGACGTTGACGGTGACGGACAATGCGACGGGTCGTTCGTTTGGAGCCAGCGCGGATTCGGTGGAGGAAAGAGAGTCCGCATGGAGAAATACCCGCTCGCAGGGAAATTTCCGCAGCTCGTGCCGATTTCGTCCCCGTTTTCGTATCCTGACGGCTCGCCGTCATCTCCGCCGCGGCTCGGGTTCTCCCCGCCGTCAACTCCGAGCCTGACTGGGAATCGCCGACGGAAGGGTGTGCCTCAGCGGTCTCCTCTCGTGTGAGTGACGATTTTCGAAGATAACGAAGAAAATAACACTTCGCACGCGTACATATTGTCAGAACCGACTCAATGCTGGTGTGAGAAGGGCTGTAAGGGGAAGCCGTGACACAGCAAAAGACATAACGACAGGCATGGAGACAGGCGTGGCGACAGGCACGGGGACAGGCATGGCGACAGGCATGGGGACAGGCATGGCGACAGGCATGGGGACGGCCGTGGCGAGGGAAAGGGGACGGGTGTGTAATTTTCTTCGCTGCTTGAGCTGCGGAGTTTGGCGCCGGGGTTTGGCCAGCTGATGCTGATCCACCATTGCTGCTAAAAAGGAATTGGGGGAATTGGATGGGAAGGAAGGAGCAGGAGGGTGAAGGGGATGGTTGGTGGCATTATGACATGCTGCTGCCGGCCAATTACATGGGTGCAGCTGACCAGACTAGGTTTGCAGCAATTTCCTGCAATTACTGGATAGCCTTGTGTGAAATTCTTCGCTGGTGGGCCATATCAGTGCTGGCTGGAGCTTTTGTTGGGACATGCCTCTTGGACGGGCAACATGTGACATGCGGCATGTGACATGGGACATGGGACATGAGGCATACACATGTCACATGTCTCATGTCACATGTCCTATGTCCCATGACAAGATGCAGCTGCAGTCCCAAGCCCCATGAATGCTTCAACCACTGCCAACATCACCGACTGTACATACACACCCTTCTGTGGTATATCTCTGACAGTCTATAGCTGCAGATGCAGCTGCTGTTGCTTATGGAGTAATCTGCTTCTTTTTAAATGCTTTGCATGTAAATCCTTTCTTGCAGCTAGCAGTGTGTAGTGCAGCTGAATGTTCTGGATATTACATTGTAATCGATTTGCTATTTTCCTGGCCTTCCTTTGTTTCCTACAAGATTGTAAGTATCTTAATGAACAATTTGTATTGGATGTATCGTAGTGTAGTGCTGCTCAGTTAACGTGAAATGAGTGTTTCACTAACGAGCAACACGTTTGCCTGAGCCATGCCTTCAATTCTCTGCACAATCGACCAGCCTCCAGTTTCAATTGGGGCGCACAGGAATCTTTGAATTTCATGGTTCGTCCTACCCAGTAGCCTACAAGCTGATCGTTCTACCCTCTTGCAGCAGTATTTCCTGCTAGAGTGTCATGAGAATCTTTCAGAAACATTCGGCTGATCTTGTATTGTCAAGTGGAACCGTGGCTCATACTTACTGTTTTGCGTGAATCCTTTTTGGATCGGTTTGGAAGCTGTATATAGGCCGAGTCGACCTGTCCTCGCCGTTTGAGTTGTTTTGGAAATCAGATGGACAAGCGGTCCCGTGCCTAGAACACGCTTTTAGAGATATTTCCCGCTCTTAGGAGTATTTGTCCATCCTACTACACGCTAATCACGGTCTCCCCGCCATGGCGTCGAGCGTTTCTGACGTGGTAGCGACGCTGGGTCGCCCAATTCGCGTATTCACGTACGGAGCTGCGACGCCTGCGAATTCTGCGACGGTTGAGACCGACGCAGCTGCGACAGCAGGCGACGGGGAACGAGAAGGAGGCCCGGCGACGGCGGAGGGGGGTTCGCAAGCAGCGGATAGGGGCAAAGAAATTGCTGATGAGTTCTATGAGTTCACGCCTGGGGATTATTCGAGATTGATGGCAGGAAAGAAGGAAGGTGCGTGCAGAAGCATGTGCCGGATCTCGTTTCGAGACGCCTCAAATGATATTTGACGAGGTTGTTGGTGGGGAACGTAGGAAGTTCTTAAATGGCGGTTGAATGAACCTGTGATGATTGTGCTTGGTTGGTACGGCTTGAAATGACTTCAACATGATGGTTACACCCGCTATGCTGAAAAAAAAAAAAAGGGAATGAAAGAAATGTTTTCCTTTGCTCACAGACTGTCAAGACCCGATACAACCAATTTATCTATGTCTTAAACACCTGCTCGTTTCGCTCTCCCTGCTCTTCAAATTCTCGGCCGTGCAACCTTCCCTTGCCTGCAGAGCGCTTTCTCAAGACCAAAGCCATTCGGGACCTAGAGTTGCAACAACGAAAGGCCCAGTTCAAACAGGTGAGCCAACGCTGGATATGAGGATTCGGTCAAGGGGGCAAAAGCAACCTGTTTTTTTCGTTTTTCCAAACCCACTACATTCTTTTCATGTTTGAGTGTATTCATGGAATTTATTTTTTTCACCGTCTTTAGGCTGGATTCTGCATACTCATTGTCGTCTCCTTTCGTTGATCCCTCCCTGTATTCCTTTGCTCAGGCTATCATTTTGGGTCGCTTCCTAGTTTCTAGTATTCACCAACATATGCATCCTCCTTCCAGGATCCCTAGTCCCTAGTTTTTTTTTTTTTTTTTTTGGGCCAGTTTATCAGGGCCCGCTTTCTAATTTCCAGTGTTTACCCTTTCTACCTCTCCTCCACTCCATTCTATCATCAAAGTCCTCTTCCTTTGCAGTTCGACCTTCTTGTAGTTTGCAGTTTCACCTTTTCTTTATTGCACTTTTTCAGTGTTCACTGCTTTGCATTCCTCTCAACTTCTCCAGGCGATCATCAGAGTCCGCTTTCCAGATAACACAGTAGTGGAGATCCCCTTTTGCCCCACAATTTCTAGCTTCACCATCACCACTTCACCGCTTTCTACCCCTCTCAACTCCTCCAGGCGATCATCAGAGTCCGTTTCCCAGACAACACAGTGGTGGAGGCGGCCTTTGCACCCACGGATGCAGGTGCACGACCACCACTTCACCACCTCAACTGAGCCCACTTCCTCGTCTCCAGTGCTCACTCATTTCCTCCACCCCTCCCGTCCCCTCCTTTCTACCCCTCCCAACTCCTCCAGGCGATCATCAGAGTCCGCTTTCCGGACAACACAGTGGTTGAGGCAGCCTTTGCCCCCACGGATGCTGTAGCAGCAGTGCGCCAGCTGGTGCGTAAGTGCTTGCTACAGCCGGACCTGCCTTTCTTCTTCTGTAAGTGCAGCATGTGTTCTGACTTGGTAATTGGGGCAACACCTGGAACTGTATGTTCTCCCTCACGGATGCTGTAGCAGCAGTGCGGCAGTTGGTGCACAAGTTTCTGCTACAGCCGGGCCTGCCGTTCTTCTTCTGTGAATGGTAACTATATTATTTGACTAAATTCAATCTGGTGGAGGGAGGATTAAGGTGGCCAATACGTGCCTTATTGTGATGCTGGTGTTATAAATCTGCCCAAATTTTGTCTCATGACGATGCTTGTCTCGTTTCTGTATGCATTTTCTTGAATTATTTTAACAGATACAACACCACCAAAGAGGAGGATAAAGAACGAGGAGGAGGATCTGTACAGTGCGCAGCTCACTCCAGGAGCACTGCTGCACGTGGCAGTTGAATCCTCTGCAGCAGGTGCGATCAATGGCTTAGTGCGACAGCGCATTTTCAGTGTAATTGAAGCATAGAGTTGACAGAAAAAAAAGGGGAGAGAAGGGGGCCTGTATGCAGCTCACTTCAGGCCCACTGCTGCATGTGTCAGTTGAATCCTCTGCAGCAGGTGCTATTGATGGCTGAGTGTGTCCTGATGGTGTTTGCTGTTACGCGGGGATAAGTAAAAATCTGCATTTCATTTTGTGTCGTTGGAAGTGACATCAACGGCAACTCATTACGTCGGTTGCATGTGTGAAGTCCACTCTGGACTCCAGATCCACCATCCTGTAATAAGATTGTTTTGGAAACGTCTGAAAAACAATCTTATTACACGTGTTTGAAGTCCGCTCTGGCCTCCATATCCATATCCATCGCACCACCATCCTGTCAACAGCAATCGCTCTTCCATATCGGTCCCACCCGTCCCCCACCACGATTCTCCCTGTTTTCCTCCACCCCTTCAGAACCCACTTCTGACTCATCCGCCCCAACCTCCCTCTTGCGCCCAGATATTCTCACACTCAAGGACGTTCCCTAGCAACGAGAACTGACCCCGGTAGAGTCGAGTGAGGAGTCACTGAGAAAAAGGACGAAAAGGGCAAAGGAGAGGTGGGCCGTTTTTGTGCCTTCATTAAGACCACCACCCCTTGAACCCACCTGCGTTTCCACTCTCACCCCCAACCCGTGCCTCCCACCCCTCCAGAACCCCCAGCTTCCCTCCTGCACCCAGATGTTTTTGCACTCAAGGACGTTCCCTCCCAGAATTGTCCTTGGTAGAGCCAAGTGAGGGGTCACTGGAGAAGAAGGACGAGAAGGGCAAAGGAGAGGTGAAGCAACAAGGGACGGCTGCAGGGACGGGTGGTGCTGTGCCAGGGGCTCTTAAAGCTGGGCTCTCCTCCAAGCCTAAGTGGTTCAAGCGGTGACATCTTGATCTCAACAGAAGGACGGGGGGTGCGAGAGAGATGTGGCTGCAGAGACGGGTGCTCAAAAGCGGCGTCAAAAGCAGGGCTCAAAAGCAGGGCTCTCCTCCAAGCCTTAGTGGTTCAAGTGGTGACATCTTGATCTCAGCAAAACAAGGTTGATAGGGGCAAGAAGGTGTTGCTGCAGGGTTGGCTGGTGCTGTGCCAGGGGCTCCAAGGCAGGTCTCGCTCCCGAGACTAAATGGTTAAAGTGGTTAAGTTTTGATCGCAGCAGAACAAGACAGTATGGGCATGTGAGTTTTGGATGAGTTCAAGTATTGAGACATTGCAAGGGACATGAAACGATACATGACAAACCGGCGAGAAATGCATGTTCGTGGCTCTTGTGACAGAAATTGCAGCGGTGACATGGGATACATGGATACTCCCTGTGAATACGGTGCTTCGCTTTATATGAAGCACACACCTCTGGATAGAAACACCGGTTTAACATCAGAAGCACTAGCTACAGTGCCCCCCCTATGCACAGCCAGCAGCAATTTACGGTAAGAGAATCTAGGAGCACTACTGACTTCGCTTCTCGAAAGCAGCAGCTACCCTTCTATGAATGCTATACATTATCGATAAGATCTTGAAAATCCATCGCAAACCAGTCAGATTCGGCAGCAACGACTTTCCGGACCTGAATCCCTCCGTACCCAATAAACATGTCGGCACCCCCTGGTTGCCGAGCCTGCAGAACACACAAGGGCAAGGTGTGGTACACCAAAGCTATGATTCGAAAGCACAATGATGAATGTATGATAAATAAAAAGACAATTAAAACACTGTTGGCTGACTTTTAGAGATTAGTACATATGTGTTTTTGGCTTAACAGAAGACTGTTGGGAAAACTCACCTCCAGATCAGTGGCACCATCCCCCACCATGACCAAGCTTTTGAACCCATGCTCCTGCACACATACAGGGAAGCATGCAGAGCAAAAGAAGCATCCAAAGGAAAAGAAGCAAATGAGTAAGACACAAGAAAAAAGAAAAATAAAAAAAAGGCAGAGCTACAAGCTCGTTCTGATCTGTGGAGCGAACGTGTTTTCTTCACTCGTAACCTCCACTCCTTACCTGTCCTGCTCTCCCTTCCTGTCTCCCTCACATGCTTAAACTGCACAAACCCGAATTCCTTTCCCCTCATCCCACCTTTATCCCCTCCCCTCCCCTCCCGCCTCCTTTGACCCAATCACCCCTACACTAGCCACCTCTCATCTTCCCTCCCCAGGTCCCCTCCTCTCTCCCTCATCCTCCCCACATGCTCACCTGCTTCAGCTGCGCGATAGCTCTGGCCTTGCCGCCGCTCCTAGACGTGGGCTCGTTAGCGTCGAACCCAGCATACGCGCCGCTCCCCTCCTCGAACAGCAGACGGTTGGCGAAGATGTTTGTAACGGGGATGTCCAGAAGCGCGGCGACAGGCTGAGGCAGGTAACGCGAGAGGGAGCCAGGGGCAGGGGAGCGCGGGCACGGGGGGGCAGGAGAGGGTGGGCAAGGTGGGAGAAGGGGAAACGGGAGGGAGGCGAGAAGGGGAACGGGGGCAGGGAGCGGAAGCGGGGGAGGCATGAAGGGGGAGAAGGGCAATGAGCCGAAGAAGGGGAGACTGGGAGCGAAAATGCGAAGGGGGTGAAGAGCGGAAAGAGGAGGGAGGGACCGCGAGCAGAAAGGAGGCGGGTGGGGAGGATGGGATGGGAGGGGGGAAGGGGGGGGGTTGGGGGGGAGGTTTGGGGGAGTTGCAAGATTTCAACGCGAGGGTGAGAGGGAAGAGAGACTGTACGGAAGCGAAGAAAAAGAGATTGCACGACTGACCTCAATCATTTGACGAAATCCACCAGAAATAAGGTACACCTCGGTTCCTCTCGCCTTCAGTCTTCTAACGAGTTCACCAATACCGGGGTTTAGCCTGGTACGGAGATACAAGGGTTATCAGAAAAGAGCAAACGGAGATACAAGGGTATCAGAGAAAGAGCAACCAACATAGAATAAGAGGTTATGTATAAGACAACAGACAACAAAAGAGGCGACTACAAAAACAAGATTAAACGGATATGAACAACAGAATTACAACAAAAAAAGGAAGTTCGAACATAGAATAAGTACTAGAGCATTGTGCCGGGATTCTCATACCTTGGCGGATGGTCTCTGAGGAACCCTGCCACGTCAGCAGCGGATGGATTAAATATCTCCAGCCGAGCGGCCAGAGCTGTTTCAAACGGAACCGACCCGGACATGGCCCTGTACGGGCAGGCAGAAAAACAATTTGGATGTTCCGGGAAGGGAGCAGGGAAGAAGAGGAATAGAGTCAGTTGATGGCAGCTCGAATGAAGGCATAAAATTTTCGAATGAGCGTTTCTAGTTCGCGTAGACGATGGAAAGGCAATGGCCAGGCGATGGCCAGCCAATGGCCAGCCGATGTCAACCCACGGCCTCAAACCGCTGCCGTGAATCAGAGCAGCGATCAAGTCGAGACTGACAGGGTGAATTGCTTCCGGTGTAGCGGCATCATGCTAGGAACGGACGCCATTGAAGCCCTGAGGGCTGGCAGTCAGGCCTTCTCAATAGCCGCAGATAAATTAAAAAACAAATTGACAAAAAACAGTTCAGGAACGATCTCGTTCTGCGGAATTACTTACTTGGTCGTCCAGGCAGCAACTGCCTCGCCCGCTCCGCAATACGCGGCGAGCTCGTCAATGCCCTCGTCGACGCAGACCGTGCTGTCGACGTCGAAGCACACCGCGTCCGCCGCTCGCCACACGCGTAGCACGTCTGAAAGAAGGTCGGAGAGTAGGACGAGCGGAAGGAAGGGGGGGCGGAGGTAAAAGAAACAGAGGGAAAGGGAGCAGCGACGAAGGAGTCCGGAAGGAAGGTAAGGAAGAGAAGGCAGCGAGTAATGGTTCAAAACGGTGGAACAAGGCACTTGATTTTGTCGAGGAAGCCCGAAAACGGTACGAACAGGGGTTAGAAGAAGCGTGATCGGGAACGATCTATACAGCTGTGATGTGCTGCGGCTACCCTTGCTGGGTTTCCTTGGGATCACGAGCATTTTCGGGAACAAAGAGAGCAGATCAAAGAGGTGTTCGCGGGAACATGATTGGTGACGATCCGTGCTACGACAATGTGTTTCGGCTAGGTACGCTAGTAGGGATCAAGGAGTGCCATTTGTTTGTGGCCGGAACGCGCTACGGCTAGGTATGCTAGGGTTTCAGAATTGGCGTTAAAATGAGACGCTGTTCCCGATAGAAACGGCTGATCTGCGTCGAGCGGGTAGATCAAATCAACGGCATAGATGTATGAGCAGGTAAAGCACAAACCTTTCGAGGGGCTTGTGTTGGTCGCCTGAGTACTGCTACTCGCGCTGCATCTAGTGCTGCTCGTCGCGTTGCTCGTAAACCCTGAGCTTCTTCCCGCATTCGTCATCCGCAATGGCCGCTGCGCCGACAAGCCGACGACACTATGGTTCCAGCTTGAGGATAACCGGCCAGAAGACGAAGTTGACGGACTCTGGCAACGAGCCGATGAGGTCCGCGGCAGAGGATTCAGAGCAGCGGCAGCAGAACAAGGCACTTTGACTAGGATCTGACGGGCAACAGCTGGAGCCATGGCTGCCCTGCTGGAGCAGAACAGCTTGAAACAATCTGCTGGTGGCTAAAATCAAAGAAACAGGTCGACTTGTTGAAACGTGAATGTGCTGAGAGAAGGAGGAGTTGTGTGAGGAGAAGCAAAGAGAGGTGAGGAGAGGCCAACAGAGGTAGAGAGAGGCGAAGAAAGGTGAGAAGAGGCGAAGAGAGGCGGAGAGAGGCGAAGAAAGGGGGGAGGGGAGGAAGGGAGAGGGACGGAGCGGAAGGGAGCTGAGGGGAGGTAAGGGGAGGGGAAGGGAGGGGAGGGGAGGAAATGGGGTGGGTGGGTGTGGGGGAAGAGAGGGGGAGATGTCATTCGTAGGAGAGCAAATGTGCGGTGGAGATTCGGAAAGAGGGGAGGTATGGAACGAGAGGTTGTGAAATTGCGCTTTAGAAGAATTCCGTTACACGTTTCAAGCTAAGAGCGAGTTCAGATACCATACATTCTGGATACTGCCAGGTACATGGAGATAGCATCATGCCAGGTAGCATGCTGAGTTCTTTTCGTGCAAATCAGTAAAATTTATCACGCGTGCCATTTTGATAAAATAATCATGCACGCCTATTTCTTTCAAGATGGTCTGATTATCAATCGTATTGATAGGCAAGTGCTGCAATTTCCTTTAAAATGTTTTTTTATCCATGTTTTACTTCTGTCGTGTTTTTTACTGAATTCATGAAGCCAAATGTTGAAACAATGTTGGAAGAGGGAAAATCGCGCCGTAGCAGCGAAATCCACGCCGTGGCAGCGAAATTCGCGCCGTGGCAGCGAAATCCCCGTCGTAGCAGCGACATCCACGCCTAGGCAGCAGAACCCACGCTGTAGCAGCGACATCCGCGCCGTAGCAGCGAAATCCGCGCCGTAGCAGCGAAATCCGCGCCGTAGCAGCGAAGCCCGCGCCGTAGCGTCGAAGTGCGCGCCGTAGCAGTGAAGTGCGCGCCGTAGCAGCGAATTGCGCGCCGTAGCAGCGAAATCCGCGCCGTAGCAGCGAAGTCCGCGCCGTAGCAGCGAAGTGCGCGCCGTAGCCGCGAAGTGCGCGCCGAAGCAGCGAAGTGCACGCCGTAGCAGCGAAGTCCGGGCAAAGAGCAGTGAAATCCGCCACGTAACAGTGAAATCCGCGCCGTAGCAGCGAAATCCGCGCCGCGGCGGAGGGATCAGCGCCCAGACAGCTATACTCGCGCGTAGGAGTGCCATCGCAGTGAGGCTCGCGCCTAGGCAACGACTACCGCGTGTAGGGAGGACCACAAAGCGAGACCCGCGCCTAGGTACCAACACCTGCAGGTAGGAGCGTCCAACGTATAGGGGAGTCTCCGTGCGCCAGCGACGCCCAACACCTTCGACTCACCCGGACTGCGAACCTTATATCGAAGGCGGGAGGCGCCCCTCCAGCGCTCCCCGCAAACAGCTTACGCCATGAACAACGATCCAGACCCCCCAGACCGGGAGAGGAAGATCATCGCGAGGATTGGCCACAAGAGACCCAGGGAGGCAGCGCTGAGTATGCAATACCCACAACTCTGTCGCCTCCACCACGAGGATGCACTCTGCCTTTTTGGCAAGCCCAGCAAGCGACAAAGGTATGGACCCCCCTCGATAGAGGGGGGGATGGAGGAACCACCCGAAGACACTATCGGCGGCTTCGTAGGCGGCAGCGACACCATCTCCAGCTGGGACCTGGACGCGACGGACGAGGGCGAGTGCGGTCATGGGGTGCACATGCAAGGTACTGGTGATGACGCGGCGATGGCTGCATGGGAGGCACACCGCCGGCGACTGCAGGAGTCTCATGATAGGCGGCGGAGGGCCCTGGGAAATCCCTTGGCACGCCCAGCCCTCACAGCTCCGCGCGGGCCTCGCCTGGCCCAAAGGCAGGAACAGAGACGGAGAGCCCGGGCGGAAATGCAGCAGTGGAGTCCAGCGGGGACCCAGCCCTCGAGGCAGGAGGGGGGGCAGCAGAACTGGCTGTTGGGGGAGGCCCGGAAGCCACAAGCAAGGGGGCAGCAGGTGCTGCCGGCGGGAGGGCAGCAGGAGCTGCTGGCGAGAGGGGAGCAGCAGCTGCTGGCGAGAGGGGAGCAGGAGCTGCCGGCGAGAGGGGAGCAGGAGCTGCCGGCGAGAGGGGAGCAGGAGCTGCCGGCGAGAGGGCAGCAAGAGCCGCAGGCAAGAGGGCGGCAGGCGCGGTCGGCAGGCGAGCAGCAGGTACTGCCGAAGGGAGAGCAGCAGGAGCGGCCGGCGGGAGGGCAGCAGGAGCTGCCGGCGGGAGGGCAGCAGGAGCTGCAGGCAGGAGGGCAGCGGGAGGTGCCAGCGGGAGGGCAGCAGGAGGTGCCAGCGGGAGGGCAGCAGGAGGCGCCAGCGGGAGGGCAGCAGGAGGTGCCGGCGAGAGGGCAGCAGGAGGTGCCGGCGAGAGGGCAGCAGGAGGTGCCGGCGAGAGGGCAGCAGGAGCTGCCGGCTGAGGGGCAGCAAGTGGTAGAAGTGGAGATGGCCGAGCTACAGCCAGAGGTGCAGCAGGACCAATCGGGGAACCGGGCCCGGCCACACGCAGGAGGGCAGCAGGAGCCGCCCGAGGGAGAGCAGCATGAGCTTCCAAGGGAAGAGCAGCACGAGCTGACGGCAAGGGAGCAGCAAGCAAGGGAGCAGCAAGCGGTAGAAGTGGAGATGGCCGAGCTACAGCTAGAGGCACAGCAGGACCAATCGGGAAACCAGGCCTGGCCACAGGCAGGAGGGCAGCAGGGGCCGCCCGGGGGAGAGCAGCATGAACTGCCAAGGGAAGAGCAGCAGAAGCCGCCGGGGGTGGGGCAGCTGCCGGAGCGGGAGCAGCAAGCGGTGGATGTGGAGATGGCCGAGCTACTGCCAGAGCTGCAGCAGGACCAATCAGGGAACCAGGCCCGGCTGCAGGCAGGAGGGCAGCAGGAGATGCTGGGGGAAGAGCGGCAGGAGCTGTTGGGGGGAGGGCAGCAGGAGCGGTCGGAGGGGGAGCGGCGGGAGTTGCCGGCGCGGGGGCAGCTGGAGGTCGCTAGTGCGGACTCTACTAGCCAAGCGAAGAGAACCCGGGCACGGGGCCGAGGCGGGAGACGACACGCCCGTAAGACGCAAGGGCGGACTGGAAGCGGTGCTGCCGCACAGCAGGCGGAGGGGCAGCCGGGGGCGACCGAGACACCCCCGGGAGCCCCGCGGGTGGGGGGGCAGCCCCGGGTGCCTGGGGCGCCCCAAGGAGAGCAGCAGCCAGGGGGGCAGCCGGGGGTGACCGGAGCACCCCAGGGAGAGCAACAGGCAGGAGGGCAGCCGAGGGTGCCCCGGGCACCCCAGGGAGTGCAGCACGCAGGGGGACAGCCGAGGGTGCCCAGGGCACCCCAGGGAGTGCAGCAGGCAGGAGGGCAGCAGGGGGTGCCCGGGGCACCCCAGGGAGTGCAGCAGGCAGGAGGGCAGCCGAGGGTGCCCGGAGCACCCCAGGGAGTGCAACAGGCAGGGGGGCAGCCGGGGGTGCCCGGGGCACCCCAGGGAGTGCAGCAGGCAGGAGGGCAGCCGAGGGTGCCCGGAGCACCCCAGGGAGTGCAACAGGCAGGGGGGCAGCCGGGGGTGCCCAGGGCACCCCAGGGAGTGCAGCAGGCAGGAGGGCAGCCGAGGGTGCCCGGGGCACCCCAGGGAGTGCAGCCGGCTGGAGGGCAGCCGAGGGTGCCCGGAGCACCCCAGGGAGCGCAGCAGGCAGGGGGGCAGCCGGGGGTGCCCGGGGCACCCCAGGGAGTGCAGCAGGCAGGTGGGGAGACGGGGGTGCCCGGAACACCCCAGGGAGTGCAGCAGGCAGGAGGGCAGCCGAGGGTGCCCGGGGCACCCCAGGGAGTGCAGCAGGCAGGAGGGCAACCGAGGGTGCCCGGGGCACCCCAGGGAGTGCAGCAGGCAGGGGGGCAGCCGGGGGTGCCCGGAGCACCCCATGGAGTGCAGCAGGCAGGAGGGCAGCCGAGGGTGCCCGGGGCACCCCAGGGAGTGCAGCAGGCAGGAGGGCAGCCGAGGGTGCCCGGGGCACCCCAGGGAGTGCAGCAGGCAGGTGGGGAGCCGGGGGTGCCCGGAGCACCCCAGGGAATGCAGCAGGCAGAAGGGCAGCCGAGGGTGCCCGGGGCACCCCAGGGAGTGCAGCAGGCAGGAGGGCAGCCCTGGGTGCCCGGGGCGCCCCAAGGAGAGCAGCAGCCAGGGGGGCAGCCGGGGGTGACCGGAGCACCCCAGGGAGAGCAACAGGCAGGAGGGCAGCCGAGGGTGCCCCGGGCACCCCAGGGAGTGCAGCAGGCAGGGGGGCAGCCGAGGGTGCCCAGGGCACCCCAGGGAGTGCAGCAGGCAGGAGGGCAGCAGGGGGTGCCCGGGGCACCCCAGGGAGTGCAGCAGGCAGGAGGGCAGCCGAGGGTGCCTGGAGCACCCCAGGGAGTGCAGCAGGCAGGAGGGCAGCCGAGGGTGCCCGGGGCACCCCAGGGAGTGCAGCAGGCAGGAGGGCTGCCGAGGGTGCCCGGGGCACCCCAGGGAGTGCAGCAGGCAGGTGGGGAGACGGGGGTGCCCGGAACACCCCAGGGAGTGCAGCAGGCAGGAGGGCAGCCGAGGGTGCCCGGGGCACCCCAGGGAGTGCAGCAGGCAGGAGGGCAGCCGAGGATGCCTGGGGCACCCCAGGGAGTGCAGCAGGCAGGTGGGGAGCCGGGGGTGCCCGGAGCACCCCAGGGAGTGCAGCAGGCAGGAGGGCAGCCGAGGGTGCCCGGGGCACCCCAGGGAGTGCAACAGGCAGGGGGGCAGCCGGGGGTGCCCGGGGCACCCCAGGGAGTGCAGCAGGCAGGAGGGCTGCCGAGGGTGCCCGGGGCACCCCAGGTAGTGCAGCAGGCAGGTGGGGAGACGGGGGTGCCCGGAACACCCCAGGGAGTGCAGCAGGCAGGAGGGCAGCCGAGGGTGCCCGGGGCACCCCAGGGAGTGCAGCAGGCAGGAGGGCAACCGAGGGTGCCCGGGGCACCCCAGGGAGTGCAGCAGGCAGGGGGGCAGCCGGGGGTGCCCGGAGCACCCGAGGGAATGCAGCAGGCAGGAGGGCAGCCGAGGTTGCCCGGGGCACCCCAGGGAGTGCAGCAGGCAGGAGGGCAGCCGATGGTACCCGGGGAACCCCAGGGAGTGCAGCAGGCAGGAGGGCAGGGAGTGCAGCAGGCAGGAGGGCGGCCGAGGGTGCCCGGAGCACCCCAGGGAGAGCAGCAGGCAGGGGGGCAGCCGGGGGTGACCGGAGCACCCCAGGGAGAGCAGCAGCTAGGGGGGCAGCCGGGGGTGATCCGAGCACCCCAGGGCGAGCACCAGGCAGGGGAGCAGCCGGGGGTGACCGGAGCACCCCAGGGAGTGCAGCAGGCAGGAGGGCAGCCGATGGTGCCCGGGGAACCCCAGGGAGTGCAGCAGGCAGGAGGGCAGGGAGTGCAGCAGGCAGGAGGGCAGCCGAGGGTGCCCGGAGCACCCCAGGGAGAGCAGCAGGCAGGGGGGCAGCCGGGGGTGACCGGGGCACCCCAGGGAGCGCAGCAGCCAGAGGGGCAGCCGAGGGTGCCCTGGGCACCCCAAGGAGCGCAGCAAGCAGGGGGGCGATCGATGGACGACCAGGAGCAACAGTTGGAGGAGTGGTGTCGACTTTTGGAGTTTGATACCCCCATGGCGACTGCGGAGGAGTCAGAGGCGGACGAAGAACCTCCCATGCCGCCTTCCCCATGCCCCCGCTTTCCGTGTGACACGTGTTTCCACACTTTCGCTACGCGAGGGGCCGCTGCGAACCACATGAGGGTATGCCGGGCGGCTGAGGCGGAGAGGCGTGCACAGGCTCTCGGCTCGATTCCGTCTCTGGTGGAGACCGACACGCAGGAGCGATCGACGCCGCGGGAATTTGGGGACGAGGCGTGGGCTGGGGTTACGTCATGGGAATGGGAAACTTTTTTCAGTGTGGAGGCGGTTGGAGGGAGGACAGTGCGCCGGATCCCACAGCGGGCCAGGTCGGGGGTCTTAGACGCGCTCTGTTGCATCCTTAAGCGCTTGAAGAGCCAGCCTGGAGATGAAGCCGCTACCCTCCTACTCTTGGCGTTTCCGCGCCTTATCCTAGCCGTGCCTCCCAAGCCAGGCATAGGTCAGAAGGCGCTGATCACAGAGCGGTTGGGTGCGTTCTGGGAGGGGAGGTGGCGGGAGCTGTTCGACTCTGCCATGGTGGCGGCGCGGCCAGCAGTTCGCCCACATTCCTACACTTGCTCTGACCAGGACCCGGATGCCATCCGCCTGTCACGGTGCCGATCTCGGTGCAAAGTGGGGGAGTGGAGCCGAGGATTGGCCTGCCTTACAGCAGGGGAGCTGGCTCGACCGTCTGAGGCCATGGTGCAGTCGCTGCGAGAGAAGCACCCGGCTAGCGTTGGCGAGGTACCACAGTGGGTCCGCGATTTCACCATCGATACTGCTCAGCGGCCTTCACTCACGACCGACATCCTGGCCAGAGCTATCCATACAGCCACTCGAGCTTCAGCAGCAGGGCCATCGGGGTGGGTCACAGAGCATCTGCGCGACACCTTCCTCACTGAACCTTCCTGCCTTTCCCACTTGTTGGAAGTGTTCAACCAATGGGTGGCTCGGCCGTGGCTCGCCGCATCCAACCTAGTCGGGCTTTCCAAGCCTAACGGCGACGTCCGGCCGGTGGCGATCGGGGAGGTGCTTCCTCGTATCCTTGCTCGAGCTCTCTGCATCTCGCTCTGCCCTGCGATGGTTTCCTACTTCCTGCCGTGCAACCAGCTGGGAGCGGGCACCAGGGTCGGGGCGGAGATTCTCACTCATTCTTTTCGGTCAGCGCTGGCCACTCACCCCGACTGGTGCGCGCTACAGATTGACGTCGCAAACGCCTTCAATTCGTTTCACCGTCATGTGATGTTCGATGGGCTGCGGGAGTCGCCTTTCTCAGGGATGATCCCATTCTTGCGTGTTTTTTATGGGACACCTAGCGACCTGTACCTCCGAGCAGGCCCTTTCGTACAGAGCCTCGAGTCAGCACGGGGATCGAGGCAGGGGGGCCCGCTCGGCCCTTTTCTTTTCGCGTTCACGCAGCAGCAGGTGATGGAGCCGGTTACTAGGGAGTTCAAGGACCTGCTTTTCCTCAGCTATGCAGACGATACCTATATTTTGGGGCCAGCGGCTAGGATTCTGGAGGCTTTTGGGGTGCTGCGGGAGCGGTTGGAGTGGGTGGGGCTGGAGGTGCAGGCACACAAGTGCCGGTTTTGGGAGCGCGAGGGCAAGGAGGTGGAGCGGGCACTGCCATTGGGGATGCAACGGGTGGATGAGGGTCTTACTGTGGTGGGCGTGCCTATTTGGGAGGTGGTCCGGCTACAGGAGCGGCTTCGACAGTTGCAGGCGCCACTGCCATGGCTCCAATTGCTCGACCACCCTCAGATGGCTTCACACCTCCTCGCCATTGCAGTTTCAGCGCGGCCGATGTACCTCGCCCGGACTATGCCGCCGCGTCCGGAGGTGGTTGAGGCTTTTAGGGATTGGGACAGCTGTTTAGAGGATTGCTTTGAGCAGCTTTTCCCACCTGGCACTTGGGAGCAGGACCCCGACCGGTCTAGGCGCGCACGCATGCAGCTGCATCTCCCTGTGCGACTCGGAGGGTTCGGGATCCGGGCGGCGGCCTCTTTGAGCCCACTGTCCTATGTTTGTGGGTGGGCGCAGGCCGCGCGTGACATTGCACAGTTAAGGGTGGCGGGTGAGGAGGCGATGTTTGCAGAGTACCTCACCACTTCGACAGGGGCAGAGTTTCTTGACCCGTGGTTTGTCAAGGCTCTTGAGCAGCTGCCAGCGACTATCCGCCACGAGATACCGGGCTTACCTCTGTGTGTAGCGGCCCCTCCTGTTCGGCTTTTCCAGGCGCGGCAGCGGCAGTTAGCTGTAGAGGAGCTCCAGGCACTACGCCGCTTGGCTCGTGACGATGCTACCTTGGCCCGTTTCACATCCCTTCAGGGCCCGGGGGCGGGTGCATGGGTTTCGGCGGTTCCGGCTCACTCAGATCTCACATTCACTGCGGCTGAGTGGGGCATCGCTGCTGCTATACGGCTTGGCCTCCCAATTCAGCAGCTGCAGGTGGCGGGGAGGTGTGTTTGTGGCACAGCGTATGTTGACCCAGCAGACCCGCACCATGCCCTGAGATGCAAGCACCAGCATGGTCCATCTCGGGTGCATGATGAGGTGAAGTTTGCGGTGGCGAAGATCTCTAAGGCGTCGGGGGGGGTGGTGACAATGGAGGATAGTGTGGTGCTGCAGGGGAAGCGGGTTGATGTGGCGGTGCGACGACCAATGGCTGGAGAGGCTCACGCCCTAGAGATCAGCGTCGCGGACCCGCTATCGCTGTCTCCATCACTGCTGGGACAGTGCGGGCGTCAAATAGGTGTGGCGGCAAGGGAGTGGGAGCGTCGCAAAACGAGTGATTACGCGCCTCTGCTTGCACGCAACCGGGGCGTGCAGTTCACCCCTTTGATAGTTGAGACGTGGGGGTGTCTCGGCGGTCGTTTTCAGCGGTGGCTTCGTCAGCAGGGGGATGCGCACGTGGGGCTAGCTGTGTCGCGGGGGGCTTGTCGAGAGGACGACTCTGTGTTTTCGGCTTATCTTTTAGGGTCACTGAAGGCGCTCATCGGGGTGGCGTTACAACGTGCGCAAGCCCGTGTCATCCTGCTTCGAGCGGCGTCTTCCATGGGGGGGGATTAACGTAGATTTGGTGGACCGGGAGAGGGACGATGTCGATGTGGAAGGCGGGGCTCTCTGGGTAGAGGCCCCGTACATGGTCGATACGCTGTTGTGATTGAAGGGGGGGGGGGGGGGGGGGGGTGGGGTGTGGGATGGGATGTCTTGATGGGGTGTCTTGACTCGGCGTTTTGATTGGGTATCTTGAGGGGGGGTTTTGTGTGTGTTGCATTTGGATTCTTTTACTCATGTGCTTCTTCGTGAGTGGGGCAACACATAGGGAAAAATGGATGTCTGTGGTTGGGGTGGGGATGGGGAAAGAGAGATGCGGATTGCGATCGACGAACCTCATGGCAGCCATGGTGGAGGGGCAGGTTTTCTGACCAGTAAGAATCACGTGGGCCGATGAGCACGGTCATGACAACGATAATTTCTTTCCTAACTCCTTGATTTTTGGCAATGGGGGACATTGGTCAGCACGCCAACAGCTACCTAATTTTATGCTGGCCTCTTCTATTCGCGCCAGTTCCTAGAAATTGGGGGAAATGGGCTCTGACAGCGCCGACATGGACCTTTCCACGCTGGGTTGCTGCCCGTGCTTCTCGCCTGCCCTCACCTCCCTGCTTCCCGCTTGACCAATTTTACCCTTTTGGAGGATTTGTTCCCGCCAAACCCGCAGCAGAGGTGTGCAGGCACAACGAGAAGGGCCGGCCAACACCTGTGCAGATTTCCGCACCTTACTGAACCGTTTAAAATAGAAGTAAAGCACGGGAAATCATGGAAAAGAACCAGGGCGAGTCTCTACTTTCCCACGATACTCTCTTCACTTTTCGGCTGGAGACGGAAAAAGTTGTGCGATGTGGAGGAATGCAATGCAACGAACTGTAGAGTATTTTGTACAGTATCTGTATCGTCTAGTTGTGCACCTTGCTTTGCACACATTTCGTCTGGCAGCATTTCGTGCAGAACTGACCAATGAATGACCGCCATGGCTAGCTACAGTGACCCATGCCACTTTACTATTGCAGTTGTTGAACCTAGGACCACTACACTCCATGGGGGAGTTATTTATATTTTCACGTGACGCCTCGATTTTGGCCCGTTTTAGGGTCGTCGGACGGCCGACGCTCACCTGGTTGATATACATTGGCCTCCAGCGAGGGTGACTACAGAAGAATCTGCCGCGTTTTCCGGCTCGCATAGCCGCAGCGAGCCGAGTGCAGTCGTGCCGCGTAGTAGTAGGGTAAGGACTTGCAAGGAAAGTACACTGTATGGGTACTATTCAAGGAATACTCATGCATCACTTGCACTGCCAACACAGTGTCGAAGCAGCAATTTTTACCAGGCGCGCCGCAATGGTGATTCACGCACAAGGTCGTGTGTCCAGCAGACAGACGAGCACGAGCTACGAGGGTCAGATAGAGCCAAATATTATAGTCAACGGGTACCTCTTGACAGGCTTGAAACCCGCTCTAGTCCCCCTTTTTTTCGTCAGAGTTGCTCGTCGCGTTTAGAGGACGGCTGGCTGGCCCACGCGCCGCAGCGCGTCCTCGTTACGACGCTTTGCCTTGCGTCGGCTAGCTCTCCCCTACCCCTTCTCTGACGCGCCACGTCGAGACGAGCGGGAATCTTGCTTGACGTGCATAAGACGCCAGTGCTAAGTCGGCGCCACCCTATAACGACATGCACGAACCCTTGGACTTGCTCGTTCATACTTTGTTTGACAGCCGACTTTATTGCCAACAGCACCATACACCACCACAAACACTGAGCGAGCGAGCCGAGCACATCAGCCAGACGTCGTTTCGAGAAGCTTCGACTCGAAGGTCTCTCTCTCACCAGCACCGGTCCGCTGCTACAGCAGCAGTGGCGGTATCCCAGTGGGTGGAGTGGAGTGCATCTCCCAAGTGCATCCCTGAGTCGGAGTAGGCTAGACTAGCCCACCTGCATTTCGGTCTTGCCACTCGCTCAGTCACGTCGATCCAGTGAATATATAAGACGAGTTCATATCCCATCTTCGCATAGCTTGGCGGCGGGTCTCAGCATTTTTTAACAGCTCGTTTCTACCACGTCCTTTTCTCCTCTCGGAGAGGAGCCCTTTCGGAAAGTTTGCTTGGTTGGTGGACCTTCTCTCACCAGACTCTCTTACCAGCCAGACTCCTCTCTCAGATCACCCCATCAAAATCTTCAGAGGTGCATTGAGGCGAAATCTTCGTTTTTTAAAATTATTTCTCTGATCATTCCTTCGCTCAATGGCGAAGACAAGCAAGAGCCTGTGGGGGCACCTGGACGCGCTTCGGGGCACCAGCGATAAGCTCGCGTGCTTGCTGCTTCCAGACGGCAGCATTGAGATGTTCGGCGCGGGGAAGAAAGTCGCGGATATCCTAGCGGAGTATCCTGGTTACCACGTCGGCAGCCTCACCTCCTCCCGCCCACGACTCGCGCCGCAAAAGGTTCTGCGACCCGGCAGCACTTACCACCTCACCCCGGTTGTTTCGGCCGACGGGGAAAACGGCCCGCTTTCTCCAGGGGGAAATGGCGGGGAGGGAACTCCTCGTCTGCGTCGCGAAAGCGCGTCGTTTTTGCGACCTACGGAAGCGTTTGGCGAAGTCGCCAACGATGTTGCTTTGGTTCACGAAGGGCCGCACCGGGGCCCTTCCCGGCGAGTGTCGCTGGACCCGGGCTCGCTACGGCGGCACGCCACGGGATCGCCGCGAACGAGCACCCGCCGGCGGGTGATCCCCCGAGATCCTTTCACGGGCCTCCCTGCGACGCACGAAGGATCGCAGCCAGCTGAGTCGCAGCCAGCGCTGCTGAGCACAGCGATGGTCCGCGCAGCACTGACGGGGTCCGAAACGCAGAGATCTTCCGCGGAGGAGACAATGTGGACTCCGCACATGCAGCATAGATACGCTGGCGTTCAAGACACGCCAAGCGTTCAGACCTCCCCAATGGAGCCACAGCAACAGCAGGAGCAGGAGCAGCAGGGAAGCGCAACGAAAGTTGATGTGCTTGAGCGCGAACTAAAACTCCCCCGCGGTAACCAGAGGAAGCTGGCAGATTCGCCTGCTGCTGCAGTATTTCCAGACTTCGCTGTCTGTTACGACATTGACGAAGATGTCAGCGATGCGGGCAAACTTATGCGGCGAAAGACTACAATGTCGCATTCAAAATCGCACCCCCGCGAAATGTGTCACGAATGGGAACCTGTTTGGGCTGCTGTGGGTGGGTCATCCCCCGAACCCTACATCAATGCCACCGCAACTTACCACTCCCAACCCTTCAGTTCCATTGCATACCACTCCCAACCGTTTCATCAAACCATCAATTCTCCCCATTCGTTATCGTCCTGCCGTAAAGGCCTTGAGCAACCCATAAGCAGCACAACTCCCTCCAGCTGCGGCAACAGCAGCCATTTCAGTGCCGCTTCCGTGCGCTCCGCGCTCATGTCCTCGTCTCCCTCTGCCTCCTCCTCCTACTCCTCCTTCGCATCTTTCTCCGTTTTTTCGTCCTCCTCCATCCAGCTGACGAGCCAGGTGGAGTCCTTCACGCCTTAGGGAGTGGAATATGCTTCCGTGTATTTTGGGTCCTCATGGGCCTTGCATTCCCCGTTATCCGCTCCCTTACTGCATCGAAACTCTCGCTAGCATGAGCGAGTTTCTAAGTTGAAATTGCTGTGCCCTGTCACGCGTTGCTGCGCTTGCCAGTCAGGACGGGGTGGTTCTTTCTGAGCTTTGCTGCTCAATATCCGTGATGCTAGCCCGTGATGATTTTTTTCGGGAACTGGCTTTCTAGTCTTCCCGATTAGACTGTGTAGATTGCTGTACATGCTGAATGAATTAATAATATGCACAATGGAACCAACCGTGGCCTTTAGGCGGCGTCTCAATTAGCCACAAAATTTCGGTAAGACGATATTCCGAAAATCCGTATCGTTCCTGCATGTACCGATCATTGTGCAAATATCGCATTTCTCAAACCCCGCATTTTAGTTGGTGGCATTGGCACAATCGCGGCCCTCGATCTCTCTGACATACCAGGTGTGAATCTCCGACAGCCGCGATTCGTGAAACCTCTGTCTAGCAGGCTACCTAGTGCCCACAGTGTCAGTCAGACTAACGTAGTACGACCATCTCGATCGAGCGCTTTTCAATGCATCATCGTTCTACTCGCATGTTTCACAACAAAGCCTGGTTTCGCGAGCCGATACTATTTTATGCCGTTTGCATGCATGCTACATTCGAAATATTTCAATTTCGTTCGCCACATGGCGTTCGGCGTTGGAAGTTCCTCCATTTCGCGCAGAAAGGGGTTCCACTTTCGACGTCTTGAAACTCATTTCGTTCGATGTCTCTGAAACCGAACCTGGATCAATTGGCTCGTATTAGTCGGGTTTATTTCAGGCATTTTTGAAACGTCCCAACAGTTGAGACGAGCCCGGATCCATGGCGCCTCGTCAGCCGTGCTCCCTTACAACACATCTCAGAACTGAGACGGATCATCAACGTCAAAGTGAGTCCGCAATCCCGGTTCGTGCATATCAGCGCCCTGCGCCTGCCTGCACAGACTACCTTCTTCTCGGTGAGCACCCTGTGAGTCGACCGAAAGTCAATTCGTCCACATCAATGCCCTCCGCCTTCCTGTCCCCGCTGCCCGCCGCCTTTGTTTGTACTTCTGCCCCCTGTCACCCCATTCTCTTTCAACCCCTTCTCTGTCGCCCTGTTCTCTGTCGCCCTGTTCCCTGTCGCTCTGTTCTCTGCCGCCCCCTTCTATGTCACCCCCTTCTCTGTCATGTCATCCCCTTCTCTCTCACCCCCTTCTCTGTCACCCCCTTCTCTCTCACCCCCTTCTCAGTCAACCCCTTCTCTCTCATCCCCTTCTCTGTCAACCCCTTCTTAGTCATCCCCCTCTCTTTCGTCCCAGTCTCTGTCGCCCCCCTCTCTGTCGCCTTGTTCTTCGTCACCCTCTTCTCAGTCACCCGCTTCTCTCTCACCCCCTTCTCTACCAGCCCCTCCCTGCCAACTTCCTCCCTGCCCTTTTCCCTCCCCCTCATCGCTTGTCCTCTGGGAGGGGCTGAATGGCCCGAGGGTCGCCCGGAAAATATGCCCTCTACTCCTCTCTTGAGGCGCCTCAAACGCCCTCCATTTTCTCCTTTTCCATGCTCCCTCCTTCCTTCCCCCTCTCCCCCCTCCCTCCTCCCCCCCCTCCCCCTCCCACCCGCAAACAACAGGTCCTCTGGGAGGCACTAACGGGTCAGAGAGTCGCGTGGTAGAGAGCTCCTCACTCACTCAATCTCAGATTCGCATCCCCTCGCTCCTCCTCTGCTCCTGGCGGGGTTGCCAGGGGCAGAAAGAGGGGGAAAGGAGGAGGAAGTGGGAGGCGAGGAGGGCGGAAGGAGGAGGGGAATGGGAAATGATGAGGAGGAGTGTGTGTGCTACCGGTGGATGAGATGGATTAGCTGATCAGCAAGGGGCAGAACGTTTAGAGGGGTTGGGAAGGGTTGGACGGGATTGTGGAGGTGTTCAAAAGGATTGGGAAGGGTAAATCATGAGTGAGGCATCTCAGCCGTGCATAGATATGTGTGCTGCTGTTAGATGAGTTAGACGAGCTGATCAGCAAGGACACAGAACTTGTGGAGGGGTTGGGAAGGGTTGGGACAGATTGGGGTAGGGTTGAAAAGAATTGGGGAAGGCGCTGGGAGTGGTGGATCATGAGTGAGGCGTTCCCACATGTCAGCTGGGCATACATGTTTGTAGATGTGTGTGGTTCTGGTGGGTGAGATGGATCAAGTGATGATCAAGAACCAGAAGGTGGGAAGGAAATAGTCGATCAACTCGCGATGCCTCGCAGGCAGCATGGTGAGTTGAAAGGAGGCACATGGAGATGGCACGCTGGTGTGGCACGCTGGTGTGGCACGCTGGTGTGGCACGCTGGTGTGGCACGCTGGTGTGGCACGCTGGTGTGGCACGCTGGTGTGGCACGCTGGTGTGGCACACTGATGTGGCATGCTGATGTGGCATGCTGATGTGGCTTGCTGATGTGGCATGCTGATGTGGCATGCTGATGTGGCATGCTGATGTTGCATGCTGATGTGGCACGTTGATGTGGCATGATTCGGTGTTACGCCTGTTTGAACCCCATTCTCAAGTCGACTTGATAAAGTCTGAAGGTCACAGACCTGAAGAATAATGGTCCGTGCAAACTAAAGGACCAAAATTTCTCCTTGCTCCATCCGTTGCTCCCTCGCCCTCCAAGTGACTTCGTCTCTCCCCCTCCCCCTCCCCCTCCTTCCATCCCTCACTCCCTCCCTCCCTCTTCCCCAGTGAATACCTGGCCGAAATCTGTCTCCTTCTTCCCCAAGCTGCGACGCTGTAGTGCCCCCTCCTCTCAATCTCTGTTTCTCTGTTTCTTTCTTTCTTTCCCTCCCTGCAAATCTGGCGGAGACCTGCCGCCTTCCTCCCCAAGCGCTGCAGTGTTGTCATCCCTCATCGCAAACCCCTTCTCCCTTGCCTCGAACCCCCTCTCTCCCTCTCAAGCGGTCGGTGTATTAGATCCGAGCAAGTACAGACATGCACAAGGATAACGAAAGCAACTGTCAAAACAGCTTCTCCCTCTCCCTCTCCCTCTCTCACCCTCTCCCTTCTTCCACTCCAATGCGCGCATGGCATGTTCGCATGCTTTTTCCCCTTTTCTTTCCTTTTACCCAGTCGACCAGCAGAGCGTGCTGTTATCTACCCATTCTTGACTTGAGAGCATGGCTGAGTCTCGTCTTTTCCTCGCTGAGGGCACAGCGTTGCGATTCCATCCATTTCTGCAGCGCCTCAAGAATCGTCCCAATCCCCTCTCTCTCTTATCGCTCCTCTCTCCTCGCTGTCACCTATCGCTCCTTCCTTTCGAGTGCACGCCTTGTGCTAGCAGAGGGCGCAGCGCAGCGCTGCACTGCCTTTTGAGTCGACTCAAAATGCACGCCTTGTGCTAGCAGACGGGCGCAGCGCTGCACTGCCATCAGTGGATGCAGCTCAACTTGCCAGGTATGCTCCCCATTCTGCTCCACTTAGGTCAGCTTTATCTTGATGTATGACCAAGATATGTCTTGCTACGTTTCTTTCCTTTGCTCATGCGTGCGTGTGCAGGTTTAGTACGGTACGTGTTCTTGGTTGTGTTCTTTCCATAGTTCTTTCTTTCTCTTTCTTTCGTGTAGGGATAAAGTAGTTCATGCACTGAGGACCGACCAGGATATGCCCTGGGTGTCAAAGCACCTTGATTGATATTGAAAATCAGGTGCACCCTTGGTATGTGGTGTGGTGTGGAGTACCTTATCATATACCGTATGACGATGTGGTTTTATACGAAGAGAGCTTCCAATAGTGGGCCTGTAACCGTGAGCGGTTTATGAGAGGAAAAATGCATGGACACCTGCTTTCAACCAGCTCTGGTATTTCACAAGAAAAGGTATGTTAAGTTTCATGTGTTATTATGGACTTTTATTCTATGCACTCTTTTGCAAAAGCTAGTGCTAAAGGTACAGTGCGGGGGTCAGGGAAGGCAACTTATTGGAGCTCAAATTATTGGAGCTGGCTTATTGTGGGTGAATTCTTATTCGTTGAGAGCGCGATTCGTCATTCGACACCCTCCGCGCAACTGGTTTGGCAAGCGAAGCCAATGTACATTGGAAACGCGGTTCGGTAGCCTTGTTCCTCCTCGCCTCGGCGCATAAAACACATTCCCTTGCCCAAGCAAACAACCACAACTCACATTGCTGTGCACCTCGTTGCTTCCACCACAGTTTTTCCTCCACATTCGCGACAGATAGTTCGTTTCCTTCATCTGAAACTCTTCACTAAGGCTTGCCAGCTTCACTGCGGACGCTCGTCCAAGAAGCCTCAAGCTCCACCACCTCTTCTCCAATCATGGGGCGACGAGACAAAAGCGCCATCAATGGAGCCTTGGCGATCATCCTTGTCGTAGTAACCCTGTCAGGTGCGACTTCGAGCTGTTTCCGCAAAAAGCATTCGCGACGTTTCTGACGAATCTGACGAACGTGCAAGTCGCACGCACAACAGCCGTCTTGACTATCGTCTTTCTTGAGATTGCCCTAGTCAGTTCCCACATTTTTGCGCGAGTCGTGTGACAAGCATCCTCATGGTTGCTACGCACGATACCCACCGGAAAAAAATTACCAACGTGCCTAATTTGCTCAACTTTGAACCTTATACCGAATTTCCCGTGCAGCGTCTTTTGAGACGCCCCAAAAGTCTTTTACCGAATTTCCCGTGCAGCGTCTTCCTGGCAGACAGCACGAGCGTTCGGCTTCTACGACGGCACCCAACAGACCGAAGTCAACCAGCTGAATACCGGCCGTACCCAGCTGAATACTGACGGCACCCAGCTAAATTCCGGCGGCGACCAGCTGAATTCCGGCGGCGACCAGCTGAATTCCGGCGGCGACCAGCTGAATTCCGGCGGCGACCAGCTGAATTCCGGCGGCGACCAGCTGAATTCCGGCGGCGACCAGCTGAATTCCGGCGGCGACCAGCTGAATTCCGGCGGCGACCAGCAGCAGCTGAATTCCGGCGGCGACCAGCAGCAGCTGAATTCCGATGGCGTTCAGACCGACAACTCCGTGACGCCGATTGCAAATGACAACAGCGGATACACCAATAGCGTTGAATCTGTCCCCGCCAAAACCAGCAAAACGAACTCCGGCGAAAATTCCGCGGCGATTGTCGTTCCCGTTGGCGCGACAGTCGGCCCGATAGCCGTCAACGCCGCTGGCGGGCTCAGAGTGACGGGCGGCAACAACCAGGTGGAGATTAATCCTTCCGGGAGTGCTGACGTCAGCTCTGATCTGCTTAAGACAAGCGCTTCTGGGGATGCAATTGGCTCCGCGAAGTTCAACCGTGAGGGGGTTACCGCGAACGTCGACGGATCTGCAAACGCGAACGTGTTTAACGGCATCGGGACGGGCGAGGCGAAGGCGAAGGGCAGCGCCGGCGTGACGAAATCCGGGGTCAACGCGGACGCTTCGGTTGGCGCGAATGCTGACGTGGCAGGCGTGGGAGCGAATCTGAATATCGGCGCTGGCGGCGGGTTCAACAAGAAAGAAGTTAACGCGAATGCCGGGTTTGGAGTTTACGGGAACGTGGGGAATATCGCAGGTGCCGGAACTAATATCGGGTCGAAGGCAAAGGTTAGCCGCGACGAGGTTTCCGCGGACGCCGGGTTTGGAATTGGCGCGAGTGTGAAAGGTATTGGGGCTGGAGGTACGGCCGCGTCGGCGGCTGAGATTAGCCGCAAAGGCGTGAAAGCTGGGGCGAATGCGGGCGCTTCGGTGCAACTCGGTGACGTTTACTCGAGGAGCTTAGACGTTTCGGCGCGGGCGGAGCTGCGTGGGTTGGGATTTGAGCTGAATGTGAAAACCGTCGACCAGGCGAAAATTTTGGGAGTGAGCGGAAGAGACGAAGCTACGACGACGTTGGTTCTCGGCGATCCGAACACGAACGTGCCGCAGCTGGTGGTTCGCGGCTTAGCAAGGGGATGAGCTGCGTCAACATTCCGGACAGTTTCGCACGTTCGGCGAATTTCGTGCAGGTGTCGTGGCGCAGTACGGTAACAGCAGACGGGAAGACGGAAGAAGTTGCGAAGTGGTGCAAGAAAATTGTCGCGCAGCCGCAAAAGGGGTGCCAGGGTAACCCGCTGGATAAATTCGAGTTCAACCCTTCGTCTGCCCGCAAGGCCATGAACAAGTTTTTCGGGTCAGTTTCGTCGTATACCCCCTCCCTCTCCCCTTTGCCTTCCCCCTCCCTCTCCCCCTCCCCATCCCCCTTCCCCTCCCCCCTCCCCCTTCCCTTCCCCCCCATCCCCCTCCCTCTCCCCCTTCCCTTCCCCCTTCCTCTCCCCCTTCCCTTCCCCCTTCCCCTCCCCCTTCCTCTCCCCCTTCCCTTCCCCCTTCCCCTCCCCCTTCCTCTCCCCCTTCCCTTCCCCGTTCCCCCCCCCTACTTTCCCTTTTTACCGCACCCTTTGTCCACCACCAACAACACCACCTCCTCCTCCACCTCTTCCATTTCTCTCCCCCTCTTTTCACTTCTCCCACCCTCCCCCCGCCCCCCCCTTATATCCCCAAGTCCCCCCCTTCCCCCTGCACCCTTCCCCAACTTTTTAAGTCTGTCCAAATCACGGAGGTTTTCTGAGACTATCACCCAGAAGCTTCAAGCTTCCTCACTTGAATACTCCTCACTTTCAAGACTATGCAAATCAACAAAATCAGACTTCTGGGGCACCTCAGAAGTCCTTGCTTCCAATTTCCCCATCTCCCAAGTCCTCCCAACACGCCAAAATCTCCCAAACCCCATCATCTTTTGCTTTTGAAAATACTAAATAAAAACGCCAGCCCAAACTACCAGAACCTCCCAAGCTCAGTGCATCGTTCTCGCACAGTCACATCCTATCATCTTGTTGATTCCAATCCTCCCACCCCTTCTCACCCTTCCCCTTCTTCCCCAGTCCCTGCATTCCCCCCTCTCTTCCTTCCACCAACCCCCCTCTCCCCACTATTTCCCCCCAAACCATCGGTGTTTGAGGCGCCTCAAAAACCCAAACCATCGGTGTTTGAGGCGCCTCAAAAACCCAAACCATCGGTGTGTGTCCATAAAAGCTCTCCCCTTCTCATCCACCCCTCCCTGTTCCCCCTGTTCCCCCTCTCCCCCCCCCCCCCCTCTCTTCCACCCCCTTCTTTCCCCCTTCCTTCCCCTCTCCCCGCTCGCCTCTCTCAAACCAACAGCATGCTCCGCATCAAGAAAAAGGAGGTCGCTCGCTCCCTACCCGCACCCTCCCTCACCCACCCCTTTTCAACCCTCCGTGCACTTCCTCCCCTCCCCTCCCCTACTTCTCCACCAAACCATCAGCATGTTCCGCATCAAGAAGAAGGAGGTCGCCCGCACCCTCCTCACAACACTCTTTCCTGGTACCCATCCTCTCACTCCTCTCTTCCCCCTCTCCCCCCTCACCCTCCAAACCATCAGCAAGTTCCGCATCAAGAAGAAGGAGGTCGCTCGCTCCCTGCGCTGCGTCAACTGTGAGTCCATCCCCCAAGTTCCCCCAAGTCAGTTTTTTTAGTCGACTAAAAAACCGAGTCAACTGTGAGTCCCCGCCCCCCAAGTCTCGTGATAAAAGGGTGATTTTGCGTCGTGAAGTACCCTTTTTGAGACGTTTCAAAAACACCTTTTTATCACGTGCGTTGCGTTAGCTGTGAGTCCCCCGCCCCCCAAGTCCCCCCAAGTCATAGCATCCTAGCTGCACTGTAGCATCCTAGCTGCACTGTAGCATTATAGCTGCACTGTAGCATCCTAGCTGCACTGTAGCATCCTAGCTGCACTCTAGCATCCTAGCTGCACTGTAGCATCCTAGCTGCACTGTAGCATCCTAGCTGCACTGTAGCATCCTAGCTGCACTGTAGCATCCTAGATGCACTGTAGCATCATAGCTGCACTCTAGCATCCTAGCTGCACTGTAGCGGGGTGACCTTAAATCCACACTGCTACCTGCGTTGTGTCGACTGTAGAATCCACCCTTCCCCCCTCCCCCACAACCCCACCCTCCCCCCAAAAGAAAGTCCCAGCTGCATCCTAGAATTCTAGCTGCCCAAGCACCCTACCATTCAAGCATTCCAGCATTTTAGTACGGTATCTTAACTATGGTAACTGCATTGCGGCACTCCCTGCACTTTCTTTTGAATCCAAGCAAAAGTCGCCTCACCCATGGTCACCTCACCCATTGTCATCTCACCCGTTCTCACCTCACCCGTTCTTGCCTCACCCACTGTAGGAGATTCAGGAGGACAACAGGCAGCACTGGTGCCTCTAGAAGGAAATTCAGGAGAAGAACAGGCAGCGGCCATTTCCAAGCTAAAAAGCTCAAATAAGGCCCATTTCTCAAATAAGCTTCATCTGTTGCTTCTCTCACACAAGTCCCATTTCTTGTACGGTACGGTATCTTCTACGGTGTAGGTATAAACTACCGTATCTGTATGTCCCTCTCTTATATAATCTTTGTAAAATGGCCATAAAGCCTTTTCAGCAGCAGTCTATCAACCTTGTAATATGTCGTACAGTACCATGTGTTACACATGCCCTACAGCAAAGATCCTACACCCAGCAATGCCTCGCTACCTATCCCTGGCTCACCTTCACATTCCCCTCTTTCCCTCCCCTCCATGAGGCTCCTCCCCTCCCACCCCCTCCTCTCCCTCTCCCTCCCCTCCCTCCTCTCCCTCCCCTCCCTCCTCTTCCCCCTCCCCTCCCTCCACCTTTCCCTTGTTCTCCTGATGCCCCTCCTGCCGCTCCCCCTCCGGCCCCTCCTGTCGCTTCCCCTTCCGAACCTACTGGTTTGGTTCGGCGCTTGCTTCGCCAGAGCAGCCGGATCGGTGTGCCTTCAAAGTCAATATTCTCCCGAAGCTGATTTTCCATGTATCGCCGATACTGCTGCCCGAAAAGTTTCGCGTCGTTAACGAAAAACACAAAGGTCGGCGGGTTAGTCGCCGCCTGAGTGCTGTAATATATTTTTCCTCGCTTGTTACCCTTTCCGCCTCCGGGCAGCGGTTGAAAAGAAACAGCCTCTCCGACCACCTGGTTCAGCGTGGCCGTTGTAAGGCGCTTGGCCCGCTGCTGGGCAGCAAAACGGGCAGCTTCCAAAATCCTGAGCAAAGACGAGGCGAGAGATGAGGAATAGAGTAAGTGTGAGCGAGAGAATTTGCATGTCAAGTAAGTGTGAGCGCCATGTGAGGGCATGCCAAGTAAGTGCGCCATGTGAGGGCATGCCAAGTAAGTGCGCCATGTGAGGGCATGCCAAGTAAGTGCGCCATGTGAGGGCATGCCAAGTAAGTGCGCCATGTGAGGGCATGCCAAGTAAGTGCGCCATGTGAGGGCATGCCAAGTAAGTGCGTGGCACATGACAAGCTGATGACGGTGCTGGTGATGGCCTTGCTATGCTACGCGCTCAACTCGCACACCCATACACACGCATCCTCACAGGCACTCACTTGGCCACTCTCTGCCCTGTGGTAGCAGAGGTGAACACCAGCGAGCCCAGGGCATGGAGCGCATTTTGCAATTTTACCCACACGCTCAAGCAAACCCCCCCCCCGCCCCCCCCCCCACACACACATCCCAACAAGCACTCACTTGGCCACCCTCTGCCCCGTGGTCGCAGAGGTGAACAGCAGGGGAGCCCAGGGCATGGAGCACAGCTTCCCCCGCACATCCTGTGTGTAGCTCACTGTGCTGGTGGCTTGGTTAGTTGTTCCCATACACACACACACAGGCACCCACAGACACTGGTACCCACACTCCCTACCCAACAGGCACTCACTTGGCCACCCTCTGCCCCGTGGTCGCAGAGGTGAACAGCAGGGGAGCCCAGGGCATGGAGCACAGCTTCCCCCGCACATCCTGTGTGTAGCTCACTGTGCTGGTGGCTTGGTTAGTTGTTCCCATACACACACACACAGGCACCCACAGACACTGGTACCCACACTCCCTACCCAACAGGCACTCACTAGGCCACCCTCTGCCCCGTGGTCGCAGAGGTGAACAGCAGGGGAGCCCAGGGCATGGAGAGTAGCTTCCCCCGCACGTCCTCCGTGTAGCTCACTGTGCTGGTGGCGTCTTTGTCCGCCACAATCTCAAACACTGGTGCTCACACTCACACACCCACACTCACTTGGCCACACTCTGCCCTGTGGTACCAGAGGTGCGGAAGACGCAAGACGCTTGGGCCGATTTTTTTCGGTCAGCCCGAAAAAAAAAATCGCGCGCGCGAAATTGAATTTCGCGATTTCGAAGCGAAATTCAATTTCGCGACATTTGCACCTCCTCCCACCCATTTCGACCATAGAAACCAGCCCCCCAAGCAAATTTGATACCCCCCCAACCAAAATTGCACACAAACCTCACTGCACCGCTAGTATCTAGAAAACCCAACCTCTATGGCAAACCACCAAGAGGTTGGGGAGCACAAATCCCCCATTTGTGCTCCCCATCTTTCATTTCTACCAAACTCTCTTTCAAAAACCCTTTAGGGTTTGGCTAGTTCCCTCGGGAAACTCTAAGTATGGGGAAAAGGTTATGGTACAGCGAAAATTTGACCCAATTGTGACATATGTGCATGTCCCCCACCCTCCCCATGCCCCACAGAAGCTTTTTTAGGCTGCCCGAACTTTTTTTGCCTGCCCGGGCTTTCGTCTAATCCTGCATCTAATCTGGCCTGAAATGCGTCTAGCGTCTTAGACGCTGCGTCTAGACGCAACCGTCTAAGACGCTAGACGCGTCTTCCGCAACATAGCTGTGGTAGCAGAGGTGAACACCAGCGGAGCCCAGGGCATGGAGCGCAGCTTCCCCCGCACGTCCTCCGTGTAGCTCACTGTGCTGGTGGCGTCTTTGTCAGGCACGGTGTCCCACTTGTATAGTACCCACCCACTCAGGTACCCACAGCCACAGGTATTCACACACACAGGTACCCACACACACAGGCACCCACACACACAGGCACCCACACACGGACTTGCACACATCCCCAACCCACAGGCACTCACTTTGCCACCCTTTGGCCTGTCGTCGCAGAGGTGAAGACAAGGGGAGCCCAGGGCATGGAGCGCAGCTTCCCCCGCACGTCCTCTGTGTAGCTCAACGTGCTGGTGGCGTCTTTGTCTGGTACTGTGTCCCACTTGTTCACAATCACCACACACGCCTTGCCCTCCCTCTCTATCTGCTCTGCTAGTCGCAGATCCTGTAAGAGGGGAAGAGATGGAGAGACGAGACGGGAGTGCAGGAAAAAAGGGTGAGGGAGAGAAAGACCTGATTGCCCTCTGCACCCGATTCACTGACAGCCCCTCCGCCCTGCTGCCTGCTGCCTGCTGCTTGCTGCTTGTTGCTTGCTGCTTGCTGCTTGTTGCTTGCTGCTTGCTGCTTGCTGCTTGCTGCCTACCTGCTGCCTGCTGCCTGCTGTCCTAGAGGCACACGCGACCCCTATACAGTCACCACGCCACATTCACACCCACCTGCTCTGTGACACACAGCATGGCATCAACCACGAGTCCCACCACGTCTGTCCGCCTGATTTCCCTCAGTGCCCGATTCACTGACACTGCTGCTCGCTGCCTGCTTGCTGCCGGCTCCATTCTCACTGCCAGTCACACGCACCTGCAGTCACACCCATACTGTCAGACCCACCTGCTCTGTGACGCACAGCATGGCATCAACCACCAGCCCCACCACGTCCGCCCGCCTGATGGCCCTCAGCGCCCGATTCACCGACAGCCCCTCCGCCCTGCTGCCTGCTGCCACCGCTGCTCGCCTGCGCACCCCTGCTGTGTCGATCAGAGTGTATTCCTGAACGGGTTGAGGTGGGAGGCGGAGAGGAGATGGATTGTGGAGTCAGTAAGAGACGTTGATTCTGCTTTTTATCCGGCTACTGCTGCTGCTGGTATAGGGAAGTACTCACTCATTATCAGTATGAGGACATATGCCACACAGCCCTGTCAGCAACGCATGAGCACACACACAAAACCACGCACGCACGCACGCACCCACCCACCCACCCACCCACCCACCTGTCCGTCTGGTCCGGTGAACTTGGAGTCAATGGCATCGCGGGTGGTGCCGCTGACAGGGCTCACGATGGTCAATGGGATGTGAGAGTAGTAGACCCTGTCAGTCAGTGTATGGTAAGTCTACACACGCATGCTCGCACCAACACACCTGTCCGTCTGGCCCGGTGAACTTGGAGGCAATGGCATCGCGGGTGGTGCCGCTGACAGGGCTCACGATGGTGTGTGAAAGTACCCATTATAAACATGAGGACACACACAAACAGACAAAAACACCCACCTGCCCATCTGGCCCGGTGAATTTGGAGTCGATGGCATCGCGAGTGGTGCCGCTGACAGGGCTCACAGTGGTAAGGGGAAATAATCTATCAGCTTGAGACACGCACGCACGCACGCACGCACGCACGCACGCACGCACGCACGCACGCACGCACGCACGCACGCACGCACGCACGCACACACACACACACACACACACACACACACACACACACACACTTGCACATAAACCCACCTGTCCATCTGGCCCGGTGAACTTGGAGTCGATGGCATCGCGGGTGGTGCCGCTGACAGGGCTCACGATGGTCCTCTCCTCCCCCAGAAGCGCGTTCACTATGCTGCTCTTGCCCACGTTGGGCCGCCCCACTATTGCCAGAGACACTCGGCCGAGCTGCAGGGGGAGTGTGGAGTGATCGAGCAGCACAGCGGGGAAGAATGAGTGACAACAATGATAGCGGCAATGAGAAAGAGTGGTTAAGTATAAAAGGCGCCTCAAGGTGACTTTTGAGTCGACTCAAAAGTTGCCTCATAGAGCAGCACAGCGGGGAAGAATGAGTGACAATAATGATAGCAGCAATAAGAAAGAGTGGTCAAGTATAAAAGGCGCCTCAAAACGTACCCGAATGCTGGAAGTAGAGTAATTTGCTGGTGATGTTGGAAGAGAGTGAGGTGGGGCTGATCGCGGTGGGAGTGAGTGAGATGAAAGTGAGTACGGTGGCCCCAACACCTTAGGTGTGTGATTACCACCAAGCAGCGACCAACCTGTGTGGTAGCAGCAGTGTCACTGCCGGTGATCGCGGAAAGAGAAGTGGAAGATCCGGGTTCCTGCACGGTAAGAGGGGACAAGAGAGGAGATGAGAGGAGAGTAGTGTTTAGAGGAGAGGAGGAGAGGTGTGGGGAAATTGAGTATGATAAAAAGCATGGTAGGAGTCTTTTGAGACGTTTCAAAAGGAGTCGAAGCAAAAGAATGCTTGAGGGTTCTTACAGACTGAGTGTAGTTTTGAGACGTCTCAAAACTGGGTTCTTGCAGACTGAGTGTAGTTTTGAGACGTCTCAAAACTGGGTTCTTACAGACTGAGTGTATCACCACAAACCTCCTCATTCCCCCCCCCACCTACTCATATATCAATCTCATCCCCCTCCTCATGCCCTCGCCTTCTGCGACGGCAGCGCCTGTAAAAGCTCATCCAGCTGTGATGTGCTTTGAATTGTGCTTGCCCTCGTTCCCTTGATGACTATCAGCATCGTCGCCCGCATCGCATCAACTAACCAACATCCTGGGACAGCAGCTCATTTAGCAGGTCGCCCATGCCCGTGCCCGTGCCCATGCCCATGCCCATGCCCGTGCCCATGCCCGTGCCCATGCCCATGCCAGTGCCCATGCCCATGCCAGTGCCCCTGCTCGTGCCTCTGCTCGTGGCCCTGCTCATTCCATCAGCCATTCACCAGGTGCCTGTGCCTCACCTCCTGCGACGGCAGTGCCTTGAGCAGCTCATGCAGCAAGTCACCTGTGCCGTTCCTTGCACGTTGTTTTCCATGATTTCCTCATCATCATCACCACCAATCTCCTCCGCACTTCCTCATTCCCTCACCTCCTGCGACGGCAGCGCCTTCATCAGCTCATCCAGCAGGTCGCCTGTGCCCGTGCCTGTGCCCATGCTCATTCCATCATCCTCCTCCTCCTCAGCACGTGCCTGTGGCTCACCTCCTGCGACGGCAGCGCCTTCATCAGCTCATCCAGCAAGTCGCCTGTGCCCGTGCCTGAGAGGGCCGACACTGCCAACGGGGTCAGGCTGAAGGATGGGCACGGGACAGGGTGGTGAGAAGGCAGGGAGGAGTGTGGGATGGGTATGGGGCAAGCGCTTGGCTGGTCGCCTCATTACAACGGAGGGGGTAGGGAGGAATGAGAGGGGAGTGCGTGGGAGGGGCATGGGACAAGCGCTTAGACGGTCGGCAGTGCCCCTGTTTGAGAGGGCAGGCACCGCCATAGGGGTCAGGAAGGCTGGATGTGGGGCATGGAGTTGTGGGGTAATGGAAATGGGGATGTGGCACAGCAAGAGGAAGACAGAGGGAGGGCAGGGATGAGGATGACGCCGTGGGTGCACGCTAACCCTTGTTGCCAGCCCAACCCCAACGACCACCAGTGAACTCGGTAGTGTGCTTTAGTTTTGAGGCGCCTCAAAACTAGGTGGTGTGCAGCAGGAGCCCTTTGGTGGGCGACGACGGGCACTTGTTCACTGCCAGACCGAACCACGACGAGCATAGACAGGACCCAAGGAAAGGAACCACACCATATTCTTCTTTCCCATTCCCCTCTTCCACTCACCCCAGCGACCAGAACTCGGCAGTCTGCAGGAGCCCTTTGGTGGGCGACTCGCACTTGTTCACTGCCAGAAACACCGGCTTGCTGCTCTGCTCTCCACATGGCACGCCAGCACTATACCTTCCATCCCCTCTCTTCTCTTCTACTCACCCTAGAGACCAGAACTCGGCGGTTTGCAGGAGCCCTTTGGTGGGCGACTCGCACTTGTTCACTGCCAGGAAAACTGGCTTGCTGCTCGCCACGTGGCGCCGCCGCAGCCACTGAGCTATCTCCACATCAGCAGCTGTTGCGCCAGCCTGGCAGGGTTTGGAATGGGGAGAAGACGAGGGAGGAGGTACGGGCAGAGGGGTTCAAACGCGTTTACCCTCTAGACAATGTAGCCTTTATCCTTCTACACCATATAATTCATCCCCAGACCTCTAGAGGCGTGATATTCACGATTATTTTAACCTTCGCAACACAGATTCCCCACCTGCCCATCCACCCACCTGCCCATCAACCACCATGATGATCACATAAGCCCCTTCCACCGCAGCAGCACCACCACCTGTAGGCTCTAGAGGAAAACCGAAAATAAGCCATGGTACTTGCTCCTCTGAATCCCTGAACCCACCTGCCCATCCACCCACCTGCCCATCCACCCACCTGCCCATCCACCACCATGATAATCGCATCAGCCTCCTCCACGGCAGCAGCTGCCTGCCGCCCAATCAGCTCCGGCAGACCCGCCACCTCAGCCTCCTTCGCCGCCCGCTCGTTGGCCAATCGCCCGCCGCCACCTGTACCATTTGCCACGATAGGTGAACGTAGGTGATAATCTTATCTTAATGATCTCATTGGTGAAGGAGAAAGTTTTTTTGAGGCGCCTCAAAAATCCTCATTGGTGAAGGAGAAAGTTTTTTTGAGGCGCCTCAAAAATCCTCATTGGTGAAGGAGAAAGCTTTTTTGAGGCGCCTCAAAAATCCTCATTGGTGAAGGAGAAAGCTTTTTTGAGGCGCCTCAAAAATCCTCATTGGTGAAGGAGAAAGCTTTTTTGAGGCGCCTAAAAAATCCTCATTGGTGATAATCTTATCTTAATGATCTCATTGGTGAAGGAGAAAGCCTCCGTTTTCCCAACCCAAGCACTTGGATGCTTAAGGCAGCTGTGCAAAAGGGTAGAGGGGTAGAAGAAGTAGCATCCAGGGAAGGGAACCGAGTTTTACTCTTCTGGTCTGTTCGGACAAGAGACCTTTATGAGAGTCTGTCTGTCTTCATGGGACGAGACGAGCAGTCAGTTACATCCACTCACTCACCAACCAATGACAGCAACGCCATTCGTCGCTGCGAGTGCCATGCCAACCAACAATGCTGTGGACAAAGCTGATCCCCCGCCCTGCCCTCGCCCCGCCCCTCTACCACCCTTGACTACACTGATGTGCCTACATACATACATCCATCCATCCATCCATCCATCCACTCACTCACTCACCGATGACAGCGACAGCGACACCATCCGCCATCTTCATGTTACTGTTGAGAATGGCGTCGCTGTTGAGAATGGCGTCGCTGTTGAGAATGGCGTCACTGTTGAGAATGGCGTCACTGTTGAGAATGGCGTCGCTGTTGAGAATTCTCACAAGTAACATCCACTCACCGATGACAGCGACGCCATCGGCCTTGGCCAGTGGCAGCAGGGCCGTGGAGGAAGCTGAGCTGATCCCCGCCCTGCCCTCGTCCCTCTCCTCTACCACCCATGACCTGACTAGAGTCAGTCATTCATGTGTTGACAGTTGAACCGTTACACTCACTCACCAATCACAGCGATGCCATCCGCCTTGGCGAGTGCGAGCAGGGCTGAGGACGCTGATCCGCGCCCTGCCCTCCCGCCTCTACCGCCCTTTCCCCTCTTCGCAACCACACCCTCTGCACCATCAGCAGCTGCAGCACCACCGTTAGCAGCACCACTAGTAGCAGCGGCAGCAGCAGCAGCAGCAGCAGCGGCAGCGTTGGGTGCGTCCATGAGGCCTCCGGTGTCGGTGAGAAGGAACTGGCGGCCCTCCCAGAGAGCACGCGCGTACAGCCGGTCCCTTGTCACCCCGGGCTCGTCGTGGACTATTGCTATGTTGCGCTGGGGGGGGGGGCGGGGGGGGAGGGGGGATAGGGGATGGGGAAGGGCAGAGGATGGGATTGAGCACCAATAGCAGCAGCAGCCTAGCCGCCACCACTGGTACAGGCGGTCCCTTGTCACCCCGGGCTCGTCATGCTCTACGGCTATGTTGCGCTGGGGGGGGCAGAGGGGGGGGGGAGGAGAAAGAAACAGCATATCACTGAGCTTCAGCAGCAGCAGCAGCAGCAGCAGCAGCAGCAGCAGCAGCAGCAGCAGCAGCAGCAGACCGCACGCGTGTACAGGCGGTCCCTTGCCACCCACCCCGGGCTCGTCATGCACTATGGCTATGTTGCGCTGGGGGGGAGGGGAGGAGGAGGAGAAGGATGAAGGAAGAAAAAGCAACATGCTATTGGAATTCAGCAGCAGCAAAAGTAGCAGTTGCAGCAACACCACTGGCTCAGCCAGTCCCTTGTCACCCCGGGCTCGTCATGCACTATGGCTATGTTGCGCTGGGGGGGAGGGGAGGGGGGAGGTGGGAAAGGGGGATGGAGAGTGGGAGGGGGGGCATGCGGCGTAGGGTTGGGGAGTGTGGTGGTGAGTTGAAGGTAGCATCGGAGCTTGACTCGACATGCACTCATGCGATGTTCCACTGGGTGATGGGGAAGGAAAATGGGAAGATGGGAGGGGGGTCGGATCAGATTACGTGTGTGTGGAATGAGCATTTAGCCTCAACTCAGCCAGCAACAACACACAGAAGGCTAATAATCAATTACTACACTCCACTCCACTCCACTCCACTCCACTCCACTCCACTCCACTCCACTCCACTCCACTCCACTCCACTCCACTCACTGCACCACTCACCCCCACAAGGCGATTGAAGAGAGCTGACTTGCCCACGTTGGGTCGCCCCACTATGGCCACTCGCGGCAGCAGATGCTCCGGTACCTGCCATCGTGGCCCCATGCCATCGTGCCACCATGCCATCGTGCCACCACGATTGTCAAGAGTAAACAAAGGATGTAGAAAGAATTATGCCATCATGCATGCCATACAAGCCATCATACCACCATGCCATGATGCCAGCGTGCCATCAAGCCATTATGCCACCATGCCATCATGCTCCATGCCATCACGCCATGATGCCATCCCACATAGACCATTGGCAATGCCATTGCAGGGGGATTCACGTGTGCCCATGAATATGCATGCATGTTGCACATTCGTGGCGATGCATGCATGCATGACAATGGCATGCACATGAATAGATCCGCAAAGGAACATTGTCACTGAATAATGTCACCTGCCCTTCCGCTTGCTCTCCCCCTTCCCTCGATAATACCCTGATAAACCCTGGACTCGTTAAACCCTGCACCTGGTAAGCCCTGAATATTCGATGTCCTATGCCTGCGAGACCGTGGGCTTGGTGAGCTCTACACCTGATAAACCATGGGCATTTAGAAATGTATAACTGACAGGCCGAGGCCTAAATAGAAACATTATTGACAAACTCTGGATTGGATAAACCTTAATAAACCCTGTCCCTGATAAACCCGCGCGTGATCTTAGACTGACGTTCCGAGCTCACCTCCTCAGTGACCTCCCGTCGGCGTCGCCAGCCCTTGCGCCGGCTCTCGTCCCTCTCCTGCTTCTCAATCGCCTCCACCACCACCGCCATTGCTGCTCTCTCCCAATCAGCTGCTGCCATCTGTACAACAGCATCGTCCTCATCATCCTCCTCTGCTCCCTCCTCCCCTTCCAGCTCTCCCTCCTCTAAATTCTCCTCGTCTTCGTCTAAACCGTATATTTCATCCTCCCACTCTTCCTCCTCATCCCACTCCTCCTCTTCCTCTTCTCCTTCCTCTCCTATTCTCCGCACTAGCGGTCCTGGCTTTCCCTTCTCCCCATCCCCAGACCCCTTGATTGCGCGGAGGCATGCTCCGCGGAATGCGGAAGGATGCTTGTGCGAGAGATCGGAGTGAGATACGGACAGCAGAAACGACGACGGTTGTCGCCACGGGAGAAGCTCTGCTAGCCGGGAAGGACGGGCGACAAGAGGAAAGTTATTGATAGTATTATTATATAATCTGCGGTGAAGTACTCTGACGGGAGTGGGAAGGGAGTGGGAAGCGGAGAAAATGATTATGCAGAATCGTTGATAAACTACATCTCAAATAGGAAAAGCTTCACGATGCCTCATTAACAGTAACAGTCACGAGTTTTGAATGCCCGTTTTGGATTTGAATGAGAAAAGGGAGACAGAAATGCAAAAAATCAGGATAGTTTTCACCAACTTTCGGACGGAAAGTATGCTAGGGAATGGTGGCTCAGATCACGGGTTCTGGGAGGAGAAAACTGCGAGAAGGAGATTACCAGAATGCAGCTTCGTCGCTTGGGGACAGGTCAACGATCTGCAGACCGCTAGCTGCGACGAGGATGCAGCCATGGCTGCTTGCTGCTAGAATGATGCGAGGAAAGTAAGAAGCTGTACACATGAGTTTTGGGGTTGAGCGTCCCCGGCAGTAAGAAACCTCTTTTGACAGAAGACCAACATCCATCAATCAACTGCCTACAAGAAATTTGTTTGATGACTGTGTCGAGCTCGAAGATTAATTGTTGCGAATTTAGTGTTCACGTCAACCTTTAACTCAAGTCCAGCAGCCAATAGTGAGTATAGCCTCAACCACTCTCCAGAAATTTCTGGTCGCTCGTTGCATTCCGAATTCGGATGGGCCAATCGGAAGAATGCGATGTTCCCAGGATCTACCTGGACACAAACCAAGCTGGAAGGCTCAGTGAACACCGAACCAGGGAAGCCAAAGCGGTTCTGAAAAACGGGCTGATTATTTGTTGTGCCACAGAGTTCTGTCTCGATTTTTGTTGTGTACTGATTGGATGTCGGAGATGTCATTACGTCATTTTTCTCGAAATCAGACTGGTTGGACCAATGAGAGCAATATAATTCGCGCCATTAAAGAAACCGAGGTGAAATGCAAATCGAAATGAAGAAGAAATCTGCGTCTTGCGGCACTAATGTACACGCACTCCCCCTCCCCTTTCCATTGCCTTGCAATATGCACGAGGATCAGTTTTGCAACTGTGCTAACCGTCAGATTCGTGCAAGCTGATCGCCAGTATGCTAAGCTCCTAAGTACCTCCGCCTCCGATCACGCTGCTTTAGCGATCTTCGTATACGTACTAGAGGATCATTCTCGTGGTTAGCATCACGAGAACATTGCCATCCGCGGGTTACCATCACGAGCGCGAAAATGGCTTCACATATGCGAATTCCGCTACTTCTGGTCGTCATGGTCAGCCTAGCGATGGGGGCTTTCGCCAGCATCAAACCTCTCCGTGGCGTCCCCCCACAAGGTGCTCTCGATACCCCGTCGATACTCGTCACCATATTGCAAGCTAGAATGCACTAGACGCCATGCAAAATCTACACTTTCAAAACGATTTCTCGCCGTGGAACATTCACCCTGATCGTGACGTGGATGGCCAATAGTGGTCCGCCAACTGGAAGGATTTCTCCTAGCCGGCCTCGCATGCTTGATCGCGAGTTTGGACGGCCTCTAGTAGATCGCCAGCTGGACGGGTTTGTGCCACCTGTCATCACCAGCTTGCTATCGACCTTTTCTTGTCGAATTCTAGCTGCTTAATTTCTGGACCTCTCTTATCGGCTGCCTGCTCTGTGTTTGAATCTGTCCTTGGGTGTGTGGATGTATATATGCGTTCATGCGTGTGTATTTGTGTTTATGTGAGTGTGTCGGGGGGTGCGTGTGAGCGACGGGATGGGGAAGCCGGATGTTTGCGTGGGTTAGGGAGGAGGAGAGAGGGGTGAGGAGGCTTGGGGGAACGAGTCTTGCGAGGTTGGATGGGTGAGTGGGGGGCTGGGGTTTCATGGCATGGACTGATGGGTTGGGTGGGGTGGCGAGGATGCGGAATGAGGATGGGTGGGTGATTTGTGTGCGGAATGACTGGCTGCAGATAAGGCGTTATTCTCTGGAGACGTGATTTCGTGCCGGGATGGTTCCAGGAAGATTCACATCTCGCGAGTCAACGACGATTTCTGTGACTGCCCTGACGGCACGGACGAGCCTGGCACCTCCGCGTGCCCCAACGCGTCCTTCTACTGCCGCAACCGCGGCCACAACCCCCTCTCGCTCTTCTCCTCTCGAGTCAACGATGGCATATGCGGTATGTTGGGATGGCGTATGCAGTCTCTGATCATCGCCCCACACCTCTGCCTGTGTGCCTGCCCCAACGCCTCCTTCTGCCGCAACCGTGGCCGCAACCCCCTCTCGCTCTTCTCCTCTCGAGTGAATGATGGGATATGTGGTACGTTGCTTGTTGTGTTACGTGCACACAGCACAATGCATATGCTTCTGCTGTCTCCGCCTATCCCAACGCGTCCTTCTACTGCCGCAACCGCGGCCACAACCCCCTCTCGCTCTTCTCCTCTCGAGTCAACGACGGCATATGCGGTAAGTGCGTGCATGGTACATGGCGTGGCATGTGAACGACGATTTCTGCGATTGCCCTGACGGCATGGACGAGCCCAGTACGTGCGTACATGGTGCATGGCATGTGTTGCAACCTTCTTCTTGTTCTCTTCTCCTCTCGAGTCAACGAAGGCATATGCGGTACGTGCGTACATGGTACATGGTACATGGTACATGGCATGTGTTGCAAACTCCTGCGACTGCCCTGACAGCACGGACGAGCCCGGCACCTCCGCCTGCCCCAACGCCTCTTTCTTCTGCCGCAACTGCGGCCACAACCCCCTCTCGCTCTTCTCGTCTTGAGTTAATGATGGGATATGTGGTACGTACGTTTGTAAGTGGCCGACTTTTGAGACTTCTTTTGAGACGTCTCAAAAGTCGATGGGATATGTGGTACATACGTTTGTAAGTGGCCTGTCTTGCGTGTATGCTCTGCCCAGCTGACTTTTGAGGCTCCTCAAAAGTGGGATCTGTGGTACGCATGTTTGCAAGTGGCGTGTGCTGCGTGAGTGTGGGTATGCGCGCGCTGCCCAGTTGCAAGGACGGGATGGACGAGCCCGGCACCTCTGCGTGCCCCAAGGCCTCCTTCTGCCGCAACCACAGCCACAACCCCGTTCCCCTCTTCTCCTCTTGAGTGAATGATGCCTATGACAAGATTAAAATGCAGTGCACATGCTCCCTCGCAATCTCTCCCCTCGCCTCCCCTCACCTCTCTTCATCCCCCCTCATCCCTCCCAAGACTGCTGCGACGTCAGTGACGAGTACGATGGCAGGGTGGTGTGCCTCAACACGTGTGCCCAGGCGGGGACAGCGAGGCGGCAGCAGCTTTCCCTTTCTCTCAACCCGCCCCATTCCCTCACCTCACCTGCCCTCATAATCAACAGACTGTTGCGATGGCAGTGCCGGGTATGACGGGCGCATTACCTGCCTCAACACGTGTGCCCAGGCGGGGACAGCGAGGCGGCAGCAGCTGGCAGCTGACGTGGCGAAGCACAGGGAGGGCGTGAGGCAGCGACAGCGGGCGGTGGAAAAGTGCAAAGGGCATGTTGGTGTTGCCTGCCCCAACACGTGTGCCCAGGGGGGTGTTTAATTGAAGTAGTGTTTTGAGACGTCTCAAAACACTACTTCAAACACGCAGCAGAGGGCAGTGGAGGAGTGCAAAGGGCGTGTTGATGTTGCCTGCCCCAACACGTGTGCCCAACATGTGTGCCCAGAGGGGGGACAGCCTATAAATCACCTCTTTCCCCCTCTCCCTACACCCGCCTGTCCCCTCACCTCCGCTCACCTCCCCTCACCTCCCTCCAGATTGCTGCGACGGCAGTGACGAGTATGATGGACGAATTGTGTGCCTCAACACGTGTGCCCAGGCGGGGGCGGCGAGGCGGCAGCAGCTGGCTGCTGACGTGGCGAAGCACAGGGAGGGCGTGAGGCAGCGGCAGCGGGCGGTGGAGGAGTGGCGGGAGAAGAAGGTTCGGCTGCAGGAGGAGAGAGGACGGCTAGAGGAGGAGGAGAGGGAGCTGCAGGAGAAGGAGAAGGTTCTTAAAGGTATGTCTGGTCTGGGTGGGGGAAGAATGCTGTTGTTTCGACTATGGGAGAAGGGAGGCTGCTGCAGTGAAAAGGAGGACGAGAAGGGTTCCTGAATGGAAGGTATGTATGGGCGTGAGGCAGAGGCAGAGGGCGGTGGAGGAGTGGAGGGCGTTGCACATGCGGAATTCACAAGTGGAAGGTATGTATGTATGTATGGGCGTGAGGCAGTGGCAGCGGGCGGTGGAGGAGTGGAGGGAGAAGAAGGTTCGGCTGCAGGAGGAGAGAGGGCGGCTGGAGGAGGAGGAGAAGGAGCTACAGGAGAAGGAGAAGGTTCTTAAAGGTATGTATGCACGGGGGAGTGAGAGGGCGTGAGGCAGAGGGAGAGGCAGAGGAAGAAGAAGGTTCGGCTGCAGGAGGAGAGGGGGCGGCTGGAGGAGGAGGAGAGGGAGCTGCAGGAGAAGGAGAAGGTTCTTAAAGGTGCGAGTGTGTGTTTGCGCGCATGTGTATGGGTGTGGGGGGGGAGAGAGAGCTCTTTTTTCGACTATGGGGTAAAGGAGGCTGGAGGAGGAGGAAAGGGAACTGCAGGAGAAGATTCTGAAAGGTACGTGTGGTCTGGGTGGGGGAGTGGCAACGCGTGAGGCAGAGACAGGGGAGGCTGGAGGAGGGGAAATAGATCCTTTAAGGTATGTATGGGCGTGAGGCAGAGGCAGAGGGAGAAGAATGGACGTGCATATGGTTGTGGGAATTGTAGGTTTTTGAGGTGCCTCAAAAAACCGCGTGAACTAAGACGATTTTTGAGGCGCCTCAAGAATGGACGTGCATATGGTTGTGGGAATTGTAGGTTCTTTCTCGATGGGATGGGAGAAAGAAGTCAGTGCAAGAAAAGGAGAGAGGTATTTGAATGAAAGGGGTGTATGGGTTTGGGGCAGAGACATAGGGCAGTGGATGGATGGAAATCGACTCAAAATCACGCATCATTCTTGAGTAAACTGCGTGTGATGAGTCGATTTTTGAGTCGACTCAAAAATCGACTCATTCTTGAGTAAACTTGCCCTTCTCCCGGGTTCTTCCAGCTCTTCTCCTCTCATCCCTCTCCCCCTTGTCCGGAGCAATGAGGAAGGACGCTCTAGAGAAGATCGAGGAGGAGGAGAAGGAGCAGCAGAGGAAGATTGAGGAGCATAACTTTTGTGAACACCCCTCCCCTTGCTCCAACACTTCTCACCTATCTTCTCCCCTTTGTCCGGCCCAGAGAGGAAGGACGCTCTAGAGAAGATAGAGGAGGAGGAGAAGGAGAGGAAGATAGAGGAGTATGCATGAATTTTGTGAACACCCTTCTTCTCCCCTTCCTCCCACTCTTCTCCCCTCCTCTCTCCCATTTGTCTGGACCCAGAGAGGAAGGACGCTCTGGAGAAGATAGAGGAGGAGGAGAAGGAGAGGCAGAGGAAGATCGAGGAAGAGGAGGCCAGGAGGAAAGCAGAGGAGGAGAAGCTGCACCCAACACCTGCCGAACCTGCCGAGCCTGCTGCCACCGAGCCTGCTGCCACCGAGCCTGCGGCTACCGAACCTGCGGCTTCCGAACCTGACTCTGCCGAGCCTGCGGCTGCCAAGCCTGCTTCTACCGAGTCTGAGACAGGGCTTCCCGTGCAGCAGGCAATGGTGGGGGATCCCCTCCGTGCCAATGCTCCTGACTCTGCTTCTGCTGATGCCGCTGTTGCCACTGCTGATGATGCCGCTGCTGCAGCTGCTGCTGCTGCTGCTGCTGCTGTTGATAGTTTGGTTGCTGGTCATGATGCTGCTGCTGCTCCTGCTGATGGCAACGAGAGTGGCAAGGAGGAATCCAATGAGATTGGCAAGGAGATGGACGATGATGAGAGCGATGAGGACCTGTCGGGGCTCTCTAAGGAAGAGCTGGGGCGGAGAATCGCGTCCAGATGGGCGCATGGGGAGGATGGGCCTGGGGGCGTGAAGGTAGGGGGCGGAGACGGGGGGAAGGCGGACGGGGAGGGGGAGGGGGAGGGGGGTGATGGGGTTGATTTGGGCGGGGATGATGGGTTGGGGTATGATGATGGGGATGATGATAAGGACTATGAGGATATGGAGCATGATGCACATGGTGGTGATGATGCTGATGCTGATGCTGATGATGGGGATGATGGTGATGATGACCATGACCATGGGCATGGGCATGGTCATGGTGGTGATGATGATGATGCGTTGGAGGATGCGGAGGACTTTGTGGCCCACAGCGAGCATGAGGATGATGAGCCCTGGCGGCATGAGTCAGGTATGGTGCTACTGTTCGTATTAGCCTTCAATCTCACACTTTGTACTTTGTATTTTCTATATCCTAGAGTAGTGTAGTTTGCACATTGTGTTTGGTTGGGTGTACACCTACATCCCAACCAAACCCAAATGTAATCTCCAAGCAATCTCCAACCCACCAATTGGAGATTGCCTTGGGATTACCCCCAATCCCCAGGGATTGCCTCTGATTCCTTTCCCCAACTATTCCTTACCCTTCTTGGATGTACTTAAAGAGCTTCAAGCTCATTACTAATGTATCGCTTCTAAGCCTAAGTTCTCACATGGTATCAGAGCCCTACATCCGCACATGCGGATCGTGATCCTCCTATCTATGCGGATGTTCTTCCCGCAAACCTCGGCATAGCCTCCTTCAATCTCGTCGCCGTCGATTCGCGACATTCGTGGGCGGAAATTCCCCCGCACCACTTTCCCGTCAACTTCGACGACGTCTTCAATTTCTATGGTACGCTCATCGACGTCGCTCTAACTTATAGTTCCTTTTTTCGTCATCTCTCAATTTCGTCACCGCGTCACCTCTTCTCGTCGGGCCGCCGCCCGTCGCCCCGCAGCTTCCTGTCGGGCCGCCGCCCGTCGCCCCGCAGCTTCTCGTCGGGCCGCCGCCCGTCGCCCCGCAACTTCACGTCGGGCCGCCGCCCGTCGCCCCGCATCTGCACTTCTAACCCCATTCCCCTTTTCCCGCAGCTGAACAGGTGCAGCAGCGCAGCCGAGCAGCAGTGCAGCAGCGCAACCGAGCAGCAGAGTAGCCGCGAAGCCGTGCAGCAGTGTAGCCGCGAAGCTGAGGGTGGTGTGTGGGGGGGTGTGTGGGATTAGGGTTAGATCTACGGAAGTCGGCCGATTTTACCTAGTTTTGGCTGCCTAGAAAATCCTTCTACAAGGCATCCCAATGCGGTCGACATTGACGATTTTCGCTATTTGGGGTCCGTCGGATAAGAACGTCGATTTTCGAAGTTCCTATCGGTGACTTAAGAGCGGCGCTTCGCGCGAGACACCAAGGGATCTCCAGCATGGCCTTCACCGCGTCCACCATGGCCAACCCCATCACCCCACTCCGTCTTGAAGCCGATGACTCTAGCCCCAACTTCAAGGCATGGAGCTATGGGGTTGACAAGCGCCTGCTGAGCCGTGACGTGCAAGGATTGGACCTCAAGGATGTCCTCCTCAACCATGGCAAGGGAAAACAGCCCCTTCTCCCTCGTGAGCCGATCGAATCCGCTAGTGAGGCTGACACAAGGGCATATGAGGAAGCCGTTGAGAAGTACCGGAAGTGGGAGAAGGCCGATGCTGCTATTATCAGCGTCTTCATCGCCTCCACCCCTTCAGAACTTGTCAACACGTTCCATAACTACCCTACCTCTAACGCCATCTGGAAGCATCTCCAGGATCGGTTCATGAACAAGACTGCAGTCGGAGTTGCCATCCTCATCCCCAGCATGTTCCAGGTCCGCCTTGAGGATTGCTCGGGAATGGCCGACTACATTGCCAAGGTTCAGACCATTCATGGCGAACTCAAGGAGCTGGGTATAGTCTTCCCCGAACAGGCCCCTGCAGCAGCTCTTCTTGTTGGCCTCACCACAGCCTACGAAATCACAAGGAAGATGCTCCTCACGCTGACTGCGGAAGACCTCACTTTTGCCAAGGTCTCCACCGCACTCCTCTCTGCCGAAAAAGACTCCACGGCTCAAGCCAAGGCCTATGCCATCCGTGCTCTCATGCCTCAAGCAAGTGTCGCAGCGGCCCTTGCCTCGGCGCCCCTCCAGCGCAACCGCTTCCCACCGTGCACCTACGTCGTCATGTATGGCAACCGCAAGGGACAAGTGTGTGGTGGCACTAACCACCTCCTTGCTACGTGCTTCAAGAAGAAGGACGACGAATGGTACGCCGTCCACGGCATAGACAAGAGGCCACCGAACTGGATGCGTGCGCGTAAGGCCAACCTGGTTGAGGTCCAGGACCCCGCTTCGGCCAGTGCCAGTGATATTGCTCCTGCTGATGTGCGTATCAACCTGTTGTTCCCTGGCACTGCCATGATTAATGAAGCTTCCTCCCAGTACCTCGGCTCATCACAAGCACCACAATACATAGAGTTCACACTCGATAGCGGCGCCACTCACACTGTGCTCAAGGAGACACTCTCCTTCAAACCCTACGCAACACCCATCCCCCTCCTAGGAGCTGACTCAAGCTTCACCACTCTTGCCAAGGGTTCATCCACAGTCCCGTGCCCCGCCTTCCCTTCCGGCACTGTCACTGGAATGTGCGTGCCTTCACTCCGCCACAATCTCGTGGCCCAAACGGAAATTCAGGAAGCTGGGCTACGCACCATCTTCTGGGAGAACGAGAATTATGGTGATATCCTCGACCCACTCACCAACAAGGTCTTAGACTCGTTTCACCCTCAACAGCAGCGGCCTTTACACACTGCAAGTACCCATCCCACAGGTGTCAACCACCCAAGCAGAGGCAACTACCCCACCATGCTCGTGCCGCAGTTTCTCCAACCCGACCATACTCTACCACCATCGGCTCGGGCACCCAAACTTCCGCACACTTGCTGACATGGCCTCCAAGAAACTTCTACTCGGCCTGCCAGCCTCACTTCCTCCACCACCAGATTCCCCCGCTCCCTCTTCTTGACTGCACCAAGAGCAAACTGTGTCAACAGCCCCACCCGGCCTCACCCTCTGTCGCAGCAGAACCACTGGACTTGGTACACCTGGACGTCTGGGGCCCTTCCCTTGTTCCCGCACGAGGTGGTTATCGCTACTTCCTTGTTATCGTCGATGACCACTCTCGCTACGTCTCTGTTCACCTCCTCCACACTAAGGCTGCGGTTCCAGAGGTCCTCATGGCGTGGGTTAAACAGGCACAGACCACCTTTGACCGCAAAGTCAAGCGCCTTCACTCGGATGGTGGTGGTGAGTTTTGCAACGACAAGCTCAAAGCCTTCTGCTCGTCAGAAGGCATCCAGCAAAACTTCACCCTCCCTGACAGTCCGCAGCAGAACGGCATAGCTGAGAGCCGCAACCACACCCTGGTGCAGATCACTCGGTGCCTCCTCGGCCACTCCAACGCTCCGCACTCTCTCTGGGGGTACGCTCTCTACCACGCCGCCCTCCTCTACAACCTTTACCCCCACCCGCATCTTCCTGACACCACTCCAACCACACTCTGGCTCGGGAAAACGCCCAGTGCTCGCTCTCTTCGCGTTTGGGGGTGCACCGCCTATGTCCTCCTCAACCCTCAGGCTCGACGGCAGCACGGCGGCAAGCTCGGTCCCAAGACCCAGACGTGCATCTACCTCGGGCACAACGCCGACTCGCCTGACTACCTCTTCCTCAACCCCTCCACTCAACAGTTGGTCCGGAGCCGCGACGTTGTCTTTGATGAGACCCGTCCATTCTACTCTACCTCGGAACGGGTCTCTCTCTCTGATCCACCCTCCCTCGTGTGGGCAGACTTTGATGCGCCTCCTGACCTCCCGCCTGCTCCGGCCCCTTCACCTCCTACCCCTCCTGCCACCGCACCGTCCCCCTCTGAGGTCTCTGACCCGCCCTCACCGGTGTCTTCGGCAGCTGCTCCTCCCTCCCCCTCACCTGCCGCCCTGCCATCTGCGCCGCCACCTCCGAGCGCACCAATCACATACCATCGGCGGTCGCACCCTCCGGCCCCACCTCCTCCCCCACCCCCCCCCTTCCTCCCAGGCACCCGCTCCTCCACAGCCGCCCGAACTGATCACGTACAAGCGGCGGCCAATTCCCCCGCCCAAGCCTCCTAAGTCAATCCCTCAGCCACCGCCTACTTCGCCCTCCTCTCCGGTAGCCCATGGCACTCGCTCGCACGGCCCTGCTCCTCCTCTGGCCCTGGCTATTCGTTGCTCCACGATCACTTCGACTCCTCCTGCCAGGGGGGATGTGCCCTCTACCCTTCTGAAAGATAGGCATGAGGAGCTTTATGATCTTCACGCAGTCATTCCCCAGCTCTCGCACATCTTCCCTGACATCACTGAATCACCCTCACTCAACTTCACGGAAAACCCGACCATCCCTATCCCTCTCACCGTCCAAGAGGCTCTCTCAGGCCCTCATGTTGTCGAATGGCGTGCTGCCATGGAAGCGGAGATTGAAGCATTCACCCGCAACCACTCCTTCGACGACGAGACTCCACCTCCAGGAGTCAACATCGTCGGGGGCAAGTGGTTGTTCCGTGTAAAACAGCTCCCAGACGAGGCCCCGGTGTTCAAAGCGCGTTACATAGCCAAGGGCTTCACCCAGCAGCAATACCGCGACTTCTTCCTAACCTTCTCCCCCACATCCAAACCTCCCACCATTCGTACGCTCATGGATGTCACAACTCGAGAAGACTTTGAGATCAAATCCATGGATGCCTCATCCGCCTTCCTACAAGGACATCTCAAGGAGACAGTGTTCATGGACAGACCTGAAGGCTTCCCAGGAGAATTCCCTCCCAACACTGTCTGGAAGATGAATCGCCCCGTCTACGGCCTTAAGCAAGCCCCTCGCGAATGGCACAACAAGGTGAAAGAAGTCCTCCTCTCCCTGGACTTCCACCCTTCATCTGCTGACCCGACTCTCTTCATCCGCCGTCATTCTGAGCCATTCTACATCCTGGTCTACGTGGATGACTTCATCCTCGTTGCCAAGGACTCGGCTCAGATGACCTCTGTCCAGGCAGCTCTGAGCAAGGCCCTCCAGATGAAAGACCTCGGTGACCTCAAGCACTACCTGGGGATGGAGATCACTCGTGATCGCCAGGCTCGCACCATTTCACTCTCCCAGGAGTTCTACATCGACAATGTGCTCAAGCGGTTTGAGATGGAGCTGTGCACACCTGTTGCCACCCCGCTGCCGCTGCAACACCTCCTCACAGCTCCAGCTGTACCCACACCAGAGGCCTGCTCTGAGCCATACCCGGAGCTTGTTGGGTCCCTCATGTACGCCATGATGTGCACCCGGCCGGACCTGGCCTATCCTGTCAGTGTCCTCTCTCGCTACGTGGCCCCTGGACGCTTCACTGATCTTCACTGGAAGGCGGCGAAGCGGGTGCTGCGCTATCTTCAGGGCACCAAGTCTCACGTTCTTACACTCGGTGGGCTCTCCCCTCCTCGACTGGAAGGTTACACCGACTCCTCCTGGGCTGATGACCAGACCGACCGACGCTCCTCTCAGGGGTGCTGCTTCACCCTTGGGAGCGGAATTGTCAGTTGGCGCTCCACCAGGTCGTCTGCAGTCTCCCTCTCCTCATGTGAGGCAGAGCTCTACGCAGGCACTATGGCTGCCCAGGAGGCCCGTTGGCTCACCTTCCTACTCCAGGAGCTTGGTTTCCCACAGTCCGCCCCCACCCTTTGGTGTGACAACCAGAGTACCATCCACATCTCTCAAGACCCTGTGTATCACACCCGCACCAAGCATATTGAACTCCGGCACTTCTTCATCCGTGACCTTGTCCAGCAGGAGCAGTTGACATTGGAGTACGTAGCATCTGACTGCAACCTGGCTGATCTGTTCACCAAGCCCCTTGGGAAAGTTCCCCACCACCGTCTCCTTGGCGCCATGGGGCTCTGTGCTCCACCCTCTCTGCCCTGAGTTCGATTGACGCCTATGGGGGGGTGTTCGTGTTAGCCTTCAATCTCACACTTTGTACTTTGTATTTTCTATATCCTAGAGTAGTGTAGTTTGCACATTGTGTTTGGTTGGGTGTACACCTACATCCCAACCAAACCCAAATGTAATCTCCAAGCAATCTCCAACCCACTAATTGGAGATTGCCTTGGGATTACCCCCAATCCCCAGGGATTGCCTCTGATTCCCTTCCCCAACTATTCCTTACCCTTCTTGGATGTACTTAAAGAGCTTCAAGCTCATTACTAATGTATCGCTTCTAAGCCTAAGTTCTCACAGCTACAACTCACAGCAGCATATAGCCCACAGAATAGGAACAGCCTATATAGCATTCCTTGGGGCTCCATCGGACTTTGCGGCCCACAGCGAGCATGAGGATGATGACCCCTGGCGGCATGAGTCAGGTATGGTGCTACAACTCACAGCAGCATATAGACCACAGAATAGGAACAGCCTATAGCATTCCTTGGGGCTCCATCAGACTTTGCGGCCCACAGCGAGCATGAGGATGATGACCCCTGGCAGCATGAGTCAGGTATGGTGCTACAACTCACAGCAGCATATAGCCCACAGAATAGGAACAGCCTATAGCATTCCTTGGGGCTCCATCGGACTTTGCGGCCCACAGCGAGCATGAGGATGATGACCCGTGGCGGCATGAGTCAGGTACGCTGCCTGCGGGACCCACTGCCCACTTTTGAGGCGCCTCAAAAGGGATCTTTAGGCGCTTTTTTAGGCGATATTTTAGGCGCCTCAAAAATGTTTTTTTAGGCGATTTTTGAGGCGCCTCAAAAATCGGCATGGGTCAGGTACGCTGCCTGCGGGACCCACTGCCCACTGTCCATGTCTCTCCCTCGTCTCCCATTCGCTCTCTTCTTTCTGCTGCCGCCCCACCCCCATCCCTGTGGGACAAGGTGAAGCACGTGTGGCCACATGTGTTTTCGCTCGCCTCCCACTCGCTCCCTCCCCCACTTCTTTCGCCCATACCACCCTTCCCCCTTTTCCTCCCCCCCCACCCTCCTCCCCCTTCCTCCCCCCATCAGCTCCTGCCTCCGCGCCCCCATCCCTGTGGGACAAGGCGAAGCAGCTGTGGTCGCGGATGTCTGCCCTCGTTTCCACCAAACCCTCTCTGCCAGACACTCAAACTCTACCCTCGTCTTTCCCCCACCCTCCCTCCTCCCCCTTGCTCCCCCATCAGCTCCTGCCTCCGCGCCCCCATCCCTGTGGGACAAGGCAAAGCAGGTGTGGTCGCGGGTCTCCTCCCTCGTCTCCTCCAAACCCTCTCTGCCAGTGAACGAAACAGGTGGGTGTGTTAGCACTGTGGTTGGTGCCGAATACGGTACCTCGGAATCGGTGCCAGGTGTGTTCAAAGCAGTGAGAAGGTGTGGTCGTGTCGTGTGTCTCCTCCCTCCTCTCCACCAAACCCTCTCTGCCAGCGAACGAAACAGGTGGGTGGTTGGGTCTGGCTGGTGCGACTGGAAACTGGTACCCACCTTACCTCCCTCCCTGGAAAATGGGTTAGAGTTTTGAGGCGCCTCAAAACCCATTTTTGAGGCGCCTCAAAGCTCACCTCAATGCTCTTGGGTATGGTGCGACTGGAAACTGGCACCTACCTCCTTATAAAATGGTAATGGTTCTTTCTGAATACGATTGTACCTTCTCTCCTGCTCCAGACCAGCCCAGCGATCCCCTTAGAATATAGTTGGTACAATCTTATCCATCATCCCAGTTCAGCCAAAACAACACCTCCTTCCCCTCCCTCACCTCAACCCGCTCCTCCCGCCACAGACCTGCTGACAATCCGCTCCGAGAACAACGTTATCTCATCCCAGTTCAAGACAAATCAACGCTTTGAGTCCCTCCCTCCCTCCGCCCTTCACTCTTCCTCCCCGGTGCAGACCTGCTTACAATCCGTTCCGAGTACAACGTTATCTCGACCCAGCTCAGCAAGACGAATCAGTACCTTGAAGCGTCCTCTCCTCTCCCTCCAACCCTCTCTCTAGATCCAGACCTGCTGACAATCCGCGCAGAGTACAGCACCATCTCATCGCAGCTCAGCAAGACAAAATCAATGCTTTGACTTCTCCTCCCTCCCTCCCCCCTTCACTTTTCACTCTTGCTTTCCGGTCCAAACCTGCTAACAATCCGCTCAGAGTACAGCACCGTCTCATCGCAGCTCAGCAAGACAAATCATTGCTTTGAGTTCTCCTCCCTCCCTCCCCCCTTCACTTTTCACTCTTGCTTTCCGGTCCAAACCTGCTAACAATCCGCTCAGAGTACAGCACCATCTCATCGCAGCTCAGCAAGACAAAATCAATGCTTTGACTTCTCCTCCCTCCCTCCCCCCTTCACTTTTCACTCTTGCTTTCCGGTCCAAACCTGCTAACAATCCGCTCAGAGTACATCACTGTCTCATCCCAGCTTAATAGAGCAAACCAACACGTTACCTCACCTCTCTCCTCCCCAACCCCCCCTCCCTCCACCCCCCAGACCTGTTGCCAATCCGCTCAGAGTACAACGTTATCTCGTCCCAGCTTAGCAAGACAACCTAATACCTTGAAACCCCTCCAAACCCTTCCCCACCTCCCGGTCCTCCCGCCCGCCACAGACCTTCTGACAATCCGCCCAGAGCACAACATTATCTTATCCCATCTCAACAAGACAAGTCAGCTCTTTGAGTTCTCCTCCATCCTCCCCCCCTTCACTTTTCACTCTTCCTTCCTGGTGCAGACCTGCTGACAATCCGCTCCGTGTACAACGTTATCTCATCCCAGCTTAATAGAGCAAACCAACACGTTCAAACCTCCCCTCTCTCCAACCCCCAGACCTGCTGACAATCCGCTCCGAGTACAACGTTATCTCGACCAAGCTCAGCAAGGCAAATCAGTTCCTTGAAGCGTCCTCTCCCCCCTCCAACCCTCTCTCTATATCCAGACCTGCTGACAATCCGCGCAGAGTACAGCACCATCTCATCTCAGCTCAGCAAGACAAATCAATGCTTTGAGTTCTCCTCCCTCCCTCCCCCCTTCACTTTTCACTCTTGCTTTCCGGTCCAAACCTGCTAACAATCCGCTCAGAGTACATCACTGTCTCATCCCAGCTTAATAGAGCAAACCAACACGTTACCTCACCTCTCTCCTCCCCAACCCCCCCTCCCTCCACCCCCCAGACCTGTTGCCAATCCGCTCAGAGTACAACGTTATCTCGTCCCAGCTCAGCAAGACAACCTAATACCTTGAAACCCCTCCAAACCCTTCCCCACCTCCCGGTCCTCCCGCCCGCCACAGACCTTCTGACAATCCGCCCAGAGCACAACACTATCTTATCCCATCTCAACAAGACAAGTCAGCTCTTTGAGTTCTCCTCCCTCCTCCCCCCCTTCACTTTTCACTCTTCCTTCCTGGTGCAGACCTGCTGACAATCCGCTCCGTGTACAACGTTATCTCATCCCAGCTTAATAGAGCAAACCAACACGTTCAAACCTCCCCTCTCTCCAACCCCCAGACCTGCTGACAATCCGCTCCGAGTACAACGTTATCTCGACCAAGCTCAGCAAGGCAAATCAGTTCCTTGAAGCGTCCTCTCCCCCCTCCAACCCTCTCTCTATATCCAGACCTGCTGACAATCCGCGCAGAGTACAGCACCATCTCATCTCAGCTCAGCAAGACAAATCAATGCTTTGAGTTCTCCTCCCTCCCTCCCCCCTTCACTTTTCACTCTTGCTTTCTGGTGCAGACCTGCTTACAATCCCCGCAGAGTACATCACTGTCTCATCCCAGCTTAATAGAGCAAACCAACACGTTCGAACCTCCCCTCTCTCCTCCCCAACTCCCCCTCCCTCCACCCCCCAGACCTGCTTACAATCCGCTCAGAATACAACGTTATCTCATCCCAGCTCAGCAAGACAAGTCAACGCTTTGAGTTCTCCTCCCTCTTTGCCCCTTTCACTCTTCCTCCCCAGTGCAGACCTGCTGACAATCTGCTCAGAGTACAACGTTATCTCGACCAAGCTCAGAAAGACAAATCAGTGCCTTAAAGCGTCTTCTCCCCCATCCAACCATCTCTCCTTCTCCAGACCTGCTGACAATCCGCTCCGAGTACAACGTTATCTCGACCAAGCTCAGCAAAGCGAGGGGGAGGCTGCGCACGGTGACGGAAAAGCTTGAGAAGGACCTGGGTGAGTGTGGTGCGGTGCGGTGTGGTGGTGCGGTGCGGTGTGGTGTGGTGAGCCAATTTATTGGCTGGCTGCGCACTGTCAAAGAAAAGCTGGAGAAGGACCTGGGTGAGTGAGGACTGTCTCCGTGTGTGGGGTAAGTGAGGACTGCTGCGCGGTACTGTCGGGTACTGTGCGGTGCTGTGAGGTGCCATGTGCTACTGTCTTTGCAAGAGTGCAGCATTATCTGATCCCTCCCAGCTCAGCAAGACGAGGGGACGGCTACGCACGGTCAAAGAAAAGCTGGAGAAGGACCTGGGTGAGTGCGGTGTGGTGTGGTGTGGTGTGGTGTGGTGGTGTGGTGTTCACGGTAAAGGAAAAGCTCGAGAAGGACCTGGGTGAGTGGAAAGTCGTTCCAAACAGAATGGGACCATTGTTGTCGAAAAAAAATGTCACTTGGCAGTGTAGACAAGCTTGCCAAGGACCTGATTAGGTGCAGATTTGAGACTTTTGTTTTGAGACGTCTCAAAACTTTTGTTTTGCACGATTCTTCACTTCACATGTCCCAACCCAATACTGGTATGCTGAGCCTGATACATGACTTGTGACTCGACTCATTCGGATTCTTCGCTCGGTGGTATGTGCTGACTGCTTTTTTAATTCGCATTATCATCGCCATCCTTTCTTATCGCCTCCTTTCTGACCTTCACTTGATTATTTTATTATTATTATTTTCTTTCTTTCTTTCTTTCTTTCTTTCTTTCTTTTTTTCTGCTCGTCTCGCTGCTATTTTTCTCTCTCTTTACCTGCAGGTCCTGACGGCGAGTTTGCTTCATTCGCCGACCACTGCTTCTCTTTCAAAGTCAACCAGTTAAGATGCCAATCTGCATGCACCACGCATGCCCATGCCATGCCACGCATTCCAATGCCATGCCATACCCATGCCATGTCCATGCCATGCCACGCATTCCAATGCCATGACCATGCCATGCTCTTTCCTGCTATTCCGTTTCACCATGCAACCACCAACCTCCCCCCCCTTCCTCCCCCTTCCTCCCCCTTCCTCCCCCTTCCTCCCCCTTCCTCCCCCTTCCTCCCCCTTCCTCCCCCTTCCTCCCCCTTCCTCCCCCTTCCTCCCCCTTCCTCCCCCTTCCTCCCCCTTCCTCCCCCTTCCTCCCCTTCCTCCCCTTCCTCCCCCTTCCTCCCCCTTCCTCCCCTTCCTCCCCTTCCTCCCCCTTCCTCCCCTTCCTCCCCTTCCTCCCCCTTGTAAAACACGTTTCTCACTTGACCACCCACCATGTTGCTGTTGACCCCCTCCTCCTTTTCCCCATGAGACTAGGCGAGCTGCAGCTTAGGAAGATTCTTTAGCAGAAGAACGACAGTGGAGTTGAACTCTTTGTTGCCAGTGCAAAAAACAAGATCGAAACTGAGCTCACTGGACCACCCACCTTGTTGCTGTTCACCCCCTCCTCCCTTTCCCCCCTTCCTCTATCCACCTCCTCTTCCTGTCCCTTCTCCCACACCCTCCTCCCATTCCCCTCCTTCCCAAACCCTCCTCCCCTTCCCCCCTCTCCCAACACACCTGCCTCGCTTCTCCCCCTTCCACGCCCACCCCCTCTCCTCCCCCTCGCCCCCAGGTACGAGTACGAGGTGTGTCCGTATCGGCAGGTGAAGCACCTCCTTAAGCCTCTCCTCGCTCCTCTCCTCGCTCCTCTTCCTGATCTTCCTCTCCCCCGCCCACCCCCTCTCCTCCCCCTCCCACCCCCTCTCCTCCCCCTCAACCCCAGGTACGAGTACGAGGTGTGTCCGTATCGACAGGTGAAGCAGAAGGAGAAGCATCACTCTGATACCACTGTGGGGTGAGTGAGGGATGTTGTGCGGTGCTGTGTGATGCTCTGTGGTGCTGCGTGGCTTTGTGCGATGCTGTGTGTTTGATTGTTTCTATAAGAAGGTGAAGCAGAAGAAGAATCACCAATCTGATACCACTGTGGGGTGAGTGAGGGATGCTGTGTGGTGCTGCGTGATGCTGCGTGATGCTGCGTGATGCTGTGTGGTGCTGTGCGGTTTCGTGCGATGCTGTGTGTTTGATTGTTTCTGTAAGAAGGTGAAGCAGAAGAAGAATCACCAATCTGATACCACTGTCGAGTGAGGGAGGGTTGCTGTGCGGTGGTGTGTGTCGTTGTGCAATGCTGTGCAGTTCTGTGCGGTGCTATGTGCTACTGTAAGAAGGAGAAGCAGACAGAGGACCACCAGTCTGATACCACTGTGGGGGGGGGAGGGGTACTACTGGTGTGCTGTGCAGTGCTGCGGGGTGCTCAGAGCTGCTGTTTCTTGTTAGAACGACAAGCCGAAGAAATGCTTGAAAAGAGTGTTGAGACGTCTCAATATGGTATCACTGCAAGCTTCGTGCCTCCCATTCGAAAGTGACCAAAATCGTGCTTCTCTAATCAACCCTCCGTCTCTCGTTCCCCCATCCCTGCTGCATTCGGCTTGCTTTCATCCCTGCAGCCGCTGGTCGGGCTTTGAGGACACCTACCAAACGATGATGTTCAAGAACAACCAAGTCGCGCTTATTCCATCGACTCTCCATCTCCCCATCTCCCCATCTCCCCATCTCCCCATCTCCCCATCTCCCCATCTCCCCATCCCCCACCCACCCAACCCCACCTGCAGCCGCTGGTCGGGCTTTGAGGATAACTACCAAATGATGATGTTCACGAACGACCCAAATCACTCCGTCACCTCTCTGTCTCCCCATCGCCACCTCCCCCACCCACCCCCCATCAATCTGCACCGTATTGTTTGCAGCCGCTGGTCGGGCTTTGAGGACAACTATCGCACGATGATGTTCAAGAACGGGGATAAGTGCTGGAACGGACCGAACCGGAGCATCAAGGTGTGCGGTGGTGTGGGGTGGGGCGAGGGGTGGTATAAGGTGGTATCGCGCTGTGGTGTGGTGTGGAATGTCGGGGCACTGTGGGACCTTTGAGTCAGGCTTTGAGGACAACTATCGCACGATGATGTTCAAGAACGGGGATAAGTGCTGGAACGGACCCAACCGGAGCATCAAGGTGTGAGCTTCTGTCGTGGTATGGTGCTGGAACGATGATGTTTTAAAACGGGGAGAAGTGCTGGAATGGACCCAACTGGAGCATTAAGGTGGGTGGTGGTGGGGCGATGGGATATGAGGTGTTGGGTTGGGTAAGCAGGATTTCAGGCTGTTGGGTTGGGTGATTTTTTAGTCGACTCAAAAATCGCCTCATCACACACGGCTGTTGGGCTGGGTAAACAGGGATATGGTTTAGTTTTTTTGCTTTACTGGTTTATCGTGTGGAATCAGATCTTGGATCAAATGGAAGCAAGTCGCTGGACAACCTTTTTTGGAGAATTAAAAAAGAAAGAAAGAATGAAAGAAGAAGAAAAGAAAAGAAAGAAAGAAAGTAAAAAGCTCACCACCCCACCACTACCACCCATGTGACCGCAAGTGAAGTTGGTGTGTGGAATGAAAACAGGGATCAAGTCAGTGGAGGAGCCAAGCCGATGCGAGTGAGCTGTGTTGTGTTGTGTTGTGAAAGCTGGTATTTTTAGCCTCTCTGTTTGTGTGCCTGTCTCACCGCAGGTGAAGCTGGAGTGTGGACTGAAAACAGGCATCAAGTCAGTAGAGGAACCAAGCCGATGCGAGTGAGTGTGTCTTCCTTGTTCCACTATTAGTAGTACCTGATACCTGATACCGTACATGTCCTTCGTTGTTTGCTTCTTTATGTACTCAAGAATCAAAACGACCCGAAAGCGAGAGAGGGAGCTCAGGCGTTGCGGGTGAGTGTGGCTCTGTTGTTCCACTCCTTCGTTTGCGTCTCAAAACATGTGTAGATCAGAGTGACTCAAAAGAGTGACAGGGGGTCCTGCGTGACACGGAGCACAGCCACTAGTTTTTGAGAATTCTCAAAAACCAACACGGAGCCCAGCCACTCTAGTTTTACATCTACCATCCGGAGGCTTGCTGCAGATTTGGAGGTTTGCTGCAGATTTGGAGGTTTGCTGCAGATTTGGAGGTTTGCTGCAGATTTGGAGGCTTGCTGCAGATTTGGAGGCTTGCTGCAGATTTGGAGGTTTGCTGCAGATTTGGAGGTTTGCTGCAGATTTGGAGGTTTGCTGCAGATTTGGAGGTTTGCTGCAGATTTGGAGGCTTGCTGCAGATTTGGAGGTTTGCTGCAGATTTGGAGGTTTGCTGCAGATTTGGAGGCTTGCTGCAGATTTGGAGGCTTGCTGCAGATTTGGAGGCTTGCTGCAGATTTGGAGGCTTGCTGCAGATCCAATCAGCTTTTTCCTTAACAGGGAGCCCAGCCGATGCAAACGGGTGTCTGACAGTACCCGCCTCCCCCTCTCCCGTTTCTCCCCCTCTTCTGCCCTCCCCATCTCCTTCCACCATATTAGGTACGAAGCGGTGCTCGTAACGACTGCAGTGACTTTTGAGTCGACGCAAGACACACCCTTCCCTTGCCCTTCTCTCCCTTTCTCCCTGACCCTCTCCTCCTCTCCCGCCTCCCCATCTCTTTCCACCGTATTAGGTACGAAGCGGTGCTCGTGACGACTGCAGTGTGCAATGCAGAGCTGGCACAGGTGCGGGGGAATTTGACAAATAAAACACTTTTCAACCTTCCGTGACCCGTCAATTAATGGTGCTTGTTTCTGTGCTACTTGCCCGCGTGACTCTACCTGTGACAAGCACACAACCTTTAGCCATTCGTTCTTCTGTTTTGTCTACGTTATCTCAAATGCAATTAATGTAACCTGGTGCGCTTATCTTTAACTTGTTTTTTTTTTTTTTTTTTTTTTTTTTTTTTTACCTGTGCTACTTTAATGCAGGAGCTGGAGAGGCAGCTGAAGGAGATGGAGGATGATTTAGCAGGTCACGACGAGCTGTAACATTCTAGACAATAGGGTGTAACAGCTGTGTTTTTTCTTCATTTTCTTCGGCAAATAGTAGAATTGATGGCGATGAAGCAGAATAGGGTACAAGCATCTAATTTGCTGCCTAACTATCCTTCCAAACGAGATCATAACTGCATCTGTTCTTAAAAAAACGTGGTATTCATTACTAAGTGCGGCAAAATTTTAGAAGACCAATCTGAGTAATTTTCAAATGCTTCCACTTCAACAGCTCTGGTACAATGCGAGATGTGCTTATTGTGCCGTATATTGATCTGGAAACGGTGATCCACTGCAGTACAATTGGAATGTGACATACTGTACGCCTTCCGTATTTTGCTTATACAACAGTCATCCCTTCCCAGGCAAGATTCAATCTTCACACCATATTACAACAGTTGCTTCGATGCCAATTCACAACACCCAAAACTCTTACACTACCAGGTGCACTTTTGATCAGCGGTCCATGAGATCCTGCACTTCCCAATTAAACAGTATGCACAGTGCACAAAAACGAGTCTTGTGCCGAAACAAATGCTCTAGTCTTGATTGCCCCTAGCTGTTGAATTCGTGCTCTAAGACTCAAGCGCTCCACTCTTATTACTCTTGTTTCTCAGCTGGAGGGTTCTTGATTCCAGCATAAGTGCGGATGAGGTTTGCCCCGCTGGGGTCGGTGATTAGATGGTTGATAAGGCGGAAGCGGAGAGGGTTGGAAGCGACCAGGAAGGTGGAGAAGGCAAAGAGGAGGAGGTCGAGAGAGGAGAGGTTGGACGCCAGGAAGCCCCGCCATAGCCTGAGGGGTGGAGAGGGGCGGAGGGAGGTGGAAAGTGGTGGAAAGCAGTGGAGGGGGGGGGGAAGGGGTGGAGAGGGGTGGAAAGGGGAGGATTGTGATTCAAATGAGGTTTGCCCCGCTGGGATCCGTGATGAGATGGTGGATGAGGCGGAAGCGGAGAGGGTTGGGGGCGACTAGGAAGGTGGAGAAGGCGAAGATGAGGAGGTCGAGGGAGGAGAGGTTGGATGCCAGGAAGCCATGCCATAGCCTGACGGGTGGAGAGGGTTGGTGAGGGGCAAAGAAGGGCGGAGAAGGGTGAGGGAGAAGCGGAGAGTGGTGGGGAAGGGTCGAGAGGGGTAACTAAGGGGTGGTGAGGGGTGGGGAAGGGGTGGAGGAGAATGGAGAGAGGTAGAGCTCGGGAAAGAGGGAAATGAGAAGGTTTGGTGCAGTAGAAGGGTAAAGCGTCTCACACTGTGGGGGAGGCTGAAAGGCTAAGCACACTATCAGACTTCAAACATTGAATATATTGCATGCCTTTTCGAGCTAAAAAAAACTTATAAAAGACTCATGTGCGGGCAGTTTCAAAAGCAGGCAATCCCGTGTGGGGGGCAGCTTGAAGAAGGCATTGAAAAAATCTTGAGTGGCTGGTGAGTCGAGCCGCAAAATGAGTGCAGTCTGAGTCGACTCATAGGTCACCTAGGGGGCAGCTCATCAGGGACTCTAAGGTGTATTCTGGTTTGACTCAAAGCTCACCTGGGGGGAAGCTTGAAGAAGGCATTGAAGAAGTCTCGAGTGGCTGGTGCATCGAGCTGCAGAATGAGTGTCGTTAAGTCGAACCATAAGGTTGTATCTTGAGTTGAGTCGACTAAATAACTCACCTGGGGGGCAGCTTGAAGAAGGCGTTGAAGAAATCTCGGGTGGCTGGTGCATCGAGCTGCAGAATGAGCTCAAGGCCGAATATCATGAATGATTGCTGCCTCTTGCGCTCCACTGACCACAGGTGGTCCCAGGCTGATAATGCACAGAGCACAGGGTACACAGGGCATGGGGCAACGGGGGCATGCGGCAACGACATATCTCTCGATGAGAGGCACTCAATCGAGCAACACAGGGTGACTGTAAGTGTTGGCAGAAAAAAACACATCTCATAGACGGCGCCTGCTGATGTTTGGCTTGGCAGGAGTGTGCTACAAGGCACATCAGATTGCAAGAACACACAAGTCTATGCCATACCTCGCAACCGCTCTGCAATGCACAGCACCTGGACTTTATGCCATCTTACAGCCCTGAAACCGCACTGCACCCAGAACATGTCATAACTCACAGTCCCACACTAACCTACCTTGAGTTGCAGCTTCTAGTGAAGTTCGGCTGGGAGAGCGCAGAGCAGCAGCGAGGGCAGTGGCATAGTGGGTAGCTCAGTGTTACAGCCCCACAACCGCACTGCACCTAAAACCTGTCGTAACTCACAGTCCCACACCAACCTACCTTGAGTTGCAGCTTCTTGTGAAGTTCGGCTGGGAGAGCGCAGAGCAGCAGCGAGGGCAGTGGCATAGTGGGTAGCTCGGTGTTACAGCCCCACAACCGCACTGCACCTAGAACCTGTCGTAACTCACAGTCCCACACCAACCTACCTTGAGTTGCAGCTTCTAGTGAAGTTCGGCTGGGAGAGCGCAGAGCAGCAGCGAGGGCAGTGGCGTAGTGGGGAGCTTCGGTGAGCGAGCGAGTGATGGAGTAGCCTGTTGGGGAGGGGGGACATTTGGGAAAGAGGGATGGAAAAACGGGAAGGGAAGGGAGATGGGGTATTTGAGTGAAGCAACAAGCAGAGCCGCAGCAAGGCAGCAGCATAGTTTTGAGACGTCTCAAAACTAGTGAAGCAACAAGCAGAGCCGCAGCAAGGCAGCAGCATAGTTTTGAGACGTCTCAAAAGTAGTGAAGCAACAAGCAGAGCCGCAGCAAGGCAGCAGCATCACCAAAACTCACATGGTGCTTGCATGCTTGCTTACCTGTGACGACGAGGATCTAACGCTTCACAAAGTTGGTGCTTAAAAAAATCAAACGCCTAAAAAATTGCTCACCTGTGACGGCAAGAATCTAAGGTTTCATGGAGTTGGTGCTTCAGAATATCCAATCTCCGATGGTTCTTAAGAGTATCCAATCGTGAGAGTTCTTGAGAGTTGGTGGTGCTTACCTGTGGCAGGATGAATCATGGACGCAGCAGCACCAAAGCCCAGGTGCTGCTGCGTGGTAAGAGGGAGAGAGCCGCCCACAGGGATGTAGGACCACTCCTGGTAGGTGGGGCGAAGGGGAGAAGGGAAATAGGGGTGAGGGAGGGCAGGGGCGTGGTAAGCAGGGATGGGGAAAGCCCAGGTGGTGCTGCGTGGTGTGAGGGAGAGAGCAGCCCACTGGGATGTAGGACCACTTCTGGCAGGAAGGGCGAAAGGGGAGAGGGGAAACAGGGCGGGGAAACAGGGCGGGGAAACAGGAGGCAAACAGGGTGGATGAGACGTGGCAGAAGGGAAAAACCAATGTGTGTTTCAAGTTAAGCACACCTCCTCCCACAACACTCAAACGGCAAATTTGGGAGGAATGTTGGTGACGTTAAGCAATCATTTTGCAGGAGAAATGAAGGGCACGGCTTACCTCCTCATGTGTCACGGTGTATTTGACCCCCAGCTGCGCCAGCCGGCTTCGCAGGCGTGTCTTGAGCATGTCAAACGGCATTGCAGGGCGGGATGCCAGGCATGTCTCCTGTTGCGAGTAAATGCGTGGGGTGAGGGGTGGGGGGGCCGGGATGGGAGACAGAGATGAGAGAGCAGGAAATATCTTGAGCATGTCAAATGGCATTGCAGGCGCGACGCCAGGCACGTCTCCTGTTATGAGAGAATGTGCGGGTGGAGGAAAAAAGGGGAGACGGAGAGAAAAAAGAGACAGAGGGAAGCTTTGGAAGCATGTCAAATGGCATTGCAGGGCGGGACGCCAGGCATGTCTCCTGTTACGAGTGGATGTGCGGGTGTGTGGGGAAGGAGGGTGAGGGGAGACAGAGTGGGGAGACAGAGGGAAGCTTGTAAGTCGATTAGAAACCGCATTACAGCACATCCCCGAAACAACCAAGGCGTGGACATGCGCTCACCTGGAAAAAGACGTGTGGGGGTAGACGGCATGGTGTAGAGAAGCTGGGGCGCTGAGAGAGCTCCCCCTCAGCTGCCTGCACCTGTCGTGACATGGTAACCGGCTAGAAGATTACCGGTGCTCTCTGTTGCTCTCACTTGGAAGAAGACCCCTGTGGGGGTGGAAGGCATGGCGTAGAGGAAGCTGGGGCGCTGGGAGAGCTCCCCCTCGGCTGCCTACTTGCCATGACATCTGATTTAAACAAGCATGGAACGAGCTGAACTTTCTGTTGCTCCCACCTCGAAGAACACCCGTGTGGGGGTGGAAGGCATGGCGTAGAGGAAGCTGGGGCGCTGGGAGAGCTCCCCTTCGGCTGCCAGCTCCTCCCTGGAGCGTTGGAGGTCCCGGTAGTCCATGAACAGCATGCTGGCTGGGTTGTACGGGTAGGCTGAGTCCAGCTGCAGGTGGAAGAGGGAGAACAGGAAAAACGGGAAAGGAATTGTAGGAAGACTGTCAGAAGGCATGTCATATCCCCCTCCTCTCCCATGCCTGCTTCTCGGTGGAGCGTGTGAGGTCAGAGTCCAGCTGCGGGGAGAAAGGGAGAAAGCACCAGGCAATCGTAATGGCTTTTTCTATTGCAGAGATGAAGTTTAATTCTAACAGGCATAGAGTGGGAAAACGCATCGTGCTGGAGCGTGTGACGTTCCGGTGGTCCGTGAATGAGCATGCTGGTTCTGCATTTTGGGCTCTAGCTGTGGAGGGGAGAAACACAGAATCTCAGGACTGCTGCAAAACTCTAACTTTGAGTAGCCATGCCACAACCAGAATTTCAAACCTGCAGGTTCAGTCCCATGCATCCTTCACGCTCAACTTCATACCTCCACTTCGATGCCGTATGCTGTTTGCACGCCCACCCCTCTCGTGTCATTGTCGTACTTGAGAAACTTCCCAGAAGCTGCTCCAGCCGCCACCACAACGAGCCTGTTGCATGACCGGATATGAGGATGAAAGAAACGGAGGAGAGCAACCAGCATACGCCATGTTGCTCCACTAAATAGAGACAGCGCATGAGAGTGCCCATTGCATGAGAAACTTTATCTATGTGTGTTTTGAGTCGACTCAAAATAGAGGAGAGCAATCAGCATTCCCCATTGTGCTCCACTAAATAGATACAACGCATGAGAGTGCCCCTTGCATGTGCAATTTATTCTTCCTAGTCTGGTACTGCCGCCAGCCCAGCTCACCTGCTGTTGGTGCGAGAGCCATCAGTGCATGCCACTGCGCTGCTCCGATGCGATCAAGTGCCTCAAATTCTCATACCAAAGTGCTCATTGTGAGGGCTATCAGGCACTGCCAGGCTAGCTCACCTGCTGTTGGTGCGAGAGCCATCAGTGCATGCCACTGTGCTGCTCTGACATGATCCAATGCATGAGAAGTGTACCTCTCCAGATTCCAGGTGCTCATCTTTCCAGTCTGGTATTCCCACGCTAGCTCACCTGCTGTTGATTCGTGACCCATCAGTGCACGCCACTGAGCTGCTCCGTGCATCGTCATCCATGCTCTCCACCTCCTTCTCCACATACCGCACTCCCGCCTGCTGGCATCTGGTGGGTAGGGCGAGCAAGGAAAGATGCGATAACAGGCGGAATGTGGCTGCTGAGTAGGCTCAAACGCTACTGTGCTGCTCCGTGCATCATCCTCTATGCTCACTGCCTCCCTCTCCACATATCGCACTCCCGCCTGCTGACATCTGGTGTGCAGAACAGGGCGAGCAATAGAGCATTCGGAAACAGGTAGATTGTGGCTGTTGAATTGATACAAACTTCACTGCTGCTCCGCGCATTGTCCTCTATGCTCTCTACCTCCTCCACATACCACACTCCCGCCTGCTGGCACCTGGGGGCAGGGTGAGCAAGGGCAGCGAAGATCTTGCCACCTGGTAAGCACAAAACACGACTCAAGACATCTTGCACCATCATATCATACGACGCCTGTGACGGAGTTGAAAACAGAGGCCAGAGCTGATGCGCGGACCCTCTGCTCGCAGCAGGAATCGGCACCTTTCTGCTGCACGACACACAACTTCTTGGCCGGGAAATACTCAGAGCTGTAAAAATCCAGAACCATGCGTCTCCGGCGCCGCTATAAGAAGTCACAAGTATATTCTAACCTCAGAACAAGCTCGTTGTGGAGTCTTGAGCGCTCTACTCGGCCATACGCCCTCCCCGTGGTGATGGGAACATCGGAGTCTGTGTATAGAATAGTGTCGGTCCACACTTGGTCAATGCAGTGGTCCAACCCAATGGCTGCACGGAGTGTGGGGAGGATGGGAGCAGAGGAGGCAGATGATTAGCGTGGGAGCAGTGGCGGGAGAGGATGGTTACGTCCGAGCACGGTTGTACGCAGGCGGTGTCGGTCCACACTTGATCGATGCTGTGGGTCCATCCCAATGGCTGCACGGAGTGTGAGAGGATGAGACGGAATGATGATTTTCATTAAAGATTTGAGAAGGGAACATTTTTTAGTCGGTGTGTATAGGATGGTGTCGGTCCACACTTGGTTCAATCTGTCGAGCCAGACGCTGTAGTTTGTTGACAATGGCCCGCGTTTGACACGCTCCGACGAAAGATACGACATTTGAGATGCCCCAGCAGTCGCATACCTTTAAAATCGTCGAGCCAGACGCCGTAGTTGTTGACGAACGGTGCATCTCTGCCAACCAGCCCCACCGTGAGCCCGCGCTTTGCGCACTCTGCCGCGATAGAGAGGCCCGCCGGCCCACAGCCGACCACCAAAACGTCGAGCACTGATGACTCTTTGGTGTCTAGAGGGAGGAGCTGTGTGGGTGAGGTGCGGGACGGGTAAAGAGAGACGCAAACAAGGTTGGCCTTAAATCGCTATCATATAGCTTAAAGCCTTAAATTTCTAACGTTTCGTGTGAAGATTATTAACATTTCCCAAATTCGTTGCTGGATTCATCGCCATTCCTGGATTCAAGTACCTTGCTGGCGATCTTTGGCTGATCCTCCATCGGCTTGGTAGCCTGCATCTGGACGTAATGCAGGTCAGAACCGCCTGCTTTAGTGAAATCCTCAGTGTTAGCAAACGCTGCTTCGGGATTGGCTGCTGGTGACTCGACCAATGGGGGAATTGCACAAACTGGCCGGCAAAAGTGATGAATTCTCTTTGCTGGAATGGAGCTGTGACCAATGGAGGGACCATGAGCGATAGACAGAGATGCTCCATGAATTTGTGTTCTTAACCGGCAACTACCACCATTAATGGATTGGCTATGCTCCAAATTCTCTAACCCATGTAAGGCAGAACGAGCTACAATTGATCCGGCATAGAACCGAGCTGCAGACATCCTGAAAGCTCGTTAAGACCAGCCAGGCAGACGGTTATAAAAATACGAGTACTAGCGGTAACACCACTAAAGAGAACCACAACCTGGCTGGCCTGCAGTGACACCAGGTCGCTTCAGGAAGAAGAGGATTTCACTGAAAGCTATGTGCCAAAAAGCTTGACATTCCGTTCGCTTTAGGTTGACATTCCGTTCCTTAGCCTGACAATGAACATGGCCAAGGCAAACCTTGAGAATTCCGCCTGTTCCCACCTCTTCCGCTAATCCCCAGTTTGGGATCCTCATGCTGCACACGACTACCGCGCGAATTTCCGCGCGAGCGGCCAAGCGAATGGGGAGGCTCCAAGTTTTCAGGGAGTTCGTGCAGCGAATCGGGTGTGACAATTTCGAGGAGGTAAAATCCATGTGTGGGGGTTGTGATTGGCGGCAGTTTATACGCGAATCAGACGTTCCATCCCAAGTGCCAGAATACACCAAGACCTCTGTACTGATTGAATATATGTTGGTTTATTCTAGTATTTGGCAACTGTAACAATTCTCCATTATTTACCATGAGCATGGCGTGAATGAAAAGATGTATTTCTGAATAGTATAAAATCATAAAAGCTAATTTAGTTCTTTACAGAATACCATGCCGGTTCAAGTTACTATGGTAAGGCAAAAGAAGTAGCGTACCATCAACTAGCATAATCAGAGCTGGTTTCTAGGGGAGCTGGTAGCCAAAGAGGTGCCTTCTGGGGACAAGGATTCTAAGCTGGGATAAGAACCCCAGGAAGACATGCCAGATGACTGCTGTGGCACAACAAACTCCGCACTCAAGCTGCTGAGCGATGCACAGTCCTCTGTAATAAGACCTCCATCCCTCATCTCACTGCTCTTTAGCGAGCCCGGTGCAGCCCCAGGGCTGCAGAGAAAATCACACGAGTTTGGAGGAGACACGTGGTTTGCGGGGATGGGAGGAAGCGGTGAGACGGCACGTGGCGGAAGCCGAGCCGACCGACCGGATGCTGAGTTGGCAGACCGGCGGGAAAGACGTGGCTGCTGTTGCTGCTGGTTGTGGTATTGGTGGTGGAGTCTAGGAGAGGACGCCCTTTGTTGGGGAAACATCTGCTGCATCTGCTGTTGCTGCTGGAAATGCATTTGCTGCTGCTGAAACTGCTGCATTTGATTGTACTGCATCTGCTGCTGCCGTTGCTGTTGGTGCTGCATGTGCTTCTGACGCATCATCTGCCGTTGCATCACCATCCATTCCCGCTTCTCCCGCTCCCTACGCCTCTCCTCCGCCGCCCCTGCGTCATGTGGCGAAGGCAACGAGTAACCCGACTTCACAGTCCCCTCCTCGTCAGCAATCTCCCCGTCGTCGCATTGGCTCTCGCTGTCCGAATCGATCGCGGTGAACACGCTTCGAGCGTCCGCGGGACTCCCGCCGCGGAGCGACGCCACAAAGGCGGACGCGTCCGCGGGGTGCGGAAGATTCGCCCTCATCGCGCGGTGGTCCAGGCTCGTTCGGCGGACGGGTGTCGACGGCGCGGAGGGGAACCGCGCGCGCGGCGCAGGCCGTGGGTCGCGCTGGGAATCGTATTCGCGGGAATCGTTGCGGCTGTAAGAGGCAGATCTCGAGAACGACTGCTGCTGCTGCCACTGCGCCAACCCCGGCGGTGGCGGCGATGGTGACGGAACGAGCCCACATGCAGTCGCGGCCGCGGAAGCGTCATAATCTGGAAAAGCGGGCCGCGTAGATCCATCTTGCGCGCTGCCAGCGCCGCGGTGAAGCGCGCGCCGCCCGCTCCTTCCGCCGGTTGTGCAATCGGCGGAATCCAGGGCGGAGAAGCCCCTAGCGATATCGCCGCCCTCGAAGTCAGGGAAGGCGGCGGCGGAAGCAGATCGGACTGACGGAGCCGGCGAGGGGGAGCGCGACGAGCGCATGCTTCCGCCCGCACCGCAGCCTCCGCAGGAGCGGCCGCACGACGGCTGGCGCTCAAGTTGGGAAAACGCCGGACTCTGCTGCCCTACAGCGGCGTTGTAACCGTTGAACTCGCTGTCGTAGCCGCCGCCATGATCGTAACCGCCATTATTGTAACCTCCATAGTTAGAAAGATCATTGAGTGAATTTACCCGCTTCGGCTGGGAGTGGCGGCGCATGTTCGTCTCGTCTTGCCAAAGTTGTCGCGCTTCGGAAAGCGACGCGGCGGCGGACCTGGCGGATGAAGCGTCAGAGGCGGACGTGTGTCGCGACGCGACACGGTTGGCAGCCTGAAACGGCGAGATCATCTCCTCTTCGTCGTCTTCTGACGTGGCATCAAAGACGTAATCAGAATGACGCATGGAAGAAGAAGCAGCGACCGCGGCGGCAAGGGCAGCGACATCGGCGCTTTGTTGGCGGCTGAAAAGCGCGCCGGTATCGAGCGACATGCGGCGCGGAACGAAGCCATTTTGTACATTCTCCGTCAAGAAGTCGCCTTGCCGTTCGGCTTTCCTCGTCTCCTTGCGAGCACGGCGCGGCGCCGTCCCGTTACTGCGATCGCTGTCAGGTAGAAATCCCTTAAAATCCTCGTTAGACGGGAGAGACTTGGCCCCTTTCAACGGCGACTGTTTAGGCTCGAGATAGTACGTGCTGCCAGGGTGAAGCGACTTTTCCGGCGTGAGACACGGGCGGGAGGAGGTGATGCTGCCGACGTGATGGCCCGGATATTCCGCCATGATATCATCTCCATGCTGCCGTCGGGGAGAAGGAGCGAGACGAGCTTGTCGCTGCTTCGCGAGCGGAGGAGCTTGTCAAGGCCCCATCGAGACATCGCCATCGCCATTCGGATCGCTCAAAGAATCGAAATTTACGCCTGGACGACGCCGCGTCGTCCTGGAATGGAGGAACGTGTTCCTGACGGTCCGCTGTGGAGAAAGTTACCAGTTTCGATCAGAAGAGGCCGAAGTGGGAAGCAAAACTTGCTATAGTGCGTCAAACGAAGCGGAACTTTTGAGAACGAGATTGAAATTAGTTTATAAGGTGTGAAGCAACATTTATCTCATGGTTGCTGAGTTGTGTACACGTGGGTCGATCGAACTCGTGGAGGGTGGAAGGGGAGCGACGTGAAGAGTTGAGCAAGAGAAGTGTTGCATGTGCTGTTGAGAAGAGAATGCTGAAGCGGAGGGCACAGAAGAGGTCGCGGAAATCGTGTGTGGTGGATTGTCAAGGCAGGTGGGAAGTTGGAGATTGGTGGCGATCCGAGGCGCGGTAAGGCGAGATGATGCGAGGTAAGCGATGCCACAGTGTATGTGGTAACCTGAATGGCGACGACATGGGTGTGGTTGAAGCGAGGGCATTGCGGAGGAAGCGCGCTGAGCCAGGCAAAGCAACAAGGCTGCGCTGCGGGGTTCGAGATTTTCCCCAATGACGTGGGCCGAAGGAGTTGAATGCGGGAGCAAGTGGAGTGCGAATCAAATCTAAAGGAACAAGTCGCGCGCGCACCTTTGCACAACTGATTTGGAAGGGACCAACCAGGCCAGCAGACCAACTCAATTCGAGATTCACGCGGAATCTATGGGTCGCTGACAAAAAGTCTCATTGAAAGAAACTCCCATCCGTGGCCGTCACTGTCGCGAGTGTAACTGTCCGCTGGCGAATTTTCCGTCTTTTAGCTACAGTTGATCACATTTCTGGTGGCTGTGGAACGAACAGAAATGATAGCCAATGACATAAAAAACACTGATTACTCAGGGTCCCTGAATTCCCACGTCATCCAGAATTAGTGGGTCATTTGCGAGCTTGTACTCATTTGAATGAATTGAGTTTCCTTTCCGCCAAATCTGCCCTGCAACCAAACCAAACATTTTTCGCACGCATTGTCCAGGGTTGTCTTGTAGTGGTCCCTTCTGCTGCAAACTGGCCAGCTGTGCCATTTCTGATTCCGAATCCATTACTATAGCACTCGCTTTCCTCATAAGACATTCGTTTTATGGACATCAACTATGGGAAACTAGAAAGCTTTCAGGCTTCCTAGCACGTATGAGTCAAAAGGAGGACAGCACCAGTACCGTAGTTGCTAACGCACGAGCTTATACGAAGCATGTTTTTCTCAATCAACCACATCCCCCACTCCACTGCCATTACCATCACCATCATCGCCTCGCCATGCCCCGCCTTTCGCTCCCCGTCAACTCCGCCGCATGCGCCGAGTCGCCCGCCTTTCTCCCTCACCGCAGCTCCGCAAACACCCACATTTCGATTGCCGTGAACGGCTGGCAAGGAAGGCAGTTTGTTACTAGCTTTCAGGCTAGCAATGACCCTGTTATAAGCACATTCCACAATCTAGTAATTCTCTCGTCCGTCTCGCGTCCGATTTCCTTCAATCCCCAATCTCGTTTCAAGAGAACAAATCCAGCGGCTCCGCGCATATCGAGCCACTCGCAGTTCGCAAATTGCGTTCTTAATGGCGATCCTTCCGCTGTACATAACACCGCTATCGGCTCTCAGTCATTCCGACGGTCCACAAATTACCTAACTACCGCTAACCGCTTAGCGATCGACGCGTCGTCTTTTCCAGCGTTTTACAGGTCAATTTCCTCTTCACGTAGTTCTGTACAGGTGAAACCAGCAGACGAATCGCCTGAAAATTCACCTGATGATGAGTATGAGGATTTTCGGGATCTTCGGCCCGAAGACCTGCAGCGATTATGCGAGTCAACGGGGTCAACGCAGTCAACACAGCAGCCGGATCGCGTCTTTGTGGCGTCGATTCCGCTGGACGCGCCGGCAGGACCACCGCAATGGGCTGCTGACGTGGCAGGACGGCTGTTTCCTCAGCTGTGCAGTCACTGGGTGGTGATTGTAGCGAGAGAAAATGGAGAGGTGAGGCTTTTAACGGAAAACTCGGTAGTTTCAAAAGATGCCTCGTTTCCAGACGTTGGGATGTCACTAGGCCCGTTGATTTCCACACACTGTCTTCCTTCCTCCCCCTCCTTCTCCTCCTCTCCTTCTCCCCCTCTCCTTCAGTGCTACCTCTTTGAATTTAGGCCTGGTGACCCGCAGAACATAAGAGTTGGGCTGTTGCTTAGCCTGCTTTGTTCTACCCACGTTCTCCCCTCCTCTCACTTCCCCCCTCTCCCTCCCTGCTCTCCCCGCTCCAGTGCTACCTGTTTGAATTCAGGCCGGATAACCCACAGAACATGGGAGTTGAGTTGTTGCTGCTTAGCCTGATTTCTTCGTTCTCCCCTCCTTCCCCTCCCCCCAGTGCTATCTCTTTGACTTCAGGCCGGATAACCCACAGAACATGGGGGTGGCTCTTAAAGTGCTGGCGCTGCAGCCTGTGCCTGGTGGGTGGTTGGGTGAGTGGGTGGGTGGGTGGGAGCTGCAATTGTCACATGCCTTGTCACATATCTTGTCACATGTCCATGCCCACAGAACATCCGGGTGGCTCTCAGAGTGCTGGCGCTGCAGCCCATGCCTGGTGGGTGGATCGGTGGGTGGGTGAGTGGGTGGGTAGAATCTGCATCTGTCACATGTCTTGCCTTGTTCCAAGCCTTGCCTGCATGCCATGGCCTGCCATGGGTTCCCTATGTTTCCTGCACTGCTCCTGTAGCAGGTGGGTGGGTGGGTGGCAGCATCCTCTTTCACATGCCTTCAGGCGGTATACTCATTCCTGCGCTTACCGCTGCGCCCTAACTTCCCGCCCTCCATCTAACGTCCCTCGGGCCACGGGCCCATTCGATTGCTGTCCCGCTTCCGAGGCGCCTCAAATAGCCGACTTTTGAGGCGCTCAAAAGCCTTCCTTCTAACGTCCCCCAGGATACGGGCCCATTCGATTGCTGTCCCGCAGCCTTCCCGCAGCCGCTGGTGCCTCAGCGCGCCTGCTGAATGCGTTTTGATGCGTCTCAAAATCAGCACGGCTGCTCATTGGGGAAAAAAAGAAGGAAACATTATTTTCCTCCTCTCCCTTCCTGCTCACCATCCGAATGCCTCCAGGCTATGTGCTCATTCGCCCGCTATCCTCCCTCCCCTCCCGCCGCTGCTGGTGAATTGGCTCATCTGCTCACCACGTCTGGTTGGCCCCTTACTCTGCTTCCCTCCCTCTTGCCATCCTACTCTCCCTCCATCTCCAGGCTATTTGCTGGTGCATAGGCTCGTCTGCTTCCTACGTCAGATTGTCCCCTTACTACGCTTCCCTCCCTCTCACCATCCCACCGTCCCTCCATTTCCAGGCTATCTGCTCATTCGTCCACTCTCCTCCCTCCCCTCCCGCCACTGCTGGTGTGTTGGCTCGTCTGTTGACTAGGTCAGATTGCCCCATTGCTCTGCTTCCCTCCCTCTTACCATCCCACTGTCCCTCCATTTCCAGGCTACCTGCTAATACGCCCGCTCTCCTCCATCCCTTCCCGCCGCTGCTGGTGCCTCGGCTCGTCTGCTCACTCTGACACACTAGATGCTGTCCAATCATTCAACGCCACATGGCGCACCGAACTGACGGTGTTCTCCAACGATTGCAGAGACTACAGCCAAGGTATGCATGTGAAATGACGCCCAGTTGAGGAATGCCACGTGGCACACTTATCTGCTGACGATGTTCTCCAACCAGTCAAGGAATGCCACGTTGCACACTAATTTGCTGATGGTGTTTCCTAACGATTGTAAAGACTACAGCCAAGGTACGTTTTTGAAATGACGCCAATTGTGGAATGCCACATGGCACACTTATCTGCTGACAATGTTCTCCAACCGTTGTACAGACTACAGCCAAGGTATGTACCGGCATGTTGAATGAGTCCCAATCATGCAACGCCACGTGGTGCACTTATCTGCTGACGGGCTCTCCCACATTTGTACAGATTGCAGCCATGGGATAAACAACACGAATCCGCAGTGCATTGATTGGGTATTGCTATCTTGCAGGGGTATTGCTGCTGGCGCCCTTCCTTCCTGAGGGGCATGAAAGAACAAAAAGAAATCCTTTGCTATCAATCAGAGCATGAAGTAGACATTGCTGCTGGTCCCTGTCTGTGCTTGCCTCATGCTCCTTCAGCTCTTGCCGCTGCATGCATGTCCCTGTCTGTGCTTGTCCTTGTACTCATTGGGCGCAGCGCTCGCATCGCATCTAACAGGCAAGAAGATTGACCTCAGCTTGTGCTTGTGAATCGTGAATAGTGAAGAATATCCAAGGACATGAAGACAGAATACGCGAAGTGACTCTTGTTTGAGTAGATGCTAACTCAATCTCAGCATCTCTTTCAATGTCATCTGCTAGAGAATGCGAAACATTGAACAGCCATTTATGTCTGTGTCCGTAGACAGTTGCTGACATTGCACAGCGCCACACAACCAATGATGTGTGTTCTGTGTACCAATTTTCCTTTCTACATGGTCCATGCAAGGGTGTTGCGGTGCAACTCTAGGAATAATTGTAGTTGTGCTTGCGAGATGCACAAGTAGCCCATACAATGGCAGACATTTCTGGAATTTTTCATAGCACAGACAGAGATGCGAGGCGAGGAGTTTCTCTATATTGCGAACATTTTCCACCCTCCAGCCACCTCAAACACCCGAGGAGGAATGCCAATGCCATCCTCCTGCTTCTCACCATGGCAAAAACGGCATTACAATAGCTATGTCTTTTCTTCCTCACTTCCACTTTCGACCATGTTTATACTCTCGCTTCTGATAAACAAGCGTCGCATTTAGATTTGTAATCAACATCTGCAGCTAATAACGGCCATGGCTTAGGGAAACTGAACGTAAGCATTAGCTTTGAACCTACATATTAAGGTGCTTTATGGCCTAACAGGACCAGTTTCAGTGACTGCCCAATCACAACGCATAATTGAGGTTAAAAAGAAAAAAAAACGAAAGATATCCAATCTAACGCTTTATTTAATAACAAAATATAAACACGGTGTGGGTCTTTCTTTATTTAGCACTAAATTTCTTCAAACCATGGCAGCGACGCCTTGCGACTTGGGCGTCTCCACCTTGAGCTCGTACTTCTGCCCGCGCACCACCGCGTACATCTTGTCGGGCGCGATGTAGTCGCAGGTGCGCTCGATGCGGAAAGGCTGGCCGGGAATCTGGTCGCCCGAGTGGATCTGCACGCCCGTGATCACGGCGTAGTCCGCCGTCTCGGGGTTCACCGTGAGCTTGATGAGCTTCTCCAAGTCCTCGTTGATCGCCGCCAACGCCGCGCGCGTCACGTCCACCAGCGACTTGTTGCCGCCCGACACCTGTGGGGGATTGATGGAAGTGGAGCAAGAGGAACAGGAATTTAGAGTGGACGACCAGAAGTTGCTTGAAACGAAATCTGAAGTGCTACGTTGCAACCGTTCGATTGCCAGCTTTCATGAAGCTTCTAGTGTTTCATTACTCGGATTTATTGACCATCCGCTCACCTTAGCCATGATCTTCTTGCGCAGCAGCGTGTACTCGGGGTCGTCGCTGTCCATGCTGGGCGCCACGCCGTTGTTGATGTCGTTGTTGATGGCGATCAACGCTCCGCATGCGCTCGACGCCTTACCGCGACCGCGACGCAGCAGCGAACCCACCTCGCCCGACTCGCCGATGGACACGTGCGGGAACGCGAAGAAGATGTCTGCAAAAAAGGATACAGAACATAAAGAGGGTTAATTAGTGATAAGAACGACGGATGTCTCAAACAGCGAATTTGGAAGGTAAAATAACATGATGAATATGGGAAAACGTCAAACTGGAAAGACAATATCATTTGAAATGCTTCCAGATTAAGGTAAACCAAATTAGACCAAAACTTACATCGCTCCTTGAGGTTGCCGTCGACGTCGCAGGGGAACTCGGGCGAGTGGCTCATGGCGGCTCCGAAGCCGACCTTGCCGCAGTTGACGAGCCCGCCCAGTCCCGAGATGTTGAAGCTCAGCCCGAACTCGCGGTCGATGATGCTCACCACGGGCCGGCACACCTCGTCGCGACACGTGTTCACCAGCGCGATGCCGTTGTCCTTGCGGAACCCCAGCTTCGCCAGCTCCACCGCCACGGCCTTCAGGAATGCCTCCTCCTGCATCGCCGACGGGAACGTCGTCGCCATCGTCGCCAGCGCCGACGCCGCCGCGTGCTTTGCGCGGGGCACGATGCCGCTGGGCGGCACGCTGGTCACCGCAGGAGAGGAGGGGGCGGGTGCGGCGGGAGCGGCGGCGGGAGACGCGGTGAGCTTCTTCACGGCAACGTAGGTCGCGGCGCCCAGAGCGCCGGCGCCGACGATGGCGGGGAGGAGGGCGGTGGCGGCAGGAGCGGCGGGAGCGGCGGTGGACTGGGAGACGCTCGCGAACTGGTTGTCGGCGCTGGCCATGGCGACGACGCTTGTGCGACGGTTACCGCATTTCGCGCAAGTCATGCAGGTGCATGTTTGAGCAGAGGCGGAAAGAGCCTTCTGGGCCTTGAGGCCGGAGAACCCAGGGATTGCCGCCCGCGAGGAAGTGGAGAGGCTGCTTCCCTCTGGTATAGAGAGGGAGCGAAGGGTGGCGGATGCCGAAGAGGAGAGAGTCGCAGCCATTGTGTCGGAGAGTCGTGTAAACGCTCTGAAAGCACAAGAGTGTTTACGAAGACGATTAACGACGACGACTGAAACTGCGACTCTGAGAAGTGTCAAGGTTAGAACAAGAATATTGTGTTGGTGTTTATGTATGCTGTCCAGTGCATTGGAACGGAATTAGTTTCCTAGTCTTGGCGCCAGTTGTTCTGGTCGCTGGCTGGGGGAGTGAAAAAGGCGAAATTCAGAATCTCGCTTGAAATCCTGGCCTTGTTGGGGTGAGCCTTTCTGAGGGGGGTATCTGAAGCTATTTTGGGTTCGGTGCGGCTCGCACTTGCATAGATCTTGCCGATGTGTGGCGAGAGGGGGGTGATGTGGATGATCCACATGGTGTGCCTCCAGGTCGGATTGCCTGCCACGTGTGATCCGTTTGTGGCTCCAGTATCGGACCCAAGCCGCACATTTTGACAATTCCCTTTGTTCCAGTTTCCCGCCTTTCCTGGTCGTGTACACTTGGGATGCTGCCCTGCCTATCAACGAAGAGGATTTGGAGTTGCAAATGCGCCACCTGCGTACCGCAATCCTCTTCGATGTACGAGAGTTTGGACGGGCTTGGCAAGTCCAGCGAGATGGAGCTTTGGTAAAGTTGGTGGGATCACTGTGCAAGTCCGAGATGCGCGATCGAACGCCAGCCCGGTAAAGACGTAGGCTTGTGTAGCTCAGAAATACACGAGTTAATAAAATGCGCTACAATTGAAAGTTTGAAATCCTGAAACCTAACAACGTCTCAACCAATGCTCAAGAACACGCTCAATGAAGGTTGGCCTACTACAATATAGATGTTATGCGGGAAACTTTAGGATGTTAAATGAAATAAGCATGTTCAAATAATATTGCGATTTGTAGGGTAGTGGGTGTTCTTGGTACATGGCACGACACGTTTCTTAGTCCAGGAAGCGGCCGTGGAATATTTTTGATTCGGTTTGGCATTAAACAATAAAAACTGGTGGAAAATAAATTTGTAGCCATGAAGTTGTGCACGTACATTGCATGCTGCTGTTATTGAAGCACCTGTGAGTGCGTTTTCTTCGGAATTCTTGTATTTGATCTGGCCCGGAATCACTTCACGCAGTTCTATGCTTCTCCTGAGCGGAACTATTGATGTAGTTATCTCGAAGATTCCGTGCTTGGAGAACGTCGACTTAGAGTAGGACCAGCGGGAATACCTTAGTGTTGTAGACAGCCCACTCGTGCAGACCTTCAGATCAAGTGTCTGTTCGTCCACCTTGTAGCCTGTCCGCATTTCACGGCGGGTTCGGCGGCAATGGCCTCTGCAAAAGGGGTATTGCGGAACGTGCAGGCGCAGGAGGAGGCGTCTCCGCATTCCCCTCGGGAAGGGGGAGTTTTGCGCAACGATGAACTGGCGCGTCAGCTAGAGCAACTTAAAGACATCGACGCATTGCAGGTTCGTGTGACAACTGATGGTGACGGCACAGTTTCTGAGTCGAATCAAAGGCAGCTGGAGAAACTTTAAGACATTGACGCATTGCAGGTTTGTGTGAGCAACTGACAGTGACAATATGGTTTTTTACTTCAGTCGACTCAAAAAGCAGCTGGAGCAACTTAAGGACATCGACGCATTGCAGGTTCGTTCGTGTGCTGGAGCAACTGACGGTGACGATATAGTTTTTTACTTCAGTCGATTTTAAAAGCAGCTGGAGCAACTTAAGGACATCGACGCATTGCAGGTTCGTGTCACATCAGCCGGAGTTGATATGGTTTTTGAGTCTGTATTCGAGCCGACTGAAAAGGCATCTGGGACAAATCATCAACGCAGGTCGGCTGTAGCGCAGGCAGGACAAATGCTTGTTACGTTTCCTTGGTAGACTTTTGTTGATTCGAGATTGTTTTTCAACAATTCTAAAAAAACAGATTCATCTGGGACACATCATCGACGCAGGTCGGCTGTATAGCAGGTCAAATGCTCGTTACGTTTCCTTTGTAGACTTCTGTAGATCCGAATTCAAGGCAGATGCGCTGTTTACGGTTCGTAGATGTCTGAAGAACCAATTGAAAGGCAGAAGTTCGTCAGTTAGGGCCTGTATACGTCCAAAGGAACTGGTCAAAGACTTCTCGCTTACTGTGTAGAAAGTGCATTTTTGAGACGTCTCGAGAACCAAGTGAAAGGCAGAAGGAACTGGTCAAAGACGTCTCCTTTACCGTGCACAGCTTCATAAGAAACCCTTATCCGCCTAAAGGACCGTGATTTTTACGGTCTGTATACGTCTAAAAGGAACTGGTCAAATGCGTCTCATTTAGCGTGTAATGCATGTCAGCAGCATTGAAATCACTTTTGAGACTTCTCAAAAGTGAATCTTACGGTCTGTAGTATACGTCTGAAAGAACTGGTTCAAGACGTCTCATTTGCTGTGTACAGCATGTCAGCACCAATGATTGAAGGCTCGTATGTGCTTTGCTCAACTTGGGATGGCGATATCTGCTTCATAAGAAACCCTTATCCGCCTTCAGTTATAGGCCCCAGCACACTGCATGTCAGTTGGGGAGAGGAAGGCTCATCTTTGCACCCTGGCTCAACGGAGGGAGGTGTTATCTGCGTTGCAATGAACCAACTCACCCTCTCACCTTCTCCCTTTCCCCCACCTTTCCTTTTCCCCCCTTATAGGCCCTGGCACACAGCATGGCAGCAGGGGGAAAGGAGGGTTCATCTGTGCTCACCGCGGCTCAACTGGGGGAGGTGATATCTGCGCTGCAGGCGCAGGTGCAGGCTGAGGTGGCAACGCATCATGACGAGCTGCTGCAGCAGCTATCCTCGTTAAAAGACACAGAGGGCGTGCTGTCTGTGGTGCGCGCTGGAGTCGACTCGTTACTAGCCTCCGTCCAGGTGCGTTTCTGTGTATGAATGCATGAGTGAGTGAATGAAGGAAGAGGACCATGAGCGAGATCGTGCATGGGAGAGGACGGGGATTTCTGAGAGGAGAGGAGGGGGAATTCTGAGAGGAGAGGGAGGCGGAATTCTGTTATCACTCACTCTTGTGCCTTGAGAATATGTATATGATTTTTAACAAAATTTATTAACCGAATCGCTAAACAATTCGCTTGTGCTCTTTGTCTCCCCACCCTCAGCGCGTGCGGGCAGAGATAGCAGACCCCTATCGGGCCATTCAGGTGAAGACACGTCAGCTTGCCGCTCTCTACGACACCATGGAACTGCTGAGAGCAGTCATTAAGTACCTCAAACTGGTGAGCTTTGAGCCGTTTTAGAAGTCCCACAATCGAGTACAATAGAATCAATAGTCGACTCAAATGTCACCTCGACAAGTCAGCTGGCCGCCCTTTTCGACACCATGGAGCTGCTGAGATCCGTCATTCAATACCTCAAACTGATGAGTGGAGATAAATTACATTACATGGGGGGTGTGGATATTAACTACCTGGTTGTGAGTGGAGACCACGAAAAGAGCAAGCTGTTGAATTGAGGGTATCACAGGGGAGTCAAGGGTAGTCAATTGGGGTTGATGGAATCCAAGGGGAATGAAGGAGATTCAAGGAGAGTTGGGCGGAAATGCCCCAGTTGGTGCAAACCTTCTGCTGCGAAGCAGATGGAACTTCTTGGCAGGTAGGTAGGTGCTTAGGGAGGCGCAACTGGGGGGGGGTGCATGCATGTGTAGAGGCACAGCACGAGTGGGTGGCAGAGGCAGGGGCAGGCGGTGTAGGTGTGTTCTGAGGCGCCTCAAAACGCCCCCAATCCTTACACCACCATCCCTCCTTGTTTGCCCCTTCACCTGATTCTCCGCAAATCCCCCTCCCCCTCCACCTTTTCCCCAGGTGCGCAAGCTGAGGGAGCACCTGAGTGGGGGAGTGGAGAAGGCGGACCTGGGGAAGGCGGGGCAGGTGTGGCAGGAAGTGGGGGCAGTGCACAGGGAGGCGCAGCTGGGGGGGGTGCATGTGGTGGAGGCACAGCACGAGTGGGTGGCGGAGGCAGGGCAGGCTATCAGGAGAGAGGCGATGAGGGCGCTGGAGGGGGGTATGGAGGCGATGAACCAGGCTGAAGTGGGGAGCGTGCTGCAGGTGAGAGGGTTGCACATGTGAGTAGGTGGTGGAGGCGCAGCTGAGGGGGGTTTTGAGTCGACTGCAAAAATCGACTAAAAAAAGTGGGTGGTAGATGCACAACAGGAGTGGGTGGTGGAGGCGGGACAGGCTATACGGAGAGAGGCTATGAAGGCGCAGGAAGGAGGCATGGAGGCGATGAACCAGGCTGAAGTGGGGAGCGTGCTGCAGGTGAGAGGAGAGAGTTAGGGCTTTCGGTGAAGGAGAAAGACAGGGGAGTTGGACAGAAATGGGGGGAGTGGAGAGGAGAGGAATAGGGAATGAGAGCATAGAGGCGATGGGCTAGGTTGAAGTCAGGAGCATGCTGCAGGTGAGAGGAGAGAGTTTCAGAAAGGGGGTTGAAACGGAAATGAAGGGCGACGAAAGGGGAGAGGGGGTTTGTCGAAGGGGATTAAAGGAACCCGCCCGTTCGTCCACTTCTCTTAATTAGTTTTTCATGATTTAAAACCTTGAAAGTGATGTAAGCTCAAAACAACTCTCTCCTCCTTTTCCATCTCTCCTTCCTCTCCTCCCTCCCCTCCCTTTTGTGTATGTGTGTGTGTGTGTGTGTGTGTGTGTGTGTGTGTGTGTGTGTGTGTTGTCGCATTATCTCAGGTGTTTTTCAACATGGGTGAGCTGAGGCAGACGGTGGACCAGCTGGTGGCGAAGCACAAGGGGCAGGCCATGCGAGCCGTGGCCACAGGGCTCGACATGAAGGTATGGGCTTTCCTTTTTGATTTCACATCAAAGGTGCTTTGTTTGGCTATTCTTGGGCGTGGAAGGTGTATGGCACGTTCCTGACGCCCTCGAAGCACAAGGGGCAGGCCATGCGAGCCGTGGCCACAGGGCTCGACTCGACATGAAGGTATGGGATTTTTTCTTTCCCGTCCGAGTGCCCATGATCTATGAAGCCAGGAGTGAAGGTACTAGAGCCGGCTTCAGCCGCCCTCGAAGCACAAGGAGCTTCAGCCGCCCTTGAAGCACAAGGGGCTTCAGCCACCCTCAAAGCACAAGGGGCTTCAGCCGCCCTCGAAGCACAAGGGGCTTCAGCCGCCCTCGAAGCACAAGGGGCTTCAGCCGCCCTCGAAGCACAAGGGGCTTCAGCTGCCCTCGAAGCACAAGGGGCTTCAGCCGCCCTCGAAGCACAAGGGGCTTCAGCCGCCCTCGAAGCACAAGGGGCTTCAGCCTCCCTCGAAGCACAAGGGGCTTCAGCCGCCCTCGAAGCAGAAGGGGCTTCAGCCGCCCTCGAAGCACAAGGGGCTTCAGCCGCCCTCGAAGCACAAGGGGCTTCAGCCGCCCTCGAAGCACAAGGGGCTTCAGCCGCCCTCGAAGCACAAGGGGCTTCAGCCGCCCTCGAAACACAAGGGGCTTCAGCCGCCCTGTCAGCACAAGGGGCAGGCCATGCAAGCAGCGGCCATGGACTCTTTTTTGTGTGCCCTGCCAGTTGTGGCTTCCCTTCATGGAAGTCGCAAGTTATCGTTTCTGCACCCTCCTCGCACGTACCTGCCTGTCTCCCTCTCATGTCTCTGCACTCGTTGTTGCCTCACTCACCCCTCACTACCCCTCACTGTTGTTCTCCCGGCAAGCAGGCTATCAGTGCGAGCATGGGAGCATCAGGGGGTGGAGGAGGCTTGGGTGGCTCCGTGGGCGGACCAGGTATGTGTGTAGTCCGTTCGTACGCCCTCCTTGCCATCTGAATTCGTTTCTTGAACTCGAGACAAGCTTGCAGTGCTAACCTGGTGCGCATTGGAACTTGATTTGACGTTATAGTTCGTTCATCGCCCACAATGGTCCCCCGCTGCCATCTGCACCTCTCTCACTACCCCGCCTTTCCCCATTGGGTCTCTCTCTTCCTCCCATTCCCCGGAGGAGCCATGTGCAGCGGTACTCCTCCAATGGGCGGCGCGGCGTCCCTAGAGCCTGGGAGGCCCTGTGGCAGCGGCGGCTGAGTAACTGAGCTGGTTCGAAGCTCATCTGCTCCCTTTCCTGAGTTCACTCTTTCCCATTCCCCCCTGCCTGTCCCCCTTGCTCTCCCAGGGGGAGCCATGCGCAGCGGCACTCCTCCAATGGGTGGCGCCCCCAGAGCCCGGGAGGCGCTGTGGCAGCGGCTGACTGGATGCCTGGATGAGCTGGCGCGTGTTATGGTGCTGACGTGGCACCTGCAGCGAGTGATGGCGAAGAAGCGAGATCCGATCTCCCACGTCGTGTTCCTGGACCACGTGTTGCAGGTCGGGGGAGGGGGGGTGGTGGTTAGAGGAAAGGGGGAGGGGTGGGCTTGTATGAAAAAGTGGCAGGCCCGGGCTACAAGAAGTGAGTGGAGGGGGGAGGGAGGGAGATCCGATTTCACATGTGGTGTTCCTGGACGACGTGTTGCAGGTGGGGGGTGGGGTGTTGGTGGTTAGAGGAAAGGGGGAGGGGTGGGCTTGTATGAAAAATTGCCAGGCGCGGGCTACAAGATGGGAGATCCAATTTCACATGTGGTGTTCCTGGACCACGTGTTGCAGGTGGGGGGTGGGGGAGGGGGGAGGGAGGGAGTGGAGGGGGTGTGGGAGGGGGTTGGCCTGGCTAGTGGAAGTGGGTACTGAATTGGTTGGGGCTATCAAAAGAAGCGAGACTTCATCTCACATATGGTGTTCCTGGATCACGTGCTGCAGGTGGGGTGTGCGGTGGGGAGGTATATGGGGGTGTGCAGTGCAGTGCAGGTGCTGCTGCAAGCACAGAGACTTCATCTCACATATGGTGATCCTGGATCACGTGCTGCAGGTGGGGGAGGAGACATGGGGCTTGTGTGCGGAATGGATAGCGACAGGGGCTTGATAGTCTTGTTCTCGCAGCTGGGAGCCACTCGTTTTGCCACCCGTCAAGCCTTGTTTGACCCTCCTGATTTTCTATTTTTGAGTCGACTCAAAAATACACCCGTCAAGCCTTGTTTAACCCTCCTGATTTTCTCTCTATCCCCCTTCCGCACCCTCTCCTTGCCAGGCAGGGGACACCCTGCCGACAGAGCGGGTGTGGGAGGCCTTACTCCGGGCCTTCTCCTCGCAGCTACGAGCCACGTTCACCGCCTCCTCCTTCGTCAAAGAGACCTTCGTCTCCGCCTATCCCCGCCTCCTCGCCTCCCTAGAATCCTTCCTGGACCGCCTGCAGGCCGATACAGACGTGCGCGTGCTGGGGGGAGGGGGAGGCGGAGCTGGGGGAGGAGGAGCGGGAGGAGCGGGAGGAGGAGGGTTTGGGTTGGGAGCGGTTGGAGGCGGTGCTGTGGCTGGTTCGTGGGCCAACGGTGGCACTCCGGCGGTTATTTCTGTGGAGCATCGCGCGCAGATGATGGCTGCTTTGGAGCCGTTTCAGGCAGCCTATCTGGCCCTCTCGCTCTCTAGAATGACCGACCCGATCAACACCATGATGCCAGCCGCAGGGGGTGGGAGGGGAGGTGTGCCGGGGCCGGAAGGGGGGGTGAGGCTTATAAAGAGGATGGAGGAGGAGGTGGAGGCGGTGAAGGGGAATGGTCGGCTGCTGAGGCTCGTGCTGGCGAATGCTGGCAAGGCTCTGCAGCTGCTGGCAGAGCGGTGTGAATACCAGGTGTGTGTGGGATGGGTGTGGGCGCATGTGTGTGGGATGGGTGTGGGCGCATGTGTGTGGGATGGGTGTGGGCGCATGTGTGTGGTAATGCGTTGTTCTGGCGGATGCAGGCAACGCGCTGCATGTAGGTGCCTGTGTGTTCTACTGGTAGCAGTGCACTCACTACTTTTTCTCTTTATCCTTCTAACCTTTCCTTTTCCCCATTACACCTGTAAGAACTGAGCTTGGAATCGATGCATTAGTAATGAGCTTGAAGCTCCTTACGTACATCCGAGATGAGCAAGGTAATGGATGGGGAGGGAATCCGGGGCAATCCCTAGGGATTGGGGGTAATCCCAAGAAAATCTCCTTTTGGTGGGTTGGAGATTGCTTGGTGATTACATTTGGGTTTGGTTGGGATGTTGTACACCCAATCAAACACAAAGTGCAAGATACACTATGCTAGGATATAATAAGTACAAGTACAAAATGTGAGATTGAGGGTTAACACTACCCCTTTCTCCGTTTCTCCCTACGCCCTCCAGGTCGCTACCGGTCCTGAATCTCGTCAAGTCCTGGCTCCCTGCTCGCCAGCGCAGCAGCGCAACATCTCCCTGTGCGTGCTCCTAGGAGCGGTGCACACACGCTGCATGCAGCTGCTGGCCCGCCTGCCAGAGGAGGCAGACTCAGTGATGGAGGCGGGTGTGGGGTCCGTGCATGGCGTAGCTATGGACGCTGTCGCTCCCCTCTTCAAGGTGTGTGGGTTCATATGATGCGCCATACGCACACTTGGTTGCGTATTGTGCCTGCCAGAGGAGGCAGACTCAGTGATGGAGGGGGGTGTGGGGTCCGTGCACGGGGTGGCCATGGATGCTGTTGCTCCCCTCTTCAAGGTGCGCTCATATCATGCTTCAAGGTACACACAGAATCCCGATGTTCTGGCACCTGGTGGGGTGGGTGCTCCTAGGAGCGGTGCACACACGCTACATGCAGCTGCTCGCCCGCCTGCCAGAGGAGGCAGACTCCGTGATGGAGGCGGGTGTGGGGTCCGTGCATGGCGTAGCTATGGATGCCGTGGCTCCCCTCTTCAAGGTGTGTGGGTTCATCTCCTGCTGGGGTGCTCCTGCTGGGGTGCTCGTGGTGGGGTACTTCTGCTGTGTGTTCTGCTGGCTGGGGGCGGTGCACGCACACTGCGTGCACCTACTCGTTTTGAGACGTCTCAAAACTACTCGCCCGCCTTCCAGAGGAGGCAGACTCCGTGATGGAGGCGGGTGTGGGGTCCGTGCACGGGGTGGCCATGGATGCTGTGGCTCCGCTCTTCAAGGTGTGTGGGTCCATATGATGCTTCATACACAGCACATCAACTTCCATGGGCCATCAGACTCGTTTGACTTTTGAGTCGACTCAAAAGTAAACTTTTGAAGGTGTGTGGGTCCAAATGATGCTTCATACACAGCACATGATCTTCCATGGGCCATCAGACTCAGTGATGGAGGCGGGTGTGGGGTCCGTGCTGGGCGTGGCTATGCATGCTGTGGCTCTGCTGTTGAAACTTGAAGTCGAGTTTTGAGTGGCATGCTGCCACAGCACTCAAAACTCGACTATGCATGCTCTGGCTCCGCTGTTGAAACTTGAAGGTGTGCTCATCTCATGTTTCAAGGTGCGCACACCTGGTTTGCACGTGCCGTACATCTTGCATCTTGGACCGTGATTCTGCATTCTTTGCCGCTGGTGCCTTGTAGCCTGCATCACGCCCCTCCTTCCTCCTCCACCGCCTCGCTTCTGCTCCCGTTCTTCTCTCCATGCCCTTCCCTTTTTGTCAGGCCATGCGGGATCGCATCGAGGCCTGCCTCCTCCAAATCCACCAGCAGGACTTCTCCTCAGACGACCCCAACGCCCCTCCCTCTTTTGCCCGCCCCGTTCCCCTGCCCAATTTGTTTCTTCCTCCACACACACCTGCGCTCTCCCTCTCCCCAGGCCATGCGCGATCGCATTGAAGCCTGTCTGCTGCAAATTCACCAGCACGACTTCTCCTTAGACGACCCCCAACACCCCTTTCTTACTTACAACATCCCCACCCTTCCCTCCCTGTTCCCAGGTCATGCGGGATCGCATCGAGGCATGCCTCCTGCAAATCCACCAGCAGGACTTCTCCTCAGACGACCCCAACACCCCTTCCTCCTCCACTTCCCCCTTTCTCTTCTCCGTGCCCTCCCCGTTCCCAGGGCATGCGCGACCGCATCGAAGCCTGTCTCCTGCAAATCCACCAGCAGCTCTTCAGACGACCCCAACGCTCCTCCCTCCTCTCACCCTCCTCTTCCTGTTTCTTTCTCCATGCCCTCCCCCGTCCCCAGGCCATGCGGGATCGCATCGAGGCATGCCTTCTTCAAATCCACCAGCAGGACTTCTCTTCAGACGACCCCAACGCCCCTCCCGCCTCCACCACCCCGCCACCCCCCGGCTCCGCCTCAAGAAACCGTACCAGTAGCTGGGGAACCAGACCACCCCAGAAGCACAACTACCAGCAGCAGCAGCACGAGTCAGCGGGGGACAACTGCTCGCCATACATGGAGAACACCATTCGAGCCATCACCCACTTTCACAATGAGTTTCTCTCCAAGCTTCTTCTCCCTGACTCCTCCTCTACCTCCTCCTCCGCAGCAGCGCCGGCCTCGTCTATATTCGCTGCATCTCTGTCCGGTGCTGCAGGATCAGGCCCTCTGTCTCCTTCCACGGCCCTGCCCCCTGCGACTGTCTCAGAGCCTGTTGCCCAGTCTCTCGCAAAGCGGTAAGCTCCAACTTTTGAGTCGACTCAAAAGTCACCTCTCGCAAAGCGGTAAGCTCCTTTCTGGAGACGTCTCTGTCTATTCCATATTCGCCGCACCTCTATCAGTGCCGTGGGTTTAGGCCCTCTCTCCCCCCCTCTGTTCCTGCTCCCTGCGACTGTTTCAGACACTGTTGCTCACCTTGCAAAACGGTGGGCTCTTGTGTGTGCTTCTCTGTTTCACCTCTGAGAAATCTCCAAACTCCCCCTCTACAGCCCTGCCCCCTGCGACTGTTTTAGAGCCCGTTGTGCATTCCCTGACATGACAAATCGATGGCTCTCGTGTGTGCTTCTTTGACATCTCAGAACCTGATCACTTCTGAGAATCCTTTCAGAAATTCTCCCTTCATTGCCCTGTCCCCTGCCTCTCTCCCCCTCCCCCTCCCCTTCCTCTCCCTCTCCCCCTCCCCCTCCCACGCACTCAGCCTGGCATCCCGCACAGTTCTATTTTTCGTCCGCCACGCCGCGCTGGTGCGGTCGCTATCAGAGGCGGGGCGGTTGAGGCTGGCGAGGAACAGCACGCTCCTCCTCTTTTTCCCTCTTCCCTTAATACGATATCCACTTTCTCCGCGCCCTTTTCCCCTCCCCTTCCCACTCCCCCTCCCCCTGCCCTCTCCCTATTCTCTCCTCCCCCCTCAGCCTGGCATCCTGCACGCTGCTCTTCTTCGTGCGCCACGCATCACTAGTACGACCGCTATCAGAGATGGGGCGGCTGAGGCTGGCGAGGGACATGGGCGAGCTGGAGTTCGCAGTGGGGCAGCACCTCTTCCCCACGCACGCCCCCTCCTCTTCTCCCTTCCCTCTTCCCCACGCCTCTCTCACGCACTCCTGGCTTGCACACCTTTGCAATGGCCTCTTTCTCCCCCTCCCCCTCCCACCACCATTCCCTTCCTCCCTGTCAGCCTGGCATCCCGCACGCTTCTCTTCTTCGTGCGCCACGCATCACCGCTATCAGAGGTGGGGCGGTTGAGGCTGGCGAGGGACATGGGCGAGCTGGAATTCGCAGTGGGGCAGCATCACCTCGCGCCCATGCACGCCCTCTGCTCTTCTCCCCATTCCCATTTCCCTCTTCCCTCTTCTCCACACACGCCCCCTCCGCTTCCCCTCTCCCAGCCTGGCATCCCGGACACTTGTATTTTTCGTGCGCCACGCCTCGTTAGTACGACCGCTATCAGAGGCGGGGCGGCTGAGGCTGGCGAGGGACATGGGCGAGCTGGAGTTCGCAGTGGGGCAGCACCTCTTCCCCACACACGCCCTCGGTGCCTCCTACCGTGCTCTCCGTGCCTTCCGCCCTCTGCTCTTCGTTGACCTAGAGAAGATCCCCACCAGCTCGCTACTGCAGGTCAGTCAGTCTGGTAATTGTAATGAGAGTCTCTGCATTAGTATAGAGGTCGCATCCCAGTGGGGCAGCATCTCTTCCCCACACACGCCCTCAGGGCCTCCTACCGCGCCCTCCGCGCCTTCTGCCCGCTGCTTTTCGTGGACCTGGAGAAGATCGCAACCAGCTCATTGCTGCAGGTGCGTCCATTGGTTGTAACAAAGGTGGTTACCAATGTGCCAGTGCTGGTCTACTCGCATTAAGGAGTTCGCATCACAGTCGGGCGAGGGACATGGGCGAGCTGGAGTTTGCAGTGGTCCAGCGTCTATTCTAGTTTTGAGTCGACTCAAAACTAGGCTCATCACACACGGATTTTGAGTCGACTCAAAACTAGAGTTTGCAGTGGGCCAGCGTCTATTCCCTACACATAATAGGGGCCTCCTATCGCACCCTCCGTGCCTTCTGCCGTCTGCTCTTCGTAGACCTCGAGAAGATCCCAACCAGCTCACTGCTGCAGGTGCATCCACTGGTTGTAACATATGTTAAATTTCCCGCTTATTAATTTCAAACGGTCGTCCGAAGTTTGATGGATTGACAGAAACCCGAATTGATTTAAGTCCGTACGCGGTCTATGGCAAAGCCTGTTGTGCCACTAATACATGTTACCTTTGCACCCACACACACCCTCGTGCCCTCTGCACCTTCACGCCCCTTCTGTTCCTGGACCTTTTAAATATCTCAACCAGCCTTCTCTGTCCTCTCACTCCTGCTCTGCAATAAAGGGGTTCTTTTGAAACCTCTCAAAACTGTTCACTCACTCTCGCTCTCCCCACTTGCTCTCATGTCTCCCCTCGCCCATTCTACCCAGGTCCTCCCTCCAAGCGTTGTCCTGCACCACCTCTTCTTCCGCGCGCCCCCGAGATGCTCTCCCCATTCACCTGCTCGTTGCCTCACTCTAATTTTCCCCCTTCTCCCCCCGGACCCCCCTACTCACCCCCCAGGACCTCCCCCCAAGCGTTGTCCTGCACCACCTCTTCTCCCGCGCGCCCCCCGAGCTGCTCTCCCCGTTCACACGCATTCAGCAGCCCCCAGCGCGCTACTCCCTCTGGCTGGACCAGCACTCGCAGCAGCAGGCGTGGCAGGGCATCAAGGCGTCATTAGATGATTACGTGGGGAGTGTGAAGGCGAGGGGTGGGAAGGAGTTTCACCCGGTTTATGCTGTGATGCTGCAGCTGGGACAGACGCTGTTGGTGGGAGGCAACGAGGGCAAGTAGTGCTCCCTCTGGCTTTTTTCGCGGCCCCTCAAAATAGCACTCACTCTTGCTGGACCAGCACTCGCAGCAGCAGGCATGGCAGGGCATCAAGGCGTCATCAGTAGACGATTATGTGGGGAGTGTGAAGGTGAGGGGTGGGAAGGAGTTTCACCCGGTGTATTTGGTGATGCTACAGCTGGGGCAGTCGCTGCTTCTTGGGCCAGGCAATGAGGGCAAGTAGCGCTCGCTGTGGCTGGACCAGCACTCGCAGCAGCAGGCATTTCAGGGCATCAAGGCGTCATCAGTAGACGATTATGCAGGGAGTGTGAAGGCGAGGGGTGGGAAGGAGATTCACCCGGTGTATTTGGTGATGCTGTAGCTGGGGCAGGCTCTGCTAGCAGGAGGCAACGAGGGCAAGTAGTTTCATTAGTGGCATTAGTGCCATCTTCTGTTAGGTTTGGAATGTCCCAGAACTGGCGGTATATATTCATCTAAACAGAGTTCAAGTTTGGTAGGTGCTGATGGCACAGTGGTAGGGGCAGTATATATTCATCTAAACATATTATATTACAACAAAGTGCACAACCTCTCTCTAGATTTGCCTCTAGATTTAGATTACAACACTTGCGAACCAACAAACCCTCCCGCCATGTCTCTCAAGCATCTCAACCATGTGAAACAGAAGACGTCATGAGGCTTCTGTCTCAACACAACATCGCAGCAACCAGCCCACGTCCTCACTTTGCCTTGTCGAAGGAGAGCAGCACGCGGAAGCCCGACCACGGCTGATCCCAGATCTCCGCCACGTAATCAGTCAGCGGTGCGACTGCGCGGCGCCCCATGGAGTTGCTCGGTGAGGCCTGCGTGACTCGCAGAATGATTTGCCATTTGTCGCCGTCCACCACCTTGTGCGACGCCGCCTTGACAGAGCGGAAGTTGAGGCTTGATTTCTGGTAGGGTGGAGTGGGGGGAAGGGAATGGGATGTTTCCGTTGTGCCACACTACTATTGTTGGTGCAACCCTACGGTTTGCACTCGGCTTGTTGTCCGTGTGCGTGAATGTGTGTGTGTATGGAATGGTATGAGGGCATGAGATAATATATATTTCATGCTTATAATTGTGTGTGAATGTTGAGTCATGATGTCGAGTGTGTGTGTCGAGTCAATAGCGAGTTATCGCTAGACGCGTGTTACGCGGTCGTTTGTGTCTCGCGCGCGGTTTCTATTTTGTCGTGCGCGGTTTCTATTTTGTCCTGTGTCGAACGTTCGGCGTGTCGCAGGTGTGTGCAGCAGACCCATCAAGAACTCAAGGATGAGTTTGTGATGAAGAGCCCGAGCCTTGGTGTCAAGCCTCAAGTGATTTCGAAGCTTGCCAAAAGGGTACACCTCAAGATATTGAAGATAGTTACATTACTTTGTGTAGTGTAACATTTCACTTGGTGTAGGCCCTAGTGAAGGGTAGTTTCGAGACCCTTCGTGGTTGGGGACAGTGTGGCACTGTTCCACATCACTGTACCTCGGCTCTTGGGGTTTGTAGGAGCTGGGAGTCATTCCCAACTCGTAACTCTTCCTATCTTGTGTTCTAAGACTATAGTGGCTGCCATAGTACCGTTCGTTCAAACCGACGCTGTGTCGTCAATTCTTTATCAAATCGTGCAATCTAAATTGCTAATTGTAGACGACGTGAAGACGCTCCAGATCCAATTTGAATCAAGTCATTTGCAGCTGTGAGCAGAACGCTATCAACGTTTGAAGCCGCTGTGCAGAAATCCGTCTGTGCTCTCTATCTTTCGTTTTAGGCACATTCAAGCCTATTGTGACTATAACAAGTGGTATCAGAGCCCCTTGGAGCAGTTTCGACAATGTCTGGACCTGAGGAAAGGGGTGGCAGAGGTGCTGGTGGCAGTGGAGAAGCTCAAGCTCAAGGCCAACCCCGTGATTCAGCCATGGCGCCCATGCAACCAAGTCTTGGCCCACCTAGGGATGAGCCTAGGGTGTTTGGGCTTGACAAGTTCAACGGTGACAACTTTGCTGAATGGTCCTTCAAGATGGAGAACATCTTTGACCACTATGACCTGCTGGAGGTGATGGAAGGAACGGAGAAGCGCCCCGAGAACGACCCGGAGAAGAGCCCGTGGGTGCGGAAGAGCGCACAAGGCTATCTCTTACTTGGGCAAGCGTTGGGGAGCAGTCAGATCCGTCACATCAAGCCATTCCAGCGTGAACCAGAGAAAGGACCAAAGGCATGGGCTGCTCTCAAGGGTGTATATGCTCCTGCAACAGCGGCGGTAGCGGTGGTGTTGGAACGGCAAATGGCGGCACTACGAATTGAAGAAGACGAAGCGGTTGAAGAAGGGGTGCAGAAATTCTTCGACTTGTTGACGCGGCTTGAGGGAGCTGATTTGAACTACAGTGAGCTCCAAAAGAAGACCAAGTTGCTGGCCTTACTCCCAGAGTCATGGTCCTCGCTCATCATCAACCTTAATCGCGACTTGCCCCGCCTCTCGCTTGAAGACGTGAAGCGAGCTATCCTTCAAGAGGATTTCCGCCGCCGTGAGTTGGCGAGTGCGGATGGCGCTGGGGCAGCGAGCATCGGCCGTGGATATGGTCGAGGAAGAGGCAGAGGACGAGGGGGAGGAAGGTTTGGTGGCAGCAACTTCGGCGGAGGCCGCAGGAGTGGCGGTTACGGCAGCGACGACAAGAGCTACGGACGCGGTCGCGGCCGATTCGACGGCGAGTGTCACTATTGCCACAAGAGCGGACACATGTGGCGCGACTGCTACAAACTCCCTGATGGTTGGACCCCTGCTCAAGGCCAAGAGGGTAGAGGAGCAGGAGGAGGGAGACGACGAGGCCGTGGAGGCCGTGGCGGTCGCGGTGGCAGAGCTGCAAACATGAAGAGCGGAGACAACGACAAGGACCCGAGCGACGATCGATACCCGGGTCTATTCTACTTCGTGTCGACGCAAGTACCGGCTGGTCCAGAGAAGGATGAAGGCTTTGATGAGCCAGCAGCTGTGGGGAAGGTGACCCTACACCCCCTGGACTATTGGGTGATTGATAGTGGCGCTACCTATAGCATGACACCTCGCCCGGACTTGCTCACCGAACTCGAGCCGTCACCGGTGAAGCATGTCACATCGGCTTTGGGGCAGCGAGCAGAGGTGAAAGGCATGGGCAAGGCCATGTTCAAGGGTGCTGATGGGAAGATGGTGGGCCTCAAGAACGTGCTTTGGGTGCCCAGCCTTGCTGCAAACCTGATTTCCGTGCGGCGGTTGGCAAAGGCCGGCATGGACACGAACTCGAAGGGAGCCAAGACCTACACCGCAAGGCTTGGCGATCGAATTCTTTGGGACCTTCATGAGGACAGGGATGTCTACAACGAGATGTGGCAGATCCCAGTGGTCCCTATGCCTAAGGAGAGGCAAGTGGCAGCAAGCATCAGCACCAAGGATGGAGCGGTCGGTAGCGACGATGGCGCGAACGGTCGCGCTAAGGAGAACGAGCTCAAGAAGAGCAAACCTGGAGGGACCAGCAAGTTTAGTGAACCTAAGGAGAGTGGTGCAGCAACCAAGGAGCAGCAAAAGGGTGAGGAGAACCCAGAGGCAGCAGCGGAGGAGGACTACGGAGAGAGTATGTGGGGCGCTATTGCGAGCGCGGCATTCTCCAATCCAACTTCGGCTACGGGGGAGTGTGATTGGCTCACCTTGCATCGGCGCATGGGGCATGTGGCCCTGCCCATCTTGCAGCAGCTAGTGAAGAATGAGATGGTTGCTGGCATACGTGTGAAGGGGGAGCCCGATGAGGTGCTTGACTGCCCGACGTGCATTCAAGCCAAGTTCACCCGGTTTCCGTTCCCTAGTTCGGAGGCAAAGGCAAAGGCACCGCTTGATGAGGTGGTGATGGACGTGGTGGGCCCCCTGAAGCTTGGAGCTGCTGGAGCTGAGTATTTTCTCACCATTGTCGACGTCTACACCCGCATGACTTGGGTGTACGTGCTGGCCAAGAAGAGCGACGTGGCTGAAACGTTGAAGACGGATTGGTTCTTGATGGTGGAGCGGCAACAAGACCGTCTAGTCAAGTCAATCCGCACCGATCGAGGGGGAGAGTTCCTGAGCAAGGAGTTTGGGTTGTGGCTGAAGAAGAATGGTATTCGGCACTCCCTCACCATGCCATACTCCCCTGCAATGAATGGCATCGCCGAGCGAGCGAACCGCACAATCACGGAGGCGGCACGCGGGTTGCTCATTGAAGCCGGGCTACCCGACTATTTCTGGCCTGATGCGGTGCGGAGCGCGTGTGTGGCCAAGAACAGAGCCTTGACTCATGTGGGAGCAGACAAATGGGTGCCCTATGTGGAGTGGCTAGGAAGGAAGCCAAAGGTGGATATGCTTCGGGTGTTCGGGTGCATGTGCATGGCGCTCGTGCCTAAGCATCTTCGGCACAACAAGCTTGGTGCCAAGGCGGTGTGGGCCGTGCACTTGGGCATGGCTCAAAACAGCAAGGGATGGCTTCTTTGGGACCCATTCACCAAGAAGTTCTTGGTGAGCAGGGACTGCAAGTTCATGGAGAACTTCATGTACAAGGATTGGAAGGCGGAGAATGAGGCGAAGATAGGCGTGCGGTTTGGGGAGGTGAAGAGTTCCGGTTTGGAGCATGTGGAGCTGCCTTTGGAGCTGAGCAGCGGCAGCACAACCACAAGGCAATCCTCCCTTGTGAATGGGGGAGAGGAGGCCAATGATGCAGAGGAAGAAGAGGAGGAGGTGCAGCAAGTGAGCGAGCGTGCACCGTCACTCCCTTCCCGTACTACGAGTGCTCCACGGATTCGAGCCACACCGCAGCAACGCCAAGGCCTTCAAGTCCCTGCAGCTGAGGAGGAAGGAAGGGGGAAGAGGAGAGTTCAACCCCCTAATAGGCTGACCTATGATGCGCCGGGAAAGCAGGGCAAGACAGCCCTGGCCGGAGCAGCAATGATGGTCGGAGACGACGAGGAGAGTGACTACGAGGAGTGTGCCTTCGCGTTCTTCTCTCCGGTGGAGATGCCGGGAGAACCAGCAACTCTCAAGGAGGCTTTGGAGAGTAGTGATGCTGAGGAGTGGAAGAAGGCCATGGAGAGTGAGCTGAAGAGCATCGAGGAGAATGACACGTTTGAATTGGTGGAGCTACCGGAGGGGCATACGGCGATAACGTCCAAGTGGCTCTTCAAAATCAAGTCGGATGCCGACGGCAAGATCGAGCGCTACAAGTCTAGGCTTGTAGCCAAGGGGTACCAGTAGAAGGAGAAGGTGGACTTCAAGGAGCTGTTTGCCCCTGTGGTGAAGCCGACGACGCTGCGAACCCTATTCGCGGGATCCGCCATCAAAGGATGGGTAGTAAAGCAAATGGACATCGTAACGGCATTCCTTAACGGCATCCTTGAGGAGGAGATTTTTATGGCGCAGCCAGAGGGGTTTGATGATGGTAGTGGCAGAGTGTGGAAGCTGAAGAAGGCCCTCTATGGGCTGAAGCAGGCCCCTAGGCAATGGTACATGAAGCTGCGCGAAGTGTTGGAGGGGATCGGCTTCACTCCCTCAACGGCCGATCACTCCTTGTTCATGCTTGGCGAGGGGGAGCAGAGGAGTTTCATGGTGGTTTATGTTGATGACATCCTCATTTTCTCACCCTCTTCTGACCTTGTGAAGGAGGTGATGCTGAAGCTTCAAGACAAGTTCAAGTGCAAGGCCCTTGGTGACGTGAGCTTCTACCTTGGGCTCCACATCGAACAAGATGTGGAGAAGCGGTGCATGCGGGTGCATCAACGAAAGTACCTGGAGGCATTGGCTACCAACTTTGGGCAGAGTGAAGGCCATGTGGCTACACCCTTTCCCTCTGGGTTCAAGTGTGTGAAGGGACCAGAGGAGGAGAGCGTTGGTGAAGAGGAGAGGCGCCGATTTCACTCGTTGGTGGGCAGCCTCATGTATGCGGCGGTAAACACCCGACCGGACGTCGCGTTTGCTACCGGACAGCTGGCTAGGGTTGTGCAATGCCCTAATGAGGAGCAGGTAGCAGCTGGAATGAGGGTGGCCAAGTATCTTGGCCAAACACCGACCGTTGGGCTGCAATACTCGGCGGCGGCACAAAGGCGCCAAAAGGGCGCGGATGGTGTTGAACCCGGGCGTTTGTTCCTCACCGCCTACTCGGATGCTTCATATGCATCAGAACCAGAGGACATGACAAGTGTGGGAGGCTTCATATGCTGTGTTGGTGGAGGCCCAACTGCTTGGGAGAGCAAGAAGCAGGTTGACCAAGCTTTGAGCTCGGTGGAGTCCGAGTACATGGCACTCTTCCGTGCCGTACGGGAGATTGTGTGGCAGCGGCGTTTGTTGGCTGAATTGGGGGAGGAGCAGCAAGGGCCTACCCCACTGTACTGTGACAGCCAGGGTGCCATTGCTCTTGCTAAGAACCCTGTGTTGCATGGACTCACGAAGCACATGAGGGTGAAGTGGCATTGGACGAGGAGCATGGTAACCGCGGGTGAAGTTGAGTTGCGCTACGTGAAGACCACGGGGCAGCCGGCTGACATGATGACCAAGAGGCTGGTGGAGCAGCAGCATTGGAAGTGTTGCAAGCTGGCTGGGATGGCTCTGAACTCAGAGAGCAACATATCCTAAGGCCAACAATCCGAGGGGGAGTTTGTTGGTGCAACCCTACGGTTTGCACTCGGCTTGTTGTCCGTGTGCGTGAATGTGTGTGTGTATGGAATGGTATGAGGGCATGGGATAATATATATTTCATGCTTATAATTGTGTGTGAATGTTGAGTCATGATGTCGAGTGTGTGTGTCGAGTCAATAGCGAGTTATCGCTAGACGCGTGTTACGCGGTCGTTTGTGTCTCGCGCGCGGTTTCTATTTTGTCGTGCGCGGTTTCTATTTTGTCCTGTGTCGAACGTTCGGCGTGTCGCAGATGTGTGCAGCAGACCCATCAAGAACTCAAGGATGAGTTTGTGATGAAGAGCCCGAGCCTTGGTGTCAAGCCTCAAGTGATTTCGAAGCTCGCCAAAAAGGGTACACCTCAAGATATTGAAGATAGTTACATTACTTTGTGTAGTGTAACATTTCACTTGGTGTAGGCCCTAGTGGAGGGTAGTTTCGAGACCCTTCGTGGTTGGGGACAGTGTGGCACTGTTCCACATCACTGTACCTCGGCTCCAACTCGTAACTCTTCCTATCTTGTGTTCTAAGACTATAGTGGCTGCCATAGTACCGTTCGTTCAAACCGACGCTGTGTCGTCAATTCTTTATCAAATCGTGCAATCTAAATTGCTAATTGTAGACGACGTGAAGACGCTCCAGATCCAATTTGAATCAAGTCATTTGCAGCTGTGAGCAGAACGCTATCAACGTTTGAAGCCGCTGTGCAGAAATCCGTCTGTGCTCTCTATCTTTCGTTTTAGGCACATTCAAGCCTATTGTGACTATAACAACTATTCCAGGGAAGGTACGTCTTCCTTGTCATGATTTGATTTCGAGATAAGCACTGATGGCGGAAAAGCAAGAATGACGAGAAAGAACACATGGCGGGAAAGCAATGACCACGAAAACAATGATGGCGCGAAAGCAATAATAGCGAGAAACGTTGTTCGTGCTACCTGTTTCTTGTTCTGCTCGTCCACGGCGAATCTGGCCAAAGCCTCCACGTCCTTACTCGTAGCCGCGTGTGTTTTGGGTCGAGTTGGAAGCCATGATGTCGAGAAAGCAACTTGCCTCTTCTACGTACCTGCTTCTTGTTCTGCGCGTCGACGGCGAATCTGGCCAAAGCCTCTACGTCCTTATTCGTCGCCGCGTCTTTCACGGCGGTCCAGGGGCCAGGAAGGCCAGATGCCGCGGCACACGGAAACGAGGAGAGGAGCGAAACGACGACGACGACGACGACGACCGCGGTAACGGCAAGCACGGCGTGCTTAGGGTTCAGGCCGTGACTGGCAATGCGCTGAACCATGATTGGTTAATCAGGGATTCCCTGATATCGGATACCGGGAAAGAAAGAATGATAGTAGGATCGATAAGATAAGGGTCAGGAGGATATCAAGCGGATCACTATCGTACCTTAAGGGTTCTCCCTCCTTGGCCGGGAGCTCTTGCTAATTATACCGCATAAGATCCGCCAGCTAGTCGTGAACGTGACTGATTCTTGCTGATGGTGAACGGATTTATTGGTTGAATCACGGCTGCTCTATGGGACAGCAATAAGTGCTGGCTCGCTGGTGTCATAATTCGTATTCGACCAATGAACGAGCGACACGACGACTGCTTGCGGGTGCGTGCAAATAGCTGTTGGCTAGTAGCTAGCGCCATGCATTATTTACGAAACAAGTTCGCTTTGCAAACGCGCAAGATGGCAGCTGATAGGCTACCTCGTGTTGTGCTGGCTCGGCAAACGCCATACACGGCGGGTCCTGCGCAATCGTTTTCAGTTCATAAGTCGTGGCGCAAGACGATTCCAGACGGTGCAGAACGGTTATCTAGCTTCACCGTTTCGCACCGTGACACAACAAGAGTAACCGCACAGAACGTAGTCAACCAAGTTCGAATGTGAACGCCAGTGAACGCGCAAGATGGCAGCTGATAGGCTACTCCGTGAAAGTGCAAGCTCGGCAACACCAAAGCTCGCCTGCCCAAACGGGTAGGGGGGGGCGGCGGTTGCGGAGCGGAGGAATTGTGATCTTGTCCGACCTCCTTCGAATACTGTAATGTGACTCGGCAGGCAATTCAATTCGGTTATTGGTTCGACTCAAAAATCACAAGACCATTAAATTAGCGCGGAAGTGTACAGCGAACAATGTACACCGAACAAGATACTTGACTGGTTTTCCATTACAGCTTTAGTTACAGGCATATTGTTTCAATTTTCACTTAAGCAACAACCTCTCGCCACCTTAGCCTTGGGAATCAAGAAAGCCGGAACATGTTCTCTTTCATATATTTCAATACCAGCAACAGTGGTATAGGACTAAGCAGAGGCGCCACAGTTCACATCACACTACAGTGCCAAACATCCAGCCCACAACAGCCTACCAACAGCTAAACACCTGCTAAACTCTGTAAGTTTGCTTGAACTTTCTACAATCGCCCTTGTCTCGCTTCTACCCTGTCTCCTTGCCAAGGAGAGCACCTCGTCAAAGTTCGCTGTATTTTGAAATGCCTCTAAAGTCGGCAGTCAGTTCAAGCCGCTGGTCATTTCTTCTTGGCAAAAGAGACCAGCTTGAGAGAATCCGCCAACGCCGGCTGCTGCACCGCCAACGGCTGCCCACCACCCACCGGCTGCACCACACCCGACGTCTGTCCATCTCCCACCGGCTGCGCTACCCCTGCCGGCTGACCATTGCCCACTGCTGGCTGCGCCACGCCTGACGTCTGCCCATCGCCCACCACCGGCAGTTTTACAACCGGCTGTACCGCCAGGTGTGCTACCCCCGTAGGCTGCTTTACCGCTGCCGTAGGTTTCTCGAAAACCTCAGTCACGTAGGTGGTCAGGGGTGGGTTGATGCGGATGTGCGCGGTGTTCGGTGCTGGGGCGACGGCTTGCAGAGTGATGCTCCATTTGGTGCCGGCGACCAGCTGGCTCTTCGCACTCAGAACCGAGATGAACCTGAGACGCGTGTTCTGGTGTGATGGGTTGGGGCGGGGTGGAGTGGGGTGGGGTGGGGTGGGGTGGGGAAGGAAAAAAAGAGGCTTGTGATGCTCCACTTGGTGCCGGCAACCACCTGGCTCTTGGCACTCTCGACCGAAATCAACCTGAGGCACGTGTTCTGGGGGAGTGGGGTGGGGTGGGGTAGGGTGGGGCGGGGCGGGGCGGGGTGGGATGGGGTGGGTAAGGAATGAAAGCACTTGAGCCTTGTCACAGGGCATCGTGACAAGGCGATTGCAGCCTTCAGAAGGACGAACCTGGGGTTGGTGTTCTGGCGGGGTGAAGTGCGGTGGGGGGTTGGGAAGGGGAGGGGAGCGAGGAGGGGAGGGGAAGGAAGTACTAAAGGGCTTACATGCCGGTAAGTGAGGGTTCGTTAGAAGCAGCCATGCCGTGATACTGTATCACAAGGGGAGTGGAACCTGAGGGTCGAGTTCTGAATCCTGATGCTGTGGGGTGGGCGGTGAGGAAGGGAAAGAGGGTACTTGAGCCTTGTGGTCGGCCATTGGCGTTGTAACACAGCGAGGCGAGATTTGACCGACAGGATCTTCGGCTCGGGATCTGGCGAGGTGGGGTGGGGTGGGGTGGGGCGGGAAAGTATTAGGGTACTTGAGGCTTGTGACCGGCCATTGGCGTTCTAACAAGGCGAGACTTGACCGTGAGGATATTCGGCTCAGGAACCTGCGGGGTGGGATATTAGGCACCTCAACAGACAGTGGTTACTGAAGGCTCTGGTATTGAGACGTCTCCAACACATATGGTTTATTAGGAACTTTCTCTATAATCCAACGACTAGGGTTTCGGGTTTATCCATAATCCAACGTCTTTCCTGTTGTGTGCGTGGACGGCGTAGTTTGCCAACTCAGTCCTCATTCATCGCCAAGTCTTTCAGGTGTTTCTTAGGCCGTTAAAAAAAAATGTTTTCTCAGTCAAATGCATGAAAGCAATAACGGCGAAAAACGCTTTTCTAAGTACCTGTTTTTTGTTGTACGCGTCGACGGCGAAGTTGGCCAAGTCCGCCACGTGCTGATCCGATGCCGCGTCTTTCACGGTAGACCAGCCGCCAGCACGCGGAGTTGCCGCCGCAGCAGACGGAATCGCGGCGAGGAGAGAAACGACGACGATAGCGACTGCTGCCACGGCAAGCACGGCGAGATTAACATGACTGTCGATGCGCCGACCCATGATTGGTTGTTCGTGATATCGGGCGAGTATGATAAAAGGAAAGACGGGTTTATTTGAGACAGGAGGCTATTGGAGAAGCAAATCACTCCTGTATGCAATTACGGATTGCTGTTCCTAACGGTTCACTCTCTGCCAGTTTATACTGCTCCATGAAATATGCCAGCTAGTGCCAAACTGCTTGACTGTGAATGGCATTATTGCTCGGGTCACGGCTGCTATACGGGAGAGCGGAAAGTGCGGGGTTGCCAGCGCCATCTTTCCGGTTTGCATAGGGAACGCGCGGAACGACGACCGATTAGCTGATGCATGCAAGTACCCGCTCGTCAGCGCCATGAAAAAAGTGTAGAATAGGAGCTTGCAAACGCGCAAAACGGCAACTGATTGGCTGCTACACGCAAATGGTGGCTCGCCAGCGCCAGAACTCGAAATGTTCTTCCGACTGGGAAGTGAACGCGCAAAATGGTATATGATAGGCTAGTGCGTGTGCCATTAGTCAGTGGTTTTTGCTGAGAACCCGCAAAACGCGGCTGCTGCTGAAGGGGGGATAACTTATTGGAGCTGATTCGAGTGAGGGCGTATTCTGGAGGAGTCTACGACTCTGGTATCGTACTTGACACGAAGTCGGACCAACCAAAGAGGCGGATCCACAATTTTCTGACAGGCACATCGAGAGTTCTTGACCCGAAGAGAGGCTAGCTCGACGTTCCACGCTCGACATAAAAAACGCCCTAATCTGATGTGGTTGACAATAATTCGTTCTTATTTGATCCCCCTTACAGTGAACGCACAATTCTGGGCTGCTTCTGAGAGATAGCATTCTGAGCTCCTTAGAGTAAATCAAAATTTCGTGAAGATTGACTGCTAATGTTGTCTCTGAGTGTACATCTTGAGAATTTAGAGTAATGATGAGGTTGGAAACATATTTTTATTGAATTATAGTGATTTGCACTTGCCCATATCTACATCCTAGCTTTACTCTGAATTGGCAATAGCGAGTATAAAATCCTCACGATTTTTTCACGACTGACTGAAGGCTTTCTCGAGTGTTGGCTTTAGCACAAAGGCAGGAAGGGGAAGTAGGCACTCCGCAGGAACAGACCGCTTCTATAACTAGCCGCTTTTGACGGCGGAGAGTGGTTTGGTGCGGCACGAGAGGGAGAGACTGCGAGAATCGAACAACGGAGCATTTGAATAATCATCGGCGCGCAATCGTGCGTAACCGACGCGGTAGGCTTGGCGGTCCACGGATCGGCTTGGTGTGATAAGAGGCTTGACTTTTTACACTCGACTAGAAGAAAACACGACGAAGGAAGAAAAGCCTACAGCGGCTCAAGAGGCAACGCGGGGAGAGATCTCGCTTCGCTCGCCCTTGAAAGGCGACGAGGGAGAGAAGAAGGAAGGAGCCATGGCGCAGATGGTTCCGCTTGATAACTCCCTCATAGATCTCGCCTCCCTCAGGTACGGCCTCCCTCAAGTACCGCCTCCCCCAGGTAATGCCTCCCAGAAGGTAGTGCCTCCTTCAGGTAATGCCACCCTCAGGTAATGCCTCCCTCAGGTACTGCCTTCCTCAGGTGTTGCCTCCCTCAGGTGCTGCCGCCCTCAGGTGCTGCCTCCTTCAGGTAATGCCTCCCTCAGGTACTGCCTCGAACTACCTCCCCCTCATGTACTCCGCTAGAAACTGCCTCAGCTTGAGCTACTACTTGGCACCCTCCCAGGTAAGGTCTCCCTACAGGTGCTATCCTCTCCTCCCCCCACTCTCCCTCAAGCTATTGTCCTCTCCTCCCCCCACTCTCCCTCAAGCTATTGTCCTCTCCTCCCCCCACTCTCCCTCAAGCTATTGTCCTCTCCTCCCCCCACTCTCCCTCAAGCTATTGTCCTCTCCTGCCCACCACCCCACCCCCCTCTCCACCGCTCCCCCCTCTCTCTCCTTCAAGCTATTATCCTTCTGCAAACCCCCCCTCCCATGCCCTTCCCTCTTTTTCCCTCCTATACCCCTCCCGCTATGTTTCTGTGTGACCTGACCCCCCTCCCCCACCATCCTCCACACCCTCCTCCACCCTCCCCCTCCCTCCCCCCCCCTCCTCCCCCTCCCCCTCCCCCCCTCCCTGTGTGCCTCCTGCGAGCAGAGCACACGCCAGTCAACGCCTCGTTGACGCCCTTGACTCTGTGAGTTGACCTGCGTTGACTGGTCTCACTCGTTGCTGCTCATCACCCTTACCAGTTCCAGCCGTCCCATTTTTTATGAGTAGCTTTCCCAACCCCCTCTTTCAGTTTTGTCCTACACCTTTCATCTACGCTGACTAATATCCATCCCACCCTCCCACCCACCCTCCCATCACCCCATCACCCCATCATCGCACACTTTCAGTTTTGCCGTGCACCTATCATCTACCCTCAGCACCCAACCTACTACACTGTCCAATTTCCATCCCAACCTCTCATCACCCCATCACCCCATCATCCCATCACCCCATCACCCCATCACCCCATCACCCCATCATCCCATCACCCCATCACCCCATCACCCCATCACCCCATCATCCCATTATCCCGCCATCTCCCATCCTATCGCATCCCATCCCATCCCACCGCATTCCACCAGGTACCGGGCGGCAAGGCTCTGGTGCTGGATGCATCAATCAGCGGCCCGCTCGCCTTCATTGCTCCCATCGCCCTCCTCAAGGTGGGCTCAGTGATGGTTGCGTTAGTGAGCTGGTCAGTTGGTCGATCCGTGTGTTCACCATCAGTACACCCATCATCACCATCAGTATACCCATCATCACCATCAGTATACCCATCATCACCATCAGTATACCCATCATCACCATCAGTATATATACCCATCATCACTATCAGCGGTAGTTGGGGCCCGGAAGGGCAGTCCCCTCCCACTCGTCTATCAGCGGCCCGCTCGCTTTCATTGCTCCCATCTCTCTCCTAAAGGTGGGTGGGGTGGGCCCCTTAAGCCCAGCCATATACGCTTTGCCTCTCTCCCTCTCCCAACTCCATTCCCCCACCCCATTCCCCCACTACATTCCCCCACTCCATTCCCCCACTACATTCCCCCACTCCATTCCCCCACTACATTCCCCCACCCCATTCCCCCACTACATTCCCCCACCCCATTCCCCCACTACATTCCCCCACTACATTCCCCCACTACATTCCCCCACTACATTCCCCCACTCCATTCCCCCACTACATTCCCCCACTCCATTCCCCCACTCCATTCCCCCACTCCATTCCCCCACTCCATTTTCCCACTCCATTCCCCCACTCCACGTCCCCATTCAGTTCCCTCACCCCGCTTTCCCGCTTCATTCCCCCACTCCGTTCTGCCACGTCTTTCTCCACTACTGCCCCCATTCACTCCATTCCTCTTATCCAATCCGTTCCTCCCACTCTCCTCTTCCCTGTTCTCCCTGTCCGTTCGTTACAGGAACACGGAGTCGAGAATCTGTTCCACATCACATCATATATAAGAGCCTAATAAATCTCCACCTCCCTTTGCACTCCCTGTCCCCTCGTTACAGGAACACGGAGTGGAGAATCTGTTCCACATAAGTGCTGAACCCATCCAATCACAGTGCTCCACCGTCCTCTACCTGCTGCGCCCCAATCCGCTTCTCATTCGCTGGATCACACGCCAGGTACAGCCACTTAGTATCCTACTGCATTCTACTAGTACCGCTTGGTAACGTTCTCTACCTGCTGTGACCCAACCTACTCCTCATTCGCTGGATCACATGCCAGGTACGAGGTACTTCCAGCTACCGCATTCTATTGGTACCTGCTCAGACCACACTCTACCCCTGCACTCTACCCCCGCCCCTTCCATTTTTGCGCTCTTGTTTCCAGTCCTGTCTTCTCCCCACATGCCACGCTCCACCAGGTGCCTACACAAGCACAGTGCTCACTAACGCCTGCAGACTAGGACCTGCTCTCTGCGCTTCTGTAGGCCCTTCAACCTTCTTCCCCTTTCGTTTTTACCTCCCTTCTACACCTTCCCCCCTTCGGGATGCCGTCAATCCCACCAGGTGCGAGCAGACGAGGACGAGGGCGTCACTCGCAGCTACTCACTCCACTTCATTCCGAGATGTGATGCGATCTGTAGCAGGGTATGTGTCAAAACATTGTCTGTGTGTTGGGGGTAGGGAAGGTGGAGGGTTAGGGTTTGTGCATGCAAGGTGCCTCAAGAGTGTGCCTGTTGTGTGACCTACATCTACTGTTGCGGCCCCACACACCATACATCTGCAGATTCTGGAACAGAAGGGCTGGTGGACATCCTTTGATTCACTCGCCTCAAAAGTAACATTGTTGTGACCTGCGTCTATTTCTTTTCGCCCCACACCACACACCCCACACCCCACACCCCACACCACACATCCACTGCAGATTCTGGAGCAGGAGGGGCTGGTGGATGACCCGCGGGTGGCAGTGGGAGAGTATCCCCTCGAGATGATCCCCGTGGACCATGATCTCCTTGCGCTCGACCTCCATACCCTTTATAAGGTGATTCCTGTACCCGTTATAAGATGAGGTGATTCTGAACTGCACCAATCCAATTCAGGACGTGCACGTCAACTCAAACCACACCACTACGTTACCCTTCTCTCACCTTTCCATCTCTCTCGCACACCCCCCACCCCACCTCCCCATGCGTTTGATCAATCCAGGACGTGAACATGGACTCTACTACCCCCACCTCCACTGCTTTACCACTCACCTTCCCATCTCTTTCCCTCTCCCTCCTGGCCGATTCAATCAATAGGTGCAGAAGGACTCAGACCCCACCTCTGTTTCACCTCTGTTTTACCTTTCCCGCACCTTTCCATCTCTCCCACCCTACCCTTTTTAGTTTTCTCTTACCTTTTCATTCTCTTCCCCACCCCTTTCTCCCCCCACCCTTCCCCGCCCCTGCCCCTTCTTGTTCTGGACGTACATGTGGACTCAGACTCCGCCTCTCCTCTCCTTTACCCTGCTCTCACCTTTCCATCTCT